ACGGCATCGAGGCCGACTGCTTCTCTCGCAACATTGAGCTCGCCAACACAATTATCTTTGAGGGGGCCGCCTCGGTTCTACACATTGTGGCCCTCATCATGACCATCATTATGATCCTACACGTTCGATCCAAGTTCACGGCCGTGGGGCGAAAGGAGATTCTCACATTCTTCTATCTTTACATGATCCTGACGGCCATCTCCCTAGTGATGGACGCTGGTGTTGTGCCACCCGGCAGCGCGCCCTTTCCATACTTTGCGGCGATCCAGAACGGACTGAGCAGCGCGGTTGTCACGGCCCTGCTGATCAATGGATTCGTCGGGTTTCAGCTCTACGAAGATGGCACACCTCTGTCCGTCTGGATGCTCAGGGTGTGCTCAGCCATCGCATTCGCCATCACCTTCCTCGTCTCTCTGGGAACCTTCAAGTCGATTGCCGGCCTGAGCCCAACGAACACCGTTGGTCTTTTCGTGGTCCTGTATCTTATGAACGCGATCCAGTTGGCTGTGTATGTGGGCATGCAGATCCTGCTGGTCACACAGACCCTGCAAGATCGATGGCCTCTGGGTGACATTGGCTTTGGCGTCTTCTTCTTCATTGTGGGCCAGGTTGTTCTCTACGCCTTCAGCGCCAAGATTTGCACGGCCGTGAGCCACTATTTTGATGGACTTCTTATCGCGACGGGCTGCAATCTGCTGGCTGTCATGATGGTCTACAAGGTGAGTCGATACCCGATCGGGCTTTGCGGTGGGACATTACTAACGCGAACAGTACTGGGACTCTATCACCAAAGAGGATCTCGAGTTCTCCGTCGGCACACGCATGAACAACTGGGAGGTGAAGGATCTCCTTCCCGAGGAGGATCGTCGGGCTACAGTCTACACAGATGACCCATATGGCCACACAAGCGCGTACGATATGCCTTACTCGCCCACGACAGCGCGATACTCGACAAAGTATTGAGCAAAGACCGAGCAGGTTCTGTCGACACGGATTGGGAGATACAGGCGTACGGTTGCTTCGTGACAAAGCTCAAAAGCTACATCAGCATGGGAGGAATGGCTGTATTATGGCTTGGCGTTTATTCTTTTATAATACCCCAGTCTGCATTGGCACTGGGTTGATAGGGTCATTCAAGCGTGGGGACAGCGCGAGCGAGATGATGCGACACACACTAGCTACCTTTTCGCAGCCTCCCATTAATGGCTTGCTTAGCGCGCAGAGTGTATATATATAACACATGCATACATACGGACATGTTCTGGACCCTCTGTGACGGTGAAGCAAGCAGTGCCTACTGTTGGTAGCAGCCAACGCGGCACAGCGCGGCCTGGCTAAATAAGGGACCACCCACGCCATCCAGCGCGTAATAAGTCAAGCTGATATATATTTGAATGCGACGCTGCGGCCTGACGGATCCAGGTTGTATGTACGTATGTACGTACATTGTAGGTACGTGAATAGTGACGATGGGTGAGAGGCAGATAAATACTACCAGCAGCAAATAAACGGCCGCGTAATTAAGCCTAATTGACCAGAATCGGCCTCGGTTACGGATATGATCCTAGCGGACTAAATAAATGGCGGGGACGATCACATATCCAAGGTCAACCAACGTGTGAGACCACCGCCACCCCTCGCGAGCTCGCCCTGTGACATGCAATGCGAAACAGGCGGACTATCTATATATCGACACATGTCTGTGCTTGCCCGCCCGCCTGCCCGACCGACCGACCAACAGCCCGTGCGCAGCTCAAGTCCTAAACAAGGGAGCTTCATGCGCGACGGCGGCGCGGAGCGGAGTCGCGAACTCGCGATTCCGCAGTGGTTCGATAATTTGATAACTACAGTACATATATCCAATGACGGGCTCCATATAGTCATGGCCCAACCTACATGTACGTGGCATTATGGGACCAGGCTGGGACGAGGAGACAAGGGCAGGCAGATAATTATAGCCAGGCTGCTAATAAGCAAGCAAGGGGCAAACGAGTTTCTTCGACTTGTTGATGTCAATGAGAACTTTGGGAATCGTATTGGTTGGCCTGGGCTGGCGGGCTCCAGCGCCTCGTACCGTATGCCGAATCAGAAACCCCATGTGGACGTGTTGGTCGGTGACTCGGTGGTGCCATAGTGGGGACTGGAGCAGGCAAAAGGGGGTGGGCGAGGGAACAAGGACTGCCTGCTGCCGCTGTTGTGAGCGATCATTACGAGATTCGACGTGTGACATCAGGAGGCCAAGTTGGAGCACTCTCGCACCCATTATATGTACTTATGCAGGCGAGCGATGCCGTTGGCTCATATACTCGACCTAGTACTATAGTAGACAGTGTGGTCGACACGGCAAGTGTAATCGGGAAAATGGCTTCTTAGCTCGCCAGGAAATAGAGTTCCTGTGACAAATCCGTGGAAGGATCGTGCGGCTGGCCTGAGTCAGGTGCCAGGTCGGCATGCGCATCGGACAAAAGTGTGTAAGACTAGCGAGGAGGATTGACCCCGGCTATCTTACGAGTCGTGTGCCTATAGCGGATGTAGATGGCGAGCTGGGTGGAGACTGGGCCATGCGAGTCGCGAAGTTGTGAGAGCGGTTGATGCAGACAAGGGCGCCAGACGACATGTGTACTACTTATACTCCGTACACGCTTGACAATTGATATCCGAGGAACTTTTCAACTCCATGTCGGTCGCTCACGATAATGGTCAGCTGTCGTTCGATAGTTTGTTGGCAGCAGCAGAGCGTTGCCATTCGGAGATGAGCGTCTCATCCTTGAAGCAAGCAATGCTCGGATGTCGTATGGCAAGATTGACCGACTCACTTCACCCATGCTGGCCATGCTGCCCATCGAACCAAGTGTATTCCTGAAGGCCGAAGGTGCCCAGGCACTGATTTGTTGGCCTGTTTGCGGCCGAAGGATCTAGGCTCACCAACCAACAGTCAGCAAAGTCGGCGACGAAGGCGACCCAAAGTACCCGTGTGTGCTGCATGCACATGATTACTTCGTTAGTCTAGACGCACGTGTGGTGAATGCATGCATAAGGTAGGGGAGATACAGTATCGGGCCTGCCTTTATTACCCGTACTATGTATGCCTTGTCACAGAGTGGGAGGCTATCAGTGCATACACTATACAGGGTGGGCGGCGCACTATCTGGCAGTAGTGGTTTGTTAGCGACATGGAGCCTGGTCGAGTTTGGTTCAATGGCCGCTGACAGAGGACTAGAAATGCCGTCTGCCTTGCCAACCGCGGATAGAACACTACTATCTGTACTGTAGGACACGTACACTGTAATTGGTGAGTGGTGCAGATACTGGATTTCATATTTATTCGCTGCACATAGGTGAATTAATGCTTGCCGTATTTAGATGATCCGCGACTAATCCGCGACAAGTGGAGACAGCGCCGGTTTTTTTTTTTTTTAATATTTTTTTCTCGAGACTAAAGGGCGCAGGGATCCCAGAATTTTTTTTTAACGTGCACGGGAGCCCCCTTTCAGAGCTCCAGTCCGACCGACCGACGATTTATGCAGAGTGATGAGTGATCAACATCCGGGTCGAAGGTGCAGCGATATGATTCTAAGCTGTGAGCATAGTTGAAGTCGGAAACAGGAGCTGGAAGCTGATAGTATATCCGGTCGAGCATCCATCCCTCCAGTACCAGCTGAGAGGTAGGAAATATTGCAGGTGCGGCTGGACCTACCCACTTTACTTGTACTATAAGTATCCACCAAGCCTAAACTTAGCGAGTTGGCCAGCCGCAGTGCCTACTTAAGTAATTATTGCTAATTAGGTACTGCGCACAGCTCCAGTTGTGCTGATTCTAGTCTCCTGATACGTTTTATTATTGCCCACGGTACCTTTCATTAGCCTCTATGTCCGTGAATGAACCATCGTCGGCTGCACCGAATGGGACGACATCCCGCTGGTACGTACCGAACCTTGCCCACTAAATGGGGGGGGGGGGAGGCGCATGTCACAGTCGCCTGCCTTATTCCTGACTGGCCAGGCAGCCTATTCCATCCCCCGTATTCTACATTATTATGCGTCGCACTTTCCCTTCGCTAATTCTTGGTTAGCCTTCGCGAGAGGACAGATCCACATGACAGGTAAGTAATCTACGTACCTATCTCAGCTTAATCTCACTCGCTCACTGCCCTTCCTTGACATCGTGCCTGAGCTACAACTGGACCAAGGACTGGGCTGGACTAGGCAAGCGATCGTCAAGCCTACCTAGGACGTCTCCGCCGCTACGCTACATCGCTCTTTTTCGCCTTGCCCACCCAACATTGCAATTTCCCCTTCCCTCATTCACCCTTCCTGGTCCGCACCTATCTATCTAATACTCATGACCTATCTGGCTGGCTATCAACCTGACCTGCAGCATAGGCGCTCTGCTCAGCAAACATTCCCACAACACAACTATCTTGCGACTTTTTACCACCCGCGCTCTCCACCCCCCTGGCTGCCTGAGCTGACCTCGCATCCATCCACAACACGCGCGATTTGACTTCGCGGGACTTTGCATCAGTCTGTCTGGATCTATGAACCCGTCAATGCACAGTCTTGCCCACGTCCTGGTCGCCTGATCACATACTAAGGTAGTAGCCAAGCAGCGCTACTGGCCAGCATTTCTCTCCATCTTTTGGATCCTCAACAACAAAGCTCGCGCACCTGCGAGTCAGGTCAATTGGCTTTGGCGCCTTGCAACACCCAGCCAGGACACAAAGCTTACACGACTATATTCGGCATCTACACCTTGTTGGCCACAGCACAGCAGGTGCTAGGTACTACTCCATCCATATTTTCGCTGTCTTCTAATCGCGATCCTCTTCAAGTTATTGTCGGAGCGGGTCACATCACTCGCCACACCACTCTTGTGTCACGTCTCTAAGCCACGTCTTATTGACTGAGCACGGCTACGTGTTATCCATTGACCTTGCATCTGAGATTTCCGACGACAACAGGGCCGCTGAGCTACCACCAAAGCCTGCATCGCCCCCGCCATGGCCGTGGAGGAGGAAAGTTTCGAGGGCATACCGCCCGACGAGAATCGTGAGATCTGGGACGATGCCGAGTACAAATTCTGGACAAACTTCCAGACTGAGTGCAAGGAGTGGCGCGACGCGCGCGAGGCCAAATACAGCCGCGAGACAACCGACCTGCGCGTGCAATTGAGCGAGCTGAGCGGTAAGCGCAATGCGATACATGAGACCTACACGCGTCTCCGAGCACAACTGGCCCAGACGGAAGACGAGTTGAGCGACGTCTCGCAGCGCCTGGCAGCCAAGGAGTCCGAGTTCGGCAGCTTGAATGATGTTCATCGCATCGATGTGGAAACGAAGCACAAGGAATGGGAACATCAAATGAGGGTCATGACCAACTTTTTTCGCGAGAAACGAGGCGACCAGCCTTTACCCGACGATGCGACTATTGAGCCCCCTGAGTTTATGGCGCCGCCTAAGCTTCTACCGGAATACCGCGCTCGCCCTCTCCCGATCGCGCCATCACCGCCTCGCGGACAATCTTTTGAACCACCACCACCGCCGTCCACGACATCAGCAGCAGCAGCAGCGCCAGCAGCGCCAGCAGCGCCAGAAGCGCCAGAAGCGCCAGCAGCGCCCAAGTCAGCGCCCCCCAGTGAGCCGTCCCACGAGGAAATCCTGGCCAGGGAAGCACTCGCTCAGTCGGCGCTTGCCCCATCACCTGCAAAGCCGTCTCCACCCAGGGCACCTCAAGCTACTCATCCTACCCCGAACGGACACTGGGATATCGTTCGTCGGGAAGGGCGCCCTCAGTCCCCGCAGAGAGCGTACACTTTACCGCAACCACAGCCTCAAAACCAAGAGCAACGGCGCCCCGATGCCTCGACGAGCTCGCCGAGAGTGGAAGATGCACAAAGTCGCGTTGTCCGTGATCTTGAGACGCGACAGCGGGAAGAGCGCGAGAAGCGAGAATGGGAACGACGTGACCAGGAAATCCGCGAAAGAGATATCCAGGAGCAAGTGCGCGAGCGTGAGCGTCGTGACAGGGAAGCCGTGCGCGAACGAGAGATTGCTCGTGAGCGAGAATCCCGTGAATGGGAACGCTGGGAGAGGGACAAGCGTGCGCAGGAGATGCTCGAAAGAAAACGCCTCGAAAGGGAAATCCGCGAACAAATCCTCCCTCCACCAAGGTCATTGAGTCATGCGCCTCCAATTCAGACGAATTCTCTCCCACCTCCGTCAGGGGTTGGTTCTCACGAGTGGGCCGACACTCTACACGCCGACCGTGATCGCCTGAACCTCTATGCCTCCCACAATGGAGATTTTCCGATGGCCGGGACGCCAGTCGAGGCTTCACAGCCTCTCCCCAGCGCTGGTCACACGCCACAACCGCCTACATCATTGCACAACACGCCTCAGCATCGCTCGATCTCGGCAAGCCAGACTCCTCGAGGCCTCACTCCACAGGAACCATCGCCCGCGCTGCCACCGACTCAGACTCTGCCCTCGCTATCGCAGCAAAGACTACCACCGCCGTCCGTGTTGGATAGCCGACCCCCTCACCCCCATTCCCATGCTCATGCTCATGCTCATGCTCATCCTCATGCTCATCTTCATGCTCATCCTCATGCTCACCCTCATGCTCATCCTCATGTCCATGCCCACCCGCATTTCCATGCTCCCGAACCCGCGCATCCTCACCATCTGAGTCATCCCCAAGCCATCGCCCCTCAGCGTCCTGAGCACCAACGTCAGCAGCATGCGCCATCTCAGCATCGTCAACCCCCGATGCCTGCGGCTCAGGCTCTTCCCTCTATGAGGCATTCTCTACCTACGACGGGGGGTTTTAGACAAGCCAACGGCGGGTTCACTCCGGCGAATCAGCCTGTGACCAGCAGACCTCAATCTCCATTGGTAGCCACGCCTGTGGCGTCGGCACGCAACTCCCCTTCGGCTCCGGAAAGACCAAGCGAACCTCTGGTGGAGATCAACCGAGAGAATCTTGTGCTACGACACGATGGGACTGTCTATACGTGGCCCGAGTGCATGGTAGGCGTCCCGAGGCGCAAGATCCACCCCGGCGACCCATACTGGGAACCCGACTGGAAGGACGTGCGGTCAGAGGTCGTTGAGGCGAAAGAGCGATGGCATCAAAAACACCAGCGTGCTATTGAACTTGAAGCAAAGAAGGAAAAGTCGGGGTCCAGCAAATATCAGATCGGGAGACAAGTCAACCGTGGCACTAAGATCCTCGAGTTCCTGGATGACGAGGACCAGATCAGCCCCTACCAGCTCCTCGCGAAGCCCTTCATGCACGCTTCCAAGGGCGGCATCACGTCCTATGATACCCTTTTCCGCCTCTGCGAAACCTTGTCCGAGCTCGCCAAATTCAACCTTGATATCTCCCCCGTGGACTGGATGCGCCATCGCCTATACGAGATTATGCTCGAGAGCCCAGACGGCTCTTTCAATCTGCCCAAGATTGTGCACGATTTCTACCACGATCCCAAGCTGACCGACCTTCGCCACAAGCATGGTTATAAGAATATCGGACGGCCCTCTGGTCAGACAAGGGGTGGTCGCCAGAGCACTGGTCCCGGCCCATCAGAAACAACGCCCAAGCAACCGCGCAAGCGCAAGAGCGCTGCCTCCGCATTGGGTACGCCCCACGATGGGAGCGAGCCCGTGCCGTCGAATCCCATGGTCATTCACGACGAAGGCCCCTTTCTCCAAGCGCGATCAGCTATAGCCAAGAAGCCGCGCACCGAGGACTGGGAGCGCCTCGAGGTCAGCGAACCGGAAGCAGTACACCAAATAGAGGTGCAGCCAGCAGCCAAGTCTCAGACCGCGGTGGACACACCCAAAGAAGAGCATGCCATGAATGGTTCACATGAAATGTCGCGAGACGTTGCATTGAAAGTGTAGATCGCGCATTTTTGGAGGCACGCATGAGCCAGCAGGTCTGAGTTATCTGTCCTGGACATCTGGCACTGCGACAAGTCACTGATCCAAGTTTCCCTTTTTTTTCTTGTTTCTCATACACTGTTTCTCATCGATTCAACTTCTCCCCAGGAGATGCAGCCCTTTTCCTTTCTCTCCTTTTTTTTTTTGCGCAGCTTTGATTTCCCCTTTGCTGAACCATCATGGGAACCAGCTTTCGCGCCATCCAGCCTTTTTTTTTTTCCTTTTTTTGTTTTCTTTTTCTTTTTTTTTCGATACTCGATACCCTGAAACTGCTATGGGGAGGAGGGCACACACGGCGTGAGGCGTTTCGAGATTCGGTTTGGATCTATTTCTGCGTGGCACATTTGGTGCGCTCGCCCGAGCGTTACTAGCGAGACCTGCACCACTGGAGAAAAGAAGAAGCATCGAGCAGTAATTTAATCATTTCATCATCCTAGATCCGTACATTTGAACGCCAGTATGCTATGCTACACTTGTCCTGTCATCGTTTACGCAACGATCGCGCGCCCACAATAGCGCCTTTGGCTGCCTTGTTCGTCTTGCCCAAATCACCCGTTCCTCCCATCATTCGATCAATCAGAGCCGCCTTGTGATCCGTAGCGTCGGGGTCGGCGTATCCAATTTGCGTCCTGGGCGGCGTTTTATTGCCCTCGTCTTCCAGGGCCGCCGTGGCGGGCGCCGAGGCCGCGCTGCTCCCTGCCGACACGTTGCTCACGGCCCGGCCAAGGATCTGACGCTTTCGCGGTCGTGCCGTCGGCTCCTCCATCTCTGCGCTTGCGGCCGATGTGGATGCGGAGAGCAAAGTGGTGAGTTTCGAGGAGAGGGCCTGGCGCTCGGCGGCTTTGGCGGCCTTGCACCGTGAGGCTTCCGCCTGCTCGCTCTCATCACCGCCTTCGCCTCCTGTAGCCACGTTGTCTTTCGTCAGAGGAGGGTCTTCGTCGTCATTCTTTGCAGGTTCGGATTTGCTACGTGCCGGCTTGGGAGACGAAGGCGATTTGTTGAGGGATGCTGCGGAGAGTTCAGTCAACGGCGGGTCGAAAACGGCAGTTGCTGGATGGGTGTTGGGTGTGGTAAAATCGGCGGATATCGTCGGGTCCTGTGCCACAGGCCTTTTCGCAGTCCTCTGTTCCTCACTCTGGAAAGCGGTAGGGTCAGGTTTGCTTTGCTGTTCTTGTGAGCGCTGCCATGATGTCTTCGCCGCGGATTCTGAATGCACCCTCTGGACAGGACGATGCTGGTCGAGCCGTGGTTTTGTGGTCAAGGTTTCTTCCGGCGACGATGGTCGATTCCGGAGGTGTGACCTTATCTCCGGGTAGATGAAGGCGTCGAATGGGACGTTGTAGCCCGTAGCAATACATTCCCATAGCCAGTTCGCCGACACGACCGGTACACCCCATGCCATGGCAGCCTTGAGTTTGTCTTTCCTCATGGCACCGAGAGACTTGCAGATCAGGACACTTGTCGACCTGCGGAATTGCTCCTCGAAACTGGCACCGAGCTGCTTGATGGCTCTTGCAACCTGGCTCAGTTCGATGCCTGTGAAAGCTGCGCTGCAAACCCTTAGGTAGGAGAATCCGGCGATGGGGAAGACTGGGAATGGCCGCCCTAGAGGATCTTCGTCATCCGGCGGAAAGAACTTTTTGTTCTGGAGGCATTTCTCAATGTAGAATTCAGTGATAAAGTGTACTTGATTGGACGGTGCGCGGGGATGCGATTCGGGTTGGGACGTCTGTGGTACCACGAGGAATCGATATGATGCGTCTTTCGTGTTTGCAACCTCGGGGATTGTTGATGCAATTACACCATCGATCCCTTGAATAGTCTGCGCTAACACGGCAGTCCGCTGCTCATTGAAACCATGGATGTAGAACGCACAATCTGAGAATATGGACTTGGGTCGAGGGGGCGCCAAAGGTGCCTGCTTTGGTGTCTGCTGCGTTTCCGTGTCTGTTGCCGGCTTCGCAAAAGAGTATTCCCTCGAGTCTGATCGTCCTAGAATATCGCCCAAGAGGTTGCTCCGCTCCGAGGTGAGTCTCATGCTGGCCGTCTTACGCAGCTTCCGCTTCCCCTCTTCGGCCGTTCCAGCGCTAGTTCTGGATCTCTTGCCCAACGACGGGCGCCGGACATCTCTTTTGATCCATGCGCCAACGCCTTGCTCCTCGGGAGGTAGAAGTGGGTCGTACTTAGATTCGTCCAGGATCATGCCTCGAGCGATAGTCGCATCCAGCCAATTGAGGGTCACCGTCCTGATATTCCACGATCTGGCCGCTGTGAACTTCTTCCCCTCGGGCTTGCTGACAATCAAATGAGTACAGCGCCTCGTTAGATCATCTGTGTGCTTCCCTCCATAGAGAACAATCCTCTCCGCGATAGCGTCCCGATCATGCCCAAAGCCTGTCAAGCACACGAGCAGCGACTGTCTCCCAGGCGCAGCATCGTGCGTAGGCGGTATCGACCCTCGCGTTTCCAGTGGCTTCAGCTGATGCAGCCTCTCCAAAGCCAGAAAGTCGATCGGTTCGTCGTTTTTCCATAGGTCGGACAGGGCATCGATCCATGTGGCGTCCATGGCCAGGATGTCGGTTCGCTCGCGTGCGACATGGCGGTACTTGGGTGTGTCGTAGTCGCCGACAATGAGGTGCGTGACGTCTGGCGTAAGATCATACTTGTGCATTCCGCCGAGATCAACAACTTTCTGGTCTATTTCTTGCTGCATGATTGTCAGTGGTCAGCTTTCCTGGAGCAGACAGAGAACGCACCCGATGTTCAGGCGGAATGCTGGTGCAGCAGACGACCGCACCTTTCAATGGTGCAGCTGGATCCACGGTGAACTGGCCATCTTCTGAATATGCGGAAGACTCCATTACGCCATGGCAAGGACGTCTAGCTGCCAGTCAAAAAAACCACGAAGACGACGACAAGCGGATGGCTGGGTGTGTTGAGGTCGGATGCGAGACGCGTCGCGGGACAAAAAGCGCGTAAATAGGCCGGCCTGTAGCCTGACGACTCGCACTGTGTATATACTGTATTTGAGTCGTGGGCTGTGCATCCCGAGCCTGGGCGATTCTTCTCGGATCAGATGTGCGCAATGCACTGAACCATCTTGACCAAATATTGGATGAGAATCTTAAAGCTGATCTCACCTTCTCCTTGGTTTGCAAATTTCCAATCATTTGAAGCCGATGCGCAGAGGATGAAGTATGATACAGTGTTCTAGTGCTCAACGCACTGTGTAACTCAATTGGTTGATCAAGGTGCTCTCACCCAAGATACTATGCAGCTCAACCTTCAAACACCCTTACGCGACAAGACCCCAACTCCACACGCAGCAACCATGGCACCCTCAGCGGCAACTGTCCGCAACATGCTCTCCATGTTCCAAGATAGCACAGGCTCCACGGAGCGCACTGCAAACAAGGTCGGTTCTTGTTCCTCGTGCCCCGCCCCCGCCATGATTCAGTGGTGACGGCTTCGAACGTGGTCAGATATTAACATTGATGATGCGCAGTTCCTGAAGTCGACGGGATACAATCTGAACCAAGCTGTCGATCTGTATGTATTTTTCTTTCTGGGTTGGCTGTCAAGCGCTGACAACTCCAGCTATTTCCAGACAACGAATGCTGAGCCCAGGCAAAATCCAGCCATACCCAAATTAGAGAAGTTGTTCGACTCTTTACGAGGTCAGTCACCCTCTATGTCGGAATGGCTCTATAGCTGACGGTTCTGCAGATGCCCAAGATGCCCAAAATGAGATGGGCTTGGACGCCGTCATGAAGTATCTCAGCGAGGACCTCGGCCTGAGCATCGAGAATGCCGAGCTGCTTGTGGCTATGGAGCTCGTGCAAGCACCGAGCGTCGGGGAAATCACACGAACGGGATTTGTGAACGGCTGGAAAGATACCGGGTATGCACGCGCTGTGACGGCCACTGGGACAATGGCACTAACTACTCCAGCTGCGAGCCGAATCTCAAAGCGCAGTCCAAGCATGTCAGCAATCTTGCCAAGTCGCTGTCGACAAACTCGGATCTGTTCAAGAACGTCTACAAACACACATTCGTATGCGCGCGCGAAAAGGACCAGAAAGCTCTGAGTCTCGAAAATGCGCTCACGTACTGGGAAGTCTTGTTCTCACCGCCCGGCTGGGAATGGAAGGGGGCGAAGCACGACTGGTTCCGGCTGTGGAAACAGTTCCTCGCTGAGAAGTGGACGCGGTCCGTCAACAAGGATATGTGGAATATGACACTCAACTTTGCGATCAAGTCTGTTGAAGATGAGACCTTGTCGTTCTGGAGCGAAGACGGCGCGTGGCCTAGCGTTATCGACGATTTCGTGGCGTGGTGCAAGGAGAAGGGGGTTGTGAAAGCCGATGAAGCAATGGAAGTGGATGACTCCTAGCTGGTACGGGCTGGGGATCCTTGACACTGATGAGCCTTCACCGCGATACCAACCATAGATCACGCGTATAGACATCATGACTGGAGGCGTCATGCCAATTATAGCAAGCACTCACGCAGCCTGCAGGCGACACATCTTCGTAATGAAGCAGTAAATTGTGTAATTCATGCCATGCTCGTAAAGCAGAGCCCCGACGCCGTTGAGACCATATGATACACGTCTATGTTCCTTTTGATATCCTACAGGCTCCCGCCGCTTTCGAATTTTAGACCTCGTTGACCTTCATGGACCCGGCGGCTTCTTTCCAATCAGGCTTGCCGAACTTGGCCATGCTCTCCAATCGCCCGTCGCCCAACCTGACGTGTGTCGCGCGAATCATTCGAGGCTCCAGTCTCATGTTGCTCCGAATGTCCTCGTGGACTTTGGTACTCGAGTCGTAGCGCATGACAAAGTAGTGGCCGTGTGTGTGCTTCATTTGGTGGACAGAGATCGGACGGGGGAGGCTGAAGACGCCCCAGTTGGAGATGCCACGAACGACACCGCCATTGCGCAGAATGAGAGACCCGACGCTTGTGGCGATTCTGTGATTCGGTCAGCCCATGTGCGCCGGCAATACTGCGTGTCTGATGTGGTTTGGGAGGATTCGAGGTTCGGGGGATCACGCACTCCTTGACTTCAGCCACTTTGCCTGGGCGGACCTATATATGTTAGTTGACAGGGAGGAATATCAGTGCAGTGCCCTCACGATTCCGATGAGTTCGTAAAGCATTTTTGCGACGGGTTGTGAGTTTGTCGCGTGCAATGTTGGACAGTCGCGAGTTGCAGTCGAGGTCCGGCGGCCGCACTCTGAAATTTGGGGCAGGGGTGCACTGCCGATATTTTACCGGAAGCTACCTTGACGATCGACGTATCCAGGCATGTGAGGAACCAGGCAACTCATGGATTACAATTCATTTGTACACTATTCTACAGCTTTCTCTTGGAAAGTGATTGCCATATTCTCCACGGTAGTTTCCAGCCCCCTGTCTTGACCGTGTACGGGTCAAAGTCGGCTTTCTGGAGATTTTCCAGATACTGGCTGGCCGGCGCAGCCTCTAACAAAACACTGAATCCCGCCCGTATCTCTCTCTGCGTGTCACTCTGGCCCGTTTCATAGACGTGTTCTCCCTCGCCCTGGTGCTCAAAGTCGTGACCCGGATCCTCGCCTTGCTCCAACCTCTTGAGCATCTCACGTGCGGTGATGAGATGATCATTCGCTCGGGTCGCAACCTTGAAGACGGCATCCTGTAGCCCCGGCGCACTAGGTCCTTGGCGAAAAACCTCCTCCTCCTTCACGCCTTCTTCAGCCATGACATCGAGCGGCAATAGGAGCGTTGGCTTGTGTGTGCTCGGCGCATCTGCTCCAGAGGGTGTCTTGACGGGCCTCGCTGGCGACGCTAACACGGGAATCCCTCTGAGTACTGCCACGATGCCGCACGCTTTGCCAATGTGGCTTGCCAAGTGATCCATGTGCATGGACTTCATCGGCATGGCGGCCAGCGTCGCATACATCATGGTCGAGTAAGTGTTCTCCGCGTAGTCCTCCAAAGCAGCAATGCTTGTGTACGGCCGGTTGTCCATGTGCTTCTCCCTCGTCTTGACCAATCGGGACACCCAGAAGCGAAGTGACTTCCTCATTCCACTGCCCGCGCGCTTCTCCACGTCTTGCAAGCTCTTGTCGAGCAGGATGCATGTAGGCTCTCGGGGTGGCTGCCCGGCAAACGTCTTGTCTATCGATTCCTGCCAGAACTTCATGCGCATGATTCCAATCGTCGGGTTAGAGACGAGCTCCGGCAGCCGCACGAGTTCGAGGTTGAGGGTACGAAGAGCGGCGTACATGTCCTGACACGGCGGAGGAACGAATCGGCGGATGAGGTGGGCATCGTAGTCACTGGCTCTAGGTTTGTCAGTGAAGCTCGATCTGTTGTTTTCGGTGAACGCACTGGAGCTGCTTGAGACAGTAATTCCTCGCTGAAGCTACATCTGCGTCCGTGACATAACCACGGCAGGCTCTTGGAGTCCGTGCAAGCCGATGGAGGCCATTGCACAAGACGCGAGATCGATTCATACAGACGACCAGGACATGTGCCGATCGAGTGAGAAGTTCTGGGCTATTCGCCGCAAAGTGTCGAGTTCATGCTTTCATTTCGCGACGAAATCATTGGAGCATGACGTCGAGCTTGGTGGAGCAACTGTCGGTGTTCATGGATGTCGTCCTTTAAAGTGGATATGCAGGAACGTGATCACGTGCCGACGTTCCTCGCGTTTTGCGCGTCGCCACTGTTCAACCGCGTCTCCCCTACGCCTGTTTGCCTCAAGATGATTGCGCCCATGTTGCACGTTGTAACATCCTCAGGTTTCCTGAGAACCCAATGATCACCCAGAGCAATGGACTTTCGATCATCGCAGGAGCCTCCTGTGAAGAAACGTCGCTTCTTCCATGAGCAAGGCGAGCAGGCTTCGTCTGATCCTATTGCGTTCAGCCCTCGAGATGACAGTCCCCAAGTCCACAAGGAGCGCTCTCTGAGAGACGAGATCGACGGCGAACCTGAAAATAGGCAAGTCTTGGTGGAAAGATCTGCGAACGAGACGCCAAGACGCGTCCGGACACAGCCGCCAGCTCAACTCCAACACGAGTCTTCGTTTGTAACGTTTGATAAGGATACCTTCGAGGCATTTGTTGGGGCCAACGTCAGCAGCGATGTTATCTCAATTATCCAGGCTCACTGCGGTGGCAACCTCGAGCGTGCTGTCAACATGTATTTTGATGGCACGTATAAGAAACTTCAGAAACCGTCATCGCTAGGTTCTCTTACCCGGCCGCAACCCTCGAGCCGAAACTCTCCAACGACCACACCGAACAGCGAGACACCACCGCCTACCCGGCAAGACGTCCCCAAAGAGCGATATCTGGGCGCTTTCGGGGCTGAAGGGTGGGCTACGTGCAGCGGCACGAATCTACTAAAGCATGGCGATATTGTGAAGATTGAACGGCAGGTCGCGCAGACCTCCGCAGCGAAATCGAAGAGCCGGCAAATTCAAGCGAGGAAGACCGACGTTCTTGTGCGGTTCACGACGCAACAGGGGCGGGAAATAGGGCGCCTCCAGAGAGATACGTCCGCATGGGTATCCGTGTTGATTGATCAGAAGCTTTGCAGATTCGATGCTGTTTGCGTTTACGCCCCAGATAGACTGCGAACCAACGAGACCGTTTTTCTGCAACTCAAGTGCTATTTTCTGAACTCGGCTTTTCAAAGGCGAGGCTTCAAGTTGGCGGACGATAGATCCACCAGGCCTTTTGAGCAAGAGGAGACGACAGACGAAAAGAACCTCAGGCTGCGGCAGACGGCCATGGTACGGCTGTTTCAGGAGGTCAACCTGCAGCCTACGGTCGCCAACGAGAAAGCCAGTGAAGGTCGAAAAGGCCTGCTAAAGGCAGCCGAGATGGACGAGAAGAAGCAGAAGGAGGCCCAAAAGGCGGAAAGGCCCAGCGATTCTACACCTCCGTCAGAAGAGGAGGGACAGGAGCTAGAGCAGGATCAACTCGATGCTTTGTACAAAAAGGCCCAGTCCTTTGATTTCAACACCCCGGAAGCCGAGCCAGCGGACACGTTCGCCATGACTCTTCGAACATACCAGAAGCAAGCGCTGCACTGGATGATGGCCAAAGAGAAAGACGAGAGGAGTAGCCGCGAACCATCGATGCATCCGCTATGGGAAGAATACGTCTGGCCCACCAAGGACGTAGATGACAATGATCTACCCTTGTTCAACGGCCAGGAGAAGTTCTACGTCAATCCGTACTCTGGGGACCTCACACTCGACTTCCCTGAACAAGAGCAACATTGTCTTGGCGGCATTCTAGCTGATGAGATGGGACTTGGAAAGACGATCCAGATGCTGAGTCTGATTCACTCTCACCGCTCCGAGGTAGCCCGACAAGCCAGCCTTGCAGGCATATCAGATGTGAATCAACTCCCGAGGCTTGGAGCCAATGCGTCGGGTGTGCTTGATGCACCTTGTACCACGCTCGTCATCGCGCCAATGTCACTTTTGGCGCAGTGGCAGAGCGAGTCCGAGAAAGCCTCCAAGGTGGGGACCATGAAGATTGAGCTGTACTACGGTGCCGAGAAGAGCAACAACTTGCAATCACTCTGCGCAGCTGGCAATGCATCGCGGGCGCCTGACATTGTCATCACCAGTTATGGCATCGTTCTGTCCGAGTTCAGCGCCATTGCTGCTCGTGATGGCGACAAGTCCTGGCACAAGGGCATCTTTTCATTGAAGTTTTTCCGTGTCATTCTGGACGAGGCCCACCACATCAAGAACCGAGCTTCAAAAACTGCCAAAGCTTGCTACGATATTCCGGCGTCTCATCGCTGGGTCCTGACCGGTACACCCATTGTCAACAGGCTGGAAGACCTCTTCAGTATGGTGCGCTTCTTAGGCGTCGAGCCGTGGAACAACTTCTCCTTCTGGCGTACATTCATCACGGTGCCATTTGAGTCAGGCGAGTTTGTCCGGGCGCTTGATGTGGTGCAGACTGTACTAGAGCCCCTGGTCATGCGTCGCACGAAGGACATGAAAACACCGACTGGTGAACCCTTGGTGCCTCTGCCGCTGAAGCAGATTGACGTTGTAGAGATTGAGCTGTCTGAAACAGAACGAGGCGTCTACGACCACATCTTCACCCGGGCGAAGCGGACATTCTCTCAGAACCTCGAAGCCGGTACGGTATTCAAGGCGTACACGACCATCTTTGCTCAGCTGCTACGATTGAGACAGTCGTGCTGTCACCCCATGCTGGTCCGCAACCGCGAGATTGCGGCTGAGGAGGAGGACGTCAATGCAGCGGCTGATGCTGCCGCCGGGCTGGCCGACGACATGGACTTGGACGCCTTGCTAAGTCACTTTACGGTCGCCGTTGAGGAGGCTTCGAAGGACAGCAACCAAACCTTTGGCGCGCATGCGCTCAAGGAAATCCGCGACGAGTCGGAAAAGGAGTGCCCCCTGTGCTTCGAAGAGCCGATGAACGATCAGCTTGTGACCGGATGTTGGCATTCGGCCTGCAAGAAATGCATCCTGGACTACATGCGGCATGAGACAGATCGAGGCGAGGTCCCCAAGTGCTTCAATTGCCGCGAGCCCCTCGACAAACGGGATTTGTTTGAGGTTGTGCGCAACGAGGATGATATCGACCCCGAGACGCACAAGCCTCGGATCAGTCTGCAGCGTCTCGGGGCCAACACGTCCTCCGCCAAGATCGTCGCTCTCCTGAGCCATCTTCGTGCCCTGCGCAAAGAGCATCCACAGATGAAGTCGGTCATCTTCTCACAATTCACATCCTTCCTGTCGCTGATCGAACCCGTTCTCACGCGCGCCAACATCAAGTTTCTGCGTTTGGACGGTTCGATGGCGCAAAAGGCCCGGGCGGCCGTACTGCGCGAGTTCGCCGAGGGCCAGGGCTTCACGGTGCTCCTTCTCAGTCTACGCGCCGGCGGCGTGGGCCTGAATCTCACGAGCGCAGGTCGTGTGTTCATGATGGACCCGTGGTGGAGTTTTGCGGTGGAGGCGCAAGCGATTGACCGCGTGCACCGCATGGGGCAAGAGAGCGAAGTGTTTGTCAAGCGTTTTGTGGTCAAGGGCAGCGTGGAGGAGAGGATGCTCCGAGTCCAGGAACGGAAGAAGTTTATGTGAGTTTGCTGTGTGAGACGCTTGGAGACCTGTGGCTAACGTTGGGCAGTGCAACATCGCTTGGCATGATGAGCGACGAGGAGAAGAAGATGCAGCGCATCGAAGATATCAAGGAATTGTTGAGTTAATGTGGTGATATGTGGCATGGCGTATTTTCATACGCCGTATGGGCGTAGCATAGACCGGCGTTTTGCTGGACGGACTCGTACGCATATACATTGCTGCAATAAACCGCGACCAGGGGGGCCAGGTGCTGGCTTTTGTTTGTCTCGCATGTTTTCATGACCTGCGCTCTTCTCCTTCCCCTCGTCAAGTATGGAACCGCGAAGGGGGAGACGCGTGTATTGGGAAACTGTGATGCGCCCGGAGTTGTGCCCCCACTGAATGTCATCATCATGGCTGTCAGACAAATAATGGAGGCAAGGCAATCCGGGACGAATACAATGAATAATTTTCGAATTTCTTGGCTCGGCAGTGAGAATGGTGTCGATTGATCTCGCCATGAGGGATGATGGCATGACCGACCGGGGCTCAGCGAAGGGTGGGCCAGGGACAAGTTGCGTCTTGGATATCGTGGATGAGGGACGACACTGCAATTACAATCCGAGGGTATCATTCATGTATGTGCTCTTGCTTCATCTGCCGTATTCTGACCAGATTCCCTCAACGACTTGCAGACTAACAACGCTGACAATGACGCTCTAGGAAGACAAGCCCGTACTCGATGCTCCCACATGCGCTGGTGATATCATTTCACTGGAGAATTCAACGCCACTGAAAGAGACATCCGATTTTGAGATCAAGAATGTCAGCGAGAAGACTCTGTTGAGGAAGCTGGACTGGCAATTGCTGCCGGCTGTTGGGATACAGTACCTGCTCACCTTTCTGGACAAGTCCAATGGTTGGTACAGACGCCGCCAGAGGCAATTTCGAATCTCACTGCTCTTTAGCACGGCGAATCTTGCTAGTGTCTTTGGCGGGATACTTGCCTGGAGCATTGGGCGCATGAGAGGAGACCGGGTGACAAGGACCCGAGGTGGCGCTTCGAGTATTAGCTGTCGGGACAGACCCCTGAGTGTCAGAGGCCCAGTTCCATGCACATGAGAAGTGTATACATGGATCAGGGGCATTAGACAGATTCGGCTGATAGCAAAGGCCACTGGTGTAAACTGGTGTTTTGTCGCGCGGGATTGTCACGCTTGTACCAGGCACGTCTCGCAAGACTAGGTCATTGCCTTGGCCGTTTCACCCTTCCTTCAATTTCATTGTCAATAGGCCCTTGATAAGAGAGGCTCAGTCTTCGATCGAGGGAAACAGAGGGTCATTTGGCGAGTTTCCCCCCTTGCCAGGGCGCACCGAAGCGAAGACAAACATCAGCCATGGCAAGACGTCGCGCGATCCGCCGCGTGACGCATCTGTGCGGCATCTTGCAAGATGCAAATCAAGAATAAGGAAGCTGCAAAATGTGCGGGAAAACAGACCTATTTGAGGAACGACGTCGAGAAAACGAGGGTCCGCGGACGTGGTCCGGTGGCACGTGCCACGGTACATGTCAAACATGCCTGTGGTCGGGCGAACGATGAAGGTTTGATGCTTCTATTGATTTGATCCATGACACAAGGTTAATCGAATTTGTTGCTTCGATAACGAGTCAAGCAAGACCTGGCGCGTGATGATTTGGTGCCCGCCCATACTATGAGTCCTTGGCAATCCGAAGGCATGTTGCAGGCTCGACTCATAGATGAAGCAACTAGCGGCATTTCCGACGCTTCGGAATTTTCTATAAAAGCCTCGAGACTCAACTCCCTTTTAAGCGGCTCCTTTCTGTGAGTGTGTCAACAATCTCTGGAAACCCTGTCCTTGAAGCCCAACCTCGCAAGATGGCGCCTCTCCCCCACTATCACGGACAGCTTCCGTCACTACAGCTCAACAAACAACGTCACTCTCTTCTGACACGCTCAACCATTGTCCGCCGCTCAGAAATCTCCGGCGTTATCATTGGCGTTGTGTTTGGTGCTGCTGTCCTGCTCGCCATGCTCGGCTTCATCATTCACCTGCTCACCTACAGACCCTCACCCCCCAAGAAGACCAAGAAGCACAGAAAGGGTGGAAAAGGCGGAAAAAAGAAGCCCAAGAATCCCAAGAGTAAGGAAAGCTCGGAGGACCTCGAGGAGAACGAGACTCCCTATGGGTTCCCGTTCTACGGTTGGGCTGGGTTACCGTACCCGCCTGATGCGGGGGAACCTTGGCCTCCTGGTCGTGTATACAACGGGGGAGGGAATGAAATGGACGCGCCGCAGATGGAATACTCCGATGATGAGCGTGAGTACGGCTTCGATAGACGTGGGTCGAACAGGAGAAGGAGGAGGATGTCGGTTGGCTGAACTTAGGCTGGTCCCTGGTGCGGTGAGGGTACTCGGTATGGAAAGCAGACGAGAGGATGAGGTCGGCAAAAGGGTGTGAAGCAGTAGTAAGATGACAAAGCATTTTGGGATGTTGACCATCATCTTCGCTAGCATCGACGAAATATGCGCAGCCAGATATCATAAGCATCCGGTCCAACTCGTAGATCACAACAAAGATTCAAATACATAATCAAGGTACAGTAGACGAAATAAAAACCTAAATCTCGGTCAGAGTCGCTGTTGCTCAGCTCGAACGACACCAATCACTTACAAACAATAGTGACAGCTTCATTCTTTTTCCTCCTCAGCTGGTGGTGCTTCATCAGCCACGGCATCAACTGGCGGGCCAGCGTCTCCCTTGCTTGAGGCGGAGTTCCGGGAGCTCCCCGAGCTTCTTGAACTCCTCGAGCTCGTGCTGCTCCCATAGCGATGCTTCCGCCGGTGCTTCTTCTTCTTCCTTTCTTTAAAGCGTACCGAGCCACGGTAGTACCAAAAGAAGACGGCGAAGCCGACCAGGGCGACGCCCAGAACAATACCCACTATGAGGCCGGTGCGTATGTTGGCATTGCGCGTGCCGTTTTCGGAGAACTGCCTCGAGAGGACGGTGTGGGCGTCCGATGGAGGGTCTTCCCCATCAGCGGTAGGCGGTGCGTTCCAAGGGATATACATCCCATCTGTTACTGGGAGTTATGTGCGCTTGCGCATATGCGCATATGGTGGTACCAATGCACAATGAACATAGTTGTGCGCGAGGACGCCAGCGAAAACGGGGGAGCCTGGGCCGACTATGTACTCGGTCCCTCATGGGGACCTTGGGAGCAGCGGGCGGACGGATGCATGCGCGATGCAATGCACGCATTGGCACATGAGGGCCGTGAGGCGATCAAGGGCTCGAAGCAGAAGGCGTGGGTGAGAGCATTCATGTATTCCAATCATCCGGACTCGAGGCTGGGTGGGAGGGGGGAATTTGCCAAAAGGGTCCGTGAGCCGCACTTGTTGTTTTGAGGCGTCTGCTTTGCATCGTCAACTTGGAGCTGGGCAGACATAGGCTATATAGATGATGTCTGCTACAATTTGGCAGTGTTGCGAGAGAGAGAGAACAGCCATCTTGGCATGCTCCTCCTACTTCGCTCACAGTGGTGCTTCTGTTCGACGACGGCCGCTGCTTTTGATAAGCCATCGACTTGATACAGGCTCGTTGACCAACAGTCTACATGTCGATGATATATGGGACATCCGTACAGGGAGGGGGTCCAGATGGTGCTGCTGGCGGGGGGGCCGTCGTGCATGCAGCTGTTCGTCCATTAAATGAATCATTAGAGTGGTTCCTCAATGAACATGAGAGCGCCGTGCATCGAGCACACGGCGATTGGTGTAAATATTATTCATGGAGGGGGTGCATTGGGTAGGAATTGGGCTCGTATGCAAGCCAGAGAAGAAGTTGAAGTCAAACAAACGACTGGGGGTGATTCGTGAGGATGGGTGCGCTCATTGGCTACCCTGTAGTTGCTACCTGCAGCAGGACATCCCCATTGCAACATCAATGGCCAACATGATTCGTTTAATCAATTACAAAACGGTCGTTTTCACGGAGTAAGGAGCATTTTTGCCGCTGAATCAATGATTAATATTCAGACGGACTCGACGGTACATGTGCATATAGATATAGCTCATAATACGCCAGCTGATGATATGTCATTTGCCCCTGACATGTCCTTGGTGAGTCGTGACATTCGCCCTACCCTAGACCTTCCTACCTTCTAACCTTCTAACCCCCGAGCTGAACATGGTGTTTGATAAGCACTACCGGCACTTACATGACAAGACGGTACGTAGACCCAACCATTGATGGGGTTCGCTCCCACTGCGTCGGTCCGTTCTCCAAGGGTCGAACGAGTGCCATGTGGTCATATGTAGACGCAAGGCGACGACGGTATGAGTAGATGCAAGGCAACGGTATGAGTAGCCGCAACGCGGTGTACGTAGTAAAGAAAAAAGCCAAGTGATAGTTAGCCATTTATCAGACTGCCTTCGCTCTCCACATTACACGACATGTATTGCTGGTTCCTGGCAGCTGGTCTTCTTGGTGTGGCCTCACAAGTCCAATCTGAGAATCTACTTACCCGGTAACGAGTACACATGAGACAGGCAGCAAGCACCATTTCACTTCATCTTATGTTCTGACAAGTTTATAACCCGCTGTTTCCGACGTCCTAAAACCTCCGATAGGCACGGCCGAGTCCTGGTCAGTCAATTGATCAGTGCGGTGAATGAAATGGAGCCGCCTGAAACATTGCCAAACAGCGGCCGACAGGCGGCATCGAGGCTTTTTGCAGTGGGACTCGAGGGATCAAACGTGACTTGGGCCGTCTTTGATGGCGCTCTTTGTAGAGCGTGATCTAGATGAACGATCATTCTCTCATCAATGACACTGTGTCAACTCCAGGCCTCCTCCTCGGGCCTCGAGACGCCAACCATTCGACAGGACAATCGCATGAGCTCCCAATCACCACCGCTCAGCTCTGCTGTTCATCTCTTGAGCCTCCAGTCGCTTGCGCACCCACTGTTTAAAGCATTTGGAGAGCGCACTACTGCGCATCGATGGCCCCAGCGTTTCAGCCATGGAGTTGCCAAAAAGAAGCCGTTAGGAGACCAGCGCGACACGCAGCCTCCCACACGCTCATTCTGTCAGCATCAACAAGATGGACAGGGGCCCTCTCCTTTTAACGTTGCGTACGCCGTGCCGATTGGGTAGGTGACGGTGGGCACCGTTGCGCGTACATCCCGGTGGCTTCACGCTTCCCTGCTCTTCGAGATCTGGTAACTTGTTAGTGTGGATATTAGATAGATGCGCGTCCTTTTGGTGGTGGCGGTAGTGGAAAGGGGACCGACATCTCCTCGAGACCTCGACGCTGGCGATCTTGTTCGTCTTCCCCATCCTCATTCCAGCCAGTGTCTTTCCCTGTTGCAGCTGCGCAGATTGTCATTCATTCGCTCGTTCGTTGCTGGAGAGAACCATTTCTACAGGACATTGAACGTCATCTGTCATTCCTTGGACTCACTTTTCACCCACTCGCTTCGCTCCCGGGACTGACCTTGACGGCCCTGCTTCGCTTCGTTCGCTTCGCTGGTCGAGCATCACTGGCCTTGACGGTCAATTCATCCTCAAGGGGACTATCGTACTCTCCATACTATGTATTTCTCGTTCTGGACCACGACACTCTCATTACATGCACTCGCAGCCACAGTATCCGCCTGGCCACAGGTTGGGCCGCACGACCGCAAGCTCAACTACCGATTCTTGCCCTCCCTCGACGACGAGGACCTCTCCTCCGGCCATGGAGCCTCCCACAGCACACTGCACATCCCCACAGCGAACCGTCGACACCTGCCCACGCTCGACGACGACGATGTCTTCACCCTGCCCATCGTCCACGCGCCCAAGCCCGCCCTCGTCTCACGCAACCTCGAGATCCAGCTAGAGAACCGCTCCGACGTGGCCTACTATGCGCCACTGTACATTGGCAGCCCCGCGCAGCAGATCTACGCCCAGCTCGACACGGGCTCCTTTGAGCTCTGGATCAACCCGGACTGCGCCGGCCTCACGTCCAAGACGGACCGCACCTTTTGCGCTGCCGTGGGGCACTACGACCCAGACGACTCCAAGACCGCCAAGGACACGGGCGACAGCAAGACGATGAACTATGGCGTCGGCAAGGCCGAGGTCGACTACTACACGGACGACATGGCCTTCTCGGACGACAAGGGCGCCAAGACCATCAAGGCAGTGCAGTTTGGCGTCGCGCGCAACAGCGAGGACCAGTTTGCTGGCGTCCTCGGCCTCGGTCACGGCAAGGGCGTCAACACGGACTACCCCACCGTCCTCGACGAGCTCTACGCGCAGGGCGTCATGAAGCGCAAGGCCTTTAGCGTCGCCCTCGGCAGCAAGGCCGAGGGCACCGGCGTCGTCGCCTTTGGGGGCGTCGACACGGCCAAGTTCACCGGCCCCCTCGTCGCCCTGCCCATCCTCCCCGCCAAGGACAGCCCGGACGGCGTGGCGCGGTACTGGGTCGAGCTCGAGGGCATTTCCCACGGCGGCAGCACCGTCCAGGGTTCCGGCATGCCCGTCTTCCTCGACACGGGCGCAACGCTGACGCTCTTGCCCCCGAGCGTCGTCAAGCGCATCGCCACTGGTCTGGGCTCGTCCGGCCAGGACAGCGCGGGCTACTACGACGTCGACTGCGCGCTGGTGGACGAGGATGAGACCATTGACTTTGATTTTGATGGGGGCCTGACGGTCAAGGTACCCTACCGGGAGGCCATTCGGCATTTCCACAACGGCGGCGATCCGAGGTGCTACCTGGGCATTGCGTCGAGCGAGGATTACGCCCTGCTGGGGGACACGTTCCTACGGTCCGCCTATGGTACGTGCTGGCGAGGGATTTATTTGGGGAGAATAGTGCGCTAACAGTGGCAGTGGTCTTTGACCTCGAGTCGGACACCGTCTTCATGGCGCAGTATGAGAACTGCGGCCGCCAGGTGAAGGCTATCAGCGGCGATCTCGAGGGGATCAAGGGGTCTTGTGGTGTCAGCACCAAGTCTGGTGAGGACAAGGACGAGAAAGCGGACAAGGCGGCTCCCAAGACGACCACCCAACAACAGGCCATGGCTTCGTCTACGGCAGAATCGTCCTCTACTGAGGTCTCTACCAAAGCGTCTACCGAAGCGTCTACCGAAGCGTCTACCGAAGCGTCTACCGAGACGAACTCAGCTACAACGACTGTCTCCAAGCCCAAGGAGACGACGTCCTCTGACGAGACTGACGAGGACTCCACGGAGGAGGAGGAGAAACCGCAAAAGGAGAAGGAAAAGTCCCCAGAAGAAGAGGAGAAGCCCCAGGAGGAAGAGGAAAACGCACAGTCAGACTCAGTCATCAGCAGCAACGACAGCGAGGAAGCCAACGACATCGAGCCCGACAGCGCAGCCGGCAAGGTCGACAGCCTCTTCTTTCTGAGTGTGGTCGTCGTTGTAGTCGTGGCAATGTTCTAATCGGGATGTAGGTACAGGTAGGTAACATAATGGTAATAGATATTTACACGCACTGCATGTGTTCTTGCCATATGAGCAAGTCCAATAATAGCACCCATGTTTTCATATCGTATGTACTGTAGCCTTCTCTCCCCCGTAGACGACTACAGAGGACGGATCTGCTTGATGCAGGCAGGCCCCTTGCCCTGCACGCCGCCAAAGTCTGCCAGGGGCAGTTTGGCCGCGGGCGTGGCCGCCAAGCGACCGTCCGCCGCCCTCTTGAACGCGGCAGCCCCGACGGGGCCGTTCTGGTTGCCGACAAAGAGCTCAGTCCCCGCTGGCGAGAGGGAGAACATGCGTGGAAGTACACCACCTGTCTCGGTCTCATCGAGGATCTCGAGAGTCCCCTCGGCGGGGGAGATGGCGTAGGTGGCAATGGTGTCCGAGGGCGCGCCCGTGAGACGGTTGGACACGTAGAGGTGAGCGTTGTCGGGGGACAGGGCGATGCCGCCGGCCGCGGCGCCCTTGGGGGCTGTCCCGTCGACAAAGGTGCTGATCTCCTGGGCGAGGGTGAGCTCAAGGGCGGCCTCGGTGTAGGTGACGGTGTACGCGAGGACCTGGTTGCTCAGCTCGCAGGCGACAAAGTAGTGCGTCGCCTCGTCGGCGGCTGCGTCGTGGGGGTAGAAGGTGCCGTGACGGGGGCCGCAGCCAGCTGGGGTGGCGGTGGTGCTGGTGAGTGTCCATGCGTCATCCAGGGAGTCGATGAGGAGGATGTCGTCGGTGCCGAGGTCGTTGACGACGAACCAGCGACCAGAGGGATCGTTGGTGGACTGGTGGGGGTGGGCGACGTCCTGGCTTGGTGAGACGGGACCCGTCTTGCCGGTCGAGTTGATGGTGGTGAGAAGGCGGAGCTGGTCGGCGGTCGTGTCCCAGATGTCGACAGCGGCGCCGCCGTAGGCTGCCGAGACCATGCGAGTGTTGTCCTGGTTGAAGGCCAAGTGGACGGAGGCGAGCGAGCCCGATGCCTTGGCGACGGGCTCGCTGAGGGAGACACTGGTGCTGTTGGCGGCCGGCAGGTTTAGATGGTACAGGTAGATGTCGCTGGACCACTCGTCCACGGCGTAGAGCTTGTTGGGCTCGACGAACTCGACCCAGGTGGGCGCGCCGGGGACGGAGGCGTTGAGCAGGGGAGTGAAGGCGGAGCCCGTGTACGCGGCGACGGTGATCTGACCCGTCGTTGACATGACGATGGTCGGCGGCGCCGAGCTGTTGCTGTAGGGATACCTGGGGAAGGGCGCGGAGGCGACCGCCCCGAGGGCAATGGGCTTGAAGGGGATTCTCATGATGGCGGTATCTCTGCCTGCTTGCTGTTTGCCAATGGCTGGAGTGTAGGGTCGTTCTGTGAGCGGAAGAGAGCGACTGGCCTGCTGAGTAAAGTTGATCTAGAATGGTGTATAGAAGAAAGGGATGATGGACGCGCACAGCACGGTAATGAGAGTACGAGAGCAGACAGGCAGCCTTGTCAAAAGGTCCAAAGGTCTGACGACGAAACGAAGCAAAGACGGATCGAGCACAAGGAGCGGACCTGGGCCGTCAGAAACGAACAAAACAGAGGTGAGATGGATAATGAAGCCAGTGAATCATGAACCAGGCACAGAGACGAAGGATAACCATGTAATATATGTACGGATAGAGGGAGATAGATGTCGCGTACGGAGGGAACGTGACGGCATGGCTCGTGCTCGTGCTATCATCCTTCGAAAAGGGAAGGCGGGCGGTAGACAACGTTGGATGGATCATGGCTGGAAGGTCTACATAGCAGGATCGGCGCTATCCACAGCGTCGGGTCTTTGTCCGCGCGTTTCAACACCATGCGAGAGCGAGGAATGCAGCAGGTGAGACGAGGCTGCCATTGCTACATCCGTTCGAGGGAGTGGTGTAGTGCAGACAGCAGGCTCCATTGGCTGTGCATTGCACGGTGACCGCGCTCGCTTTCCATTCATGCTGAGGCCGGCCAGTCGACGTGGTGGACCGCGTGAAGGCAGTGGACTGGGACGGAGGTCAGTGGAATTGGTTGGTTGGTGGGTGAAGGTTGATGGTTGAAAGTTGAAACGTGGGAATCGGGGGCGAGAACCGCGATGGATTGTAACGGTCTTGCGTAGCGGCACCTACTGCGCAGTGATTGGCTGAGAGGCACCAGAGTGCCACAGACACCACCACCAGAGGTGGCGCAGTGCCGATCAGGGACGCACAGTGCCGTGATGCCCTGGGAGTGGTCCGCACTGTTGCACCGCACGGTACGTGCCTGTCGACAGCTTCTTTTCTTGGCAGCCAGACATACATCAATCAGCCTCCAGTCGTCGTGACATGACCTTCTCCATTGCTCCCAGACTACGTACCACTGCGTAGAATATGGTGCAACCATCCAAGCGGCACCACACGCACGCCAAACTCTCCCAGGGACGCTACCTCTGCCAGCAGCAACACACTTGGGCAGGCCGCAGACATGGATCCTCACATCTCGCCTGGCGGCTGAAACGCGAACAAACACTCCACCCTGCCTTTCCTTGAAACATCTCGAACAGCCTATGGTCCAAATCCTGTGATAATAACTCACGATGCTGCACTTCCCTGCTACCTTCTGTGACACTCATCAAAGAGTATCTCCGTCCCCACACTCCGTGACAAAGTGCGGACAACAAGTGCCGACAGCTCATCCGCGTACACAAGAGAAGAAAGACAGAAGTCTGATCATGGACGATCTTCATCTCCGAACCTGTTTTCCCTCCGATTGATTGACGCATTCTCCAACGAGCTACGATCGGCGAAATTTCTGCGCAGCCAGAGATCAAATATGTTTTCCCAATCCAGCACCAGCACGTACGTACGTAGCTCCGCTGTGGTTTTGATTGATAGATTGTACGTACCTGACGATCCAACCGAACAGCTCACCGTAGAGTAATTAGGTGATTCTTGATCACTGTGCATGGCTGTCAGATCCCTCGGCCATCGCTGCCTATTTCTCTCCGCTCTCGTTGTCGCAGAGTCGCCGACATCATGCTCACAAACTAGGACTGACTTGCTCTGGTTGGCATGTTCTACCTCAACAACGTCTTCACGGCAAGGCTCCCCTGATTCAGCTGCCAACAATTATGAGAAACGACAGTAGGCCGAACCGCAATCAACAAAACTAATAAATAGGTATCTATTCGGACCTGGACACCACCTTCACCACGTAAGAGCCAGGGCCTTGCCCTCATAGCTCTGCCCACCCTTCTCCAGCACCCTCGTGGTGATGAAACGCCCCACGGCACCTCTCGAGATGGTATATCCAACCTCAATCTTCTCATATTCCGCTGTCTTGGCATCTTCAACGCTGACACGCACCTTGTCGTCGCTCTCCGGACAGTCCGTGTCCACCAGCAGACTCGGCCGCACAATGACGAACCGCTCCCCAGAACCGGCCAGTGTCTCTTCCATGTTCCGCTTGTCAGCGTGCGGCTCGGCTAGGCCCCAGTGATACAGAGGATACATAAGAACGGGATAGTCGCGGACACCAGATCTGGAGATACCCGTCGTGCTCAGTGCGCAGACGAGAGGACGGCCCTGGTTGCCCTGTGTCCTGACTTCCTTGAGCGCGGCGATGAGCGTCCGCATGCCCTTGGTGCAGACTTCAGGGTCGGCCAGCTTCAGACTCATGCCCGTTGGTCGTAGACCGATGGACGTGTTGACGCAGTCGACGAGGCGGCCCTGGTGGACGAGGGCACCCTTTACATCCTCGAGGCTGTGGGCGTTGCCCTCGCGGACAATGAGGTTGTCGGGGTATTTTTCCGAGAGGTCGTCGGCCTTGGAGGGATAGCGTAACAGGGCAATGCAGGTGTGTCCATTTTGAAGGGCCGTCACGAGCGCAGAGCGGCCACAGCCAAGGGAGGCGCCGATGAAGAGGATGGTGAGGGACATGACGTTGCAGGTGAGGTGGTACTAGATGCAGAATGTTGTTTGGTATACGAGTCTTTCTCAAGAATCGGGCAATGCCATCCTATTTATCTTCCTTCGAAGCATGTAAGCCCTTCACGCAATACCGTCGTCGGCGCAACTGATACGAGGACCCCGAATCGTGGCGTTTTTAGTGCGCCCGCTGAGCTGTTACTGAGCAAGTGGTGAATGCCGCACTGCACTAACAGGGCTGTTGGAGTCGGACAGATTCGCGCCGGCGAGGGTGGGGCGCGTGCCGGGTTCCTTTCACCACCATCATATCATCCTCACGCTTTCCGCACGGCGTGAACAAACAAATACGAACGGTATTGAACCCACAAACCGACTTCCAACAGCACACGCACATAATTGAGTAAGTGGAACGTGAACCTTCTAGAAAGAGATGAGCTTTGTTCATGTCTCAGCTGACACTGGCCGCAGGCGCCCCACGGCAGCTCCTCTTTCGCCTACACGCGTCCTGAACAAACGTCACCTTTACCTCGCGATACCGTGACCACATTCTTTAAGAGCGACCACGCCAGTGACAGCTACAAGCATAGGGAGACGGAGAAGACCAGTCCGTACGGTGTGCATGGGACACGCTGACCCATCGAGGGGCTAACACCGTCGGATGACACTGGGGGAGAAGGAAGAGTGTCGAACCTCAAATTGGACTGGATTTGACCTCATTGCCCTGCCTGACTAAATAAAGAAGTGGGCTGCCAAAGCATTGTCTGGTACTTGTATAACCTGCATGCCATATGATACTTGTTGCCGATACCAAAACCCCACTGCCGAGACGGAAAGAATATTACCAGAGCGGGGGAAAAAGAGAGTGAAAAACAAGAAAAGCAACTCAAGCCTGACGCCGGAATCATGCTGCGCCGAAGTTGTTGTCGTCGCGCCGTGAGTGTCCCTCCTCACACAAAGATTAAATGCACACGCTGCCACTAGCCTCGCCAGACTCGTATAAAACCATTCTCATAAAGCCTAGCCTAGCTCTACCGCCAGTACAGGGCGCATCCGGCCACAACAATGGCCAGCAGACTCGCCTGGGCTTTTGTCCCTGCATTGCCGCCGTCCGTGCTGCTGCTCTGGCCCGCATCGTCGTTCGAGGACAGACCCTGGTCAAAGTTGCTCCAGTCGTACTCCTCCGTCGGCTGCGTGCCGCCGGCGTCACCACTGGTCCCAGCGCCGCCGCCCGACGACTCGCCCTCGTCGCTGTGGTCGTTGCCGGTGGATCCCGTGGTGCCACCGGGGACGGTCTTGGGCTCTTCCTTGTCGTCGTCGTCCTTGTCGTCGTCATCATCGTCGTCCTTGTTGTCGGTCTTCTTTTTCCCCTTTTCCATGTTGAGACCCGTGGCTTGCATCGAGGCGAGGACCGTGTCCCGGTCCCCATCGACAATCGTGTTGTTGGTGCCGACCTCACTGTCGTACCAATAGCTTTTGTTGTCGTTGGTTCCCAAACCGTCCTTGCCATCGTAGCACTCGATGCTGACGGACTCCACCTCGACGTAAAAGTACCCCAGGCGCTTGATGTCCTCGTGGTTCCAGTCAATGGTGCCGCCCGCCCAGTTGACGGTGCCCTCGGGGTTGCCCTCCGCACCACCGGGCCACAGCGAGAGCTGCACACGGGAAGGCGTCTGGGGGTACTCCCAGAGTTGAGCGGTCGCGTTCCAGGTGCCCTCGCGCTCGACGGTGCGGCCGACCTTGCCGTCAACCAGCCACTCGATCTTGTCAGGGGTCCAGCGGAATTCATAGTCGTGAAAGTCGCTGAACGAGTTCTCCAACGTGATGTTCTCGGAGTTTGTGTAGTTGGTGATGCCCTGGAAGTAGTAGTTGGTCTGCGCGGTCTCGAGGTCGACACCAATCCACTCGTAGTCAATCTCGTCCTTGACGTCCGAGAAGAGAATAAAGGCTGTGACGACACCACGTCCACGCGACGACTTCATGCGCGCCTTGACGTTGCCGTACCATAGATAGGTCGTCGACGACATGACCGTGCCGACGCTGCCCTTGGGCATGGTGAGGAGAACATTGCCGTCGTGCTGGGCGGGCTCGCCCGAGGCCACCCAGTCGTAGTCGGTCGGGTCGCCAAGGTATTCGCCAATGTCAGCCACGCGCTTCAGGGACTTGAAGTCGAGCTCCTTGCTCTCGCAGACGGGTGCGGGAACGCAGGCATCGAGCGAGTAGGAAGCCGTGGGGTCACAGCCACCGAGGCAGAAGGCGCCGATACCACATTCGCCGTATTCTGACATTGTTAGCCTGGAGCCTCTCTACCTGGGACTTCGGTGGGTAGACAAGGAAGACATACGAGAGCAGCAAGGTGTCTCCTCGGGGCACTGCTTGTCGCGCGAGCACTCAGCACCGAGCACCGAGCAAGCGCCCAAGAGCGTTGCCAACACCACAGACTTGAGCATGGCTGTTGGAGCAAAATGCGGCCAGAGAGTGTTGCGTGGAAAAGCACAGGACAGGTTTTAAACCCGCCAAACGTAGGTAGGTAGCGAAAGGACGGAAGCCAAGGTTGTTGTTGACAGTCCTGTGAGCGACTGGAATGCTGATGCGACTCAGGTGTGCATGAAACGATGAGACACGCGCGTGATGACGACGGGTAATAAGTCGTTTCGGTACGCGTGCGTGAGTCGATCTCGGACAAATGCTTTTTTTTTTCTTTCGGCGTCTCGTGCGACCGTTGTCGAAGTGTCAGATTGCGGAGTGCAGCTGTGGCGGATGTGTCTCGGAAAGGAATCTGCAGCGGAACGAGCGAGCGAACGGTATTACTGATGATGATCCGAGGCTACTGCTGCAAGGGAGCCGAGGCCAGAGAACGAGCGAATGACCTCTGCAAGGATTTTATGCCGCCTGTGATGACGAGAGCAGCACTGGGCTCTGGTTCCTGGCAAAGGGTCGTAAGTGATGAAGTGAGGGAATGGATGATGAATGGGCTGCGGATGGGCGAGAAAAGGAGGACTGTGCCTGTTGCTGCGCGCCTGGGGCCGCCCAGCGTAATTGGGCCGCTCTAGACGAGCCATGACTGGATCGGACCGTCAGGGGGCCGAGAGGGGCGGAGACACCCAGGACTAATTAGGCTAGGTAACTGTCGCTACGTTTGTTGCTCTGCAGCTCTGCAGTGTATCACAGCGCTGTAGGTCGGTTTTTCAAAACGGGTCAAGGAGGCCGTGTTTATTGGTACTCGAGAATTGTCGTTAAAAGTAGTTCGTTCCCCTTTAGGACCATACAGATTAGAGTTTGCGGGAGAGACTTTGGCTTCACAAGTTCAGTGTCTTCCCGTGGGTCCCAACTCGGACTAGCGCAAGATCAACGACAAGGCACGCTCGTATTCGCGATGCGGCCGCTTGGCACTGACAAGGCAAACCTCAGTCAAACAAGAGGAACTGCCCAGCATCGAACTCCGCACTCAAACATTGAAATTGTGCACCTGCAACCTGCCAAATGTTTGGATAGAAATTATCGCACAATCGCGCTGGACATGCCGCTGTGCCGTCTCGACACGATCGGGCAAACTGCCATGTCGGGTATAATAAGGGGTATGTAGTTATAACACGCCTGGTGAGGCCACCGACTTCCTAAAAACCACGAAGCTCCCACGGTACATATAAGCAAGCATCAGACATTCGGTACAGTTCGCTAGCGTTGGACCCTGTCGAAAACGAACAGCCTCTGGTTCTATCGCCCTTTGCCATTAGCAAATAGCTCTGCTTTTCGTTAGTCTTCACCCCACGTGTTGGCGGCCAGAGTCCGTACCTGGGAAGTGCTCCTTTGCGTACTGCTCGCATGCTTTTGCCGGCTTGCTGACCTTTTGGCCAATGACCTTCCACTTGTTGTTCTCGTACTCCTTGATGGCCTGCATCAAAGCTTGGCTCTGCTAAAGGGTCAGCTCGAGCTCGACATGGCATTCACATAAACGTACCTCATCCTCAGCAAACTCCGCGTAGTGCATGTCCTTGTACCAGTGCTTCTTGACCGAGCCCTCTGTGCGGGCGGGGAACGTCTTGGCAATCTCAGCCCAGCTGTTGCCAGCGTCACGCATCTGCTTCAACCGCTGCTCTTCTTGCGGCGTCCAGGGCGTGTTCGTTCTGCTCTTCTTGGCAGGCGGCGGGCCAGCGGCCGCCGCAGCGTCCGCCGTGGCAGGCACTGTTACCATCACAGGCACGGCGGGCGCTGGGGCTGCAGTGACTTGGACAGGGACTTGCGGCTGCTGTGGGGTCTGGCCAAGTTGCTGTGGCGCCTGGGCATGTGTCTGTGAGGCGGGCGGCGCTACTTGAGCTTGCTGCTGTTGCGGCGCCACATGCTGGGCTTGGTGCTGCTGTGGCTGTGGTGGCGGCTGCTGCGGCTGTTGCTGTGCGTGTTGCTTCTGGGGTTGCTGAGGGGACTGCTGCTGCTTCTGTTGTTGTTGCTGCTGCTGCAGGTGTTGCGGGTGCTGTGGGTGTTGAGGGTGCACGCCGTGTTGCGCATGGCTGGCAGGCGATGGACGCTGGGCGTGCTGAGGATGGTGCTGGTGCTGGTGGTGCTGAGGATGCTGGTGTTGCACGTGCTGGGTATGTTGCTGTTGCTGTGGATGCGGGTGCTGTTGCTGCGGCTGCATGGGAGCGACGGGAGGAGCGGGCGCGGCTATCACAGCTGGCTGCGCGGTGGGCGTCGATCCTGGAGCAGGTCTCTTGCGCTGCCTAGGCGGTTGGGCAGGCGTCTGAGTGGGCGTCGCTTGTTGCGAAGGGGGCCCATTCTGTTGCTGGGCTGGACCTTTCGCCGGCTGAGGGGGCGCAGCATTTTGCTGCTGCTGATGTTGTTGCTGTTGCTGTTGCTGTTGTGGCGACATGCTAGGCGCCTGCGCAGGAAATTGATATCCCATGCGCTGCTGGTCATTCCGCCGGGCCATGTTGTCCCCTTGGTAGCCATGTTGCTGCTGTCTTTGACGCGGTTAGCATTCTGGGCCGCCAATACTCGCGCAGAGAGCGAGGGAGTGATAGACAGGACAATGGGGACAGATAGATGTCATGGCAGAGGTTCACATCATAAAGGCGCACGAGATATGTCACGGCGACAGTGTCATTGAATGGGGTGACATGATGAAGGTGGTGATACCCGACAGGTGGGCGACAGGAAATTTGCCGACGTCGTTTGCGACGTGCGCATGGTCAAGTTGAGCGAGCAAACACTTGCTTGCCAAGTGTGCAAAGTGTTGTAGGCAATGGGATATGTGCGGTACGGTAGCGGCACAACAGAAGAGACGATGAGTGTGTGAGGTGGTGTTTGATGGCGTAAGAGGTACCGGGGACAAGGAAGCAAAGTATCGTCGGTACTCACTGCAAGTCATTGCCCGTGTGTGGAGAGTTGGCGTAGACGTAGTCTGGCACGGGGCCAACCTGCCATTGCTCCATCCTGCGAGCTGCGCGTGGCAAGGAAAAGATCGAGCAGGATCGCTTGACGCTCGACGGAGCGAGATTGATTGTTGATGAGCGCGTTCGCGCTGCGTGACACGGTTGATGCTTGTGTTGACAGAGGGGAAGAGAGCAAAGATGGGAACCACGACGGGACGGGGCATGACGAGACTCGGACGGACCAGTGACCTTTTTTCTCAGCGGCGGTCTCGGTGGGGCGAAGTTGGGGCTGGGGCTGCAGAGGACGCCATATGAGTGGCTGAGACCAGCAACTGATGCGCGCCAGCCTCCGTATCAGGCTTAGTGTGCCCTCAGCTCGTGCTGATAGATGCGCCAGCTGTCCCCACAACGAGTGTTCTGTACTGTACTGTACGTACAGTATCACAACGATTTTCTCATCGTGTGTTATTTGTGATATCTCACTTTACAACTGCTGTCGTTTCCGGAAGCCTTTTCAAGGAGTTCTTGGAAATTTGCGACCAACTTCCATCGGCCACATGGAGCGCGGGGGGCTGCTGTCAAGTGCTCTGGCTGCAACATCAACGGCAATCGCTCGGTCGCTGCCGTACACGCATACACCTTGGCACGATTTTTCGGTGAGACAACAACGACTACAGGGCCTGGCGTCAGACTATTTACTTTCTGAATCCTGGCCACAAAAGCTTGTTACTTGGGGCGCTCACCCAGAGGTATAACCTCAAGATTTTGCGACAGCCCGACTTGAAGCTAGGCTCAATTGATAGTGCTGTGCCTGATGATCTTCAGTTCAAGTTGCTTCGACAGTGGGACCCCATCTCTGAGCGATAAGTGCATTCGTGAGGCTACAGAGCAGCGCATGCTGCGGGCATCGTGCCGCGCCGTCGTCGAAAGCTGTGATTCATGCCTGAAGAAAATTAATTGAAAATATAATTCTTTATACCACTGAGGCCCTGATGCACTTACACGTAGTAGCGGAGGTGGCGCAGAGCCAGACCCCCCTGTCATCATGTCGTGCGCCAACAACTGCCAGCGACGCAAGCAGCTGACAGCACAACGCATCAGCATCGCTTGGACACTGTCTATCTGCCTGGAGTTGGTGTAGCTACGCAGGGACGATACAATAAATGTCTTCAAAGCATTGGCATATCTAATTATACTAATTTGGACCATCCGTTATAGCATATGGGGTATACACCAATCGTCTAGTTGAGGTACTTCGGCCGCAAGTCACTCCAGCACCGGTCAGTCCCATGTTCCCCCAGAATCCGATGCGACGCGGATCCGGACGGGCGCCGCGACGGGTGTGCGACACTGTGCTTCTGGAGCTTAACACTGTAGTAGTCTGCGCAGTGTCCTTCTTAAGCACAGTGTGCGGCTTCTTTCAGTCGATTAGCTTTCATCTTCCGTAAGTTGATTTCTACCATGGTGCGAGCTAATCTTGAGATCGCTCAAAGATCCATGTTATTTCTCATCATAAGGTAGCGAAAAGGCAGCCACAATCGATTTGGATCCCTGCCCAAGCGCGTATTCACGTGATCACACTGCCCCTCCACCGTGGACACAGTGGAGCATGACTCGTCCCTTAGAAATTTTCTTATCGCCGTGCCGATAAGGCTATCACAAGACTTCACGGTCGCCATCCGCCGCCAATTGCTCGTAATTTTTCTGAGCATCCGCCATCACATCCATCAAATTGTAGAAGAACCGACTCGCGAGCCTGCCGCCTTGCCAACTTTGTTCTTGCTCTTGCGTCGGACTTTGCCCCTTGCAAAGCCACCCATCCATCCGGCACGATGCGCGTTGTTCTTGTGAGCGGCGGTGTGATTTCCGGCGTTGGCAAAGGTCAGTGCTGATGGAGCGGCGGGCCTATTGTGTTTTTACTATCCTTGTACATTTATAAAAAGTCATATACTGATAGTCGTCTCGTGCAGGGATCATTGGTACGATTAATACAGACCTCTATGCTCTCACTTTTTTCCCGCTAATGATCGCTCCCCGTGTAAAGCCAGCAGCGCCGGTCTCTTGCTCAAGACAAAGGGTCTGCGTGTCACGGTACGCTGACTGACGCCGGCTCCCGGGACAATTGCGTTGACAGGATGGCAGGCACTGAAGATTGACCCTTATCTGAACACCGATGCCGGTCTTCTGAGCCCCCTTGAGCACGGCGAGTGCTTTGTGCTCGCTGACGGCGGTGAGACCGATCTCGACTTGGGTAACTATGAGCGTTACCTCGGCATTCAGCTCAGCCACGAGAGCAACATGACCACAGGCAAGGTCTACCAGCATGTCATTGTACGCGCGACCGTGACCCACCATTGGAAATGTGGCCAGCCATGCTGACTCGACCAGAACCGCGAGCGCAAGGGCGACTACCTAGGCAAGACCGTCCAGGTCGTGCCTCACATCACAGATGCCATCCAGGAGTGGATCGAGCGTGTCGCGCGGATCCCCGTCGATGATTCGGGCGAGGAGCCCGACGTCTGCATCGTCGAGCTTGGTGGCACGGTCGGTGACCTCGAGTCGGGGCCCTTTGTCGAGGCCCTGGTCCAGCTGCGCCAGCGCCTCGGACCCCAGAACTTCCTCAGCATTGCCGTCTCGTACGTGCCCATCATCACGGGCGAAGAGAAGACCAAGCCGACGCAGCACGCCATCCGGCAGATGCGCAGCGCCGGCCTGATCCCCGACGTCGTGGCCTGCCGCTGCGAGCGCTCGCTCGACGATGAGACCATTCGCAAAATCGCCCGCAGCTGCCAGGTGCAGTACGAGCAAGTCATTGGCGTGCGCAACATGGAGACCATCTACCAGGTGCCCCTGCTGCTCGAGGAGCAGGGCCTCTCCAAGCTGCTGGAGAAGGGCCTCGGCCTCGAGACCCTCGAAGCCAGCCTCTCCAAGGCCCGCACCGACAAGGGACGCGAGCTCTGGGACCTGTGGCGCAAGACGGTCGTCCCCGAGAAGCACCTGCCCCCCGTCAACATTGTCCTCGTGGGCAAGTACACCGCGCTCGACGACGCCTACCTCTCCGTCCGCAAGTCGCTCGAGCACTCGGCCATGCACTGCGGCCGCAAGCTGAACCTCGTCTCGGTCGACTCGGAGCATCTCGAGCCGCACATGCAGGAGAAGGAGCCCACCAAGTTCCACGATGCGTGGAAAGCCATCTGCGCCGCCGAGGGTGTCCTCGTGCCCGGTGGTTTCGGCTCGCGTGGCGTCGAGGGCATGATCCTAGTCACAAAGTGGGCGCGCGAGCGCAAGGTCCCCTTTCTGGGTATTTGCCTCGGCATGCAGGTGGCCGTCGTCGAGTACGCGCGTGAGAAGCTGGGGCTCGTGGGCGCCAACTCGGAGGAGATCAACGCCAATGCGCCCCACAAGGCTGTCATTTTCATGCCCGAGGGCTCCAAGGAGTATGCTCTTTTGATGTACATCTGCACGCATGGGACAAGGAAACTGACGAATGCGCAGGCAAATGGGCGGCACGATGCGCCTGGGCACCCGTACCTCTCACTTCCAGCCAGACACAGAATGGAGCAAGTTGCGCGCCATGTACGGCGGCAAGCAGGTTGTTGAAGAGCGTCACCGTCACCGTTATGAGGTGAACCCCGAGATCACGGGGCAGTTGGAAGAGGCTGGCCTCACTCTCACGTCTCTCGACGACCAGGGCGTGCGTGTCGAGTCGATTGAGCTCAAGGACCACCCGTTCTTTGTTGGGTGAGTGTCTTCTTTTCTCTCTCTCTCTCTCTTTCTCTCTCTCTCATTGTTTAATCCTTTCCATGAAACTGTTTGCTGACACCCGCCTAGCGTCCAGGCCCACCCCGAGTTCACCAGCAAGGTGCTCGATCCGTCACCTGCCTACCTCGGCTTTGTGGCAGCCAGCGCTGGCATGCTGGACCAGGCGATCGCGGCGGCGGCGACCAAGACGAAGCTTGTGACGAACGTGACGAATGCCTTTTAGATTAAATATCACATGACAGATACCTGGACACACTACAGGAGGCGGAGGGGCGGTGTCACGGGATAGACAAGACAGGCATCATAGCTCTGGCGTTTCGGGAACCAAAACGGACTGGGATGATTTGAATGTTGCAATATGGGACAGATACGACCAAATAAAGTGGATCACCAACGCTGCGAGCACATCTTTGTCTCCATGTGACTGGCTTTCACAGGTGGGCTGTGAAGACCGTGTCGATCCCCCCTGTCACCACCGTCTTGTAGACCATGTAGTCGTCCGTGCCGTACTTGCTGCCCTCGCGGCCCCAGCCAGAGTGCTTGATGCCACCAAACCTGGTAGAAAAGTCAGTCACACGCTTGTCTGGCCATTTTATAGAAAGAGAAAAACTCACGGGGCGGCAAAGTCGGCAATGACACCAGTGTTGACGGCCACCATGCCATATTCCAGTAGCTCCGAGACGCGATGGTATCGCGAGAGATCCGAGGTCATCAGGTACGAGGCCAGGCCGACCTCGACATTGTTCGCGCGCCGGATCACCTCCTCCTCCGTCTTGAAGCGCGTCAGCGCCGCCAACGGACCAAACGTCTCCTCGGTCGTCACCTTCATCGAGTCGTCCACGTCGCCCAGGATGGTCAGCTCGAAGAAGTTGTCGCCCAGCTGGGGGAGACGCTTCCCGCCGAGCAGGACAGTGGCCTTCTTGGCCACGGCGTCCTGTACGTGCTCCTCGACCTTGGCGACGCTCGTCGTCAGGGGCCCGTGGGTGACGCCCTCGTCCGCACCGTTACCGACGCGGAGCTTTTTCACCTCCTCCACCAGTCGGGCGCTGAACCGGTCGTATATGCCGTCCTGCACGTAGATTCGGTTGGCACACACACAAGTCTGCCCGCTGACCTTGAATTTGCTGGCGAGCGCACTCGTCACGGCCGTTTCGAGATGGGCGTCCTCGAACACAATGAATGGCGCGTTGCCGCCGAGTTCCAGGCTCAGCTTCTTGAGCGTATCGGCCGACTGCCTGGCGAGAATCTTTCCGACGCGCGTCGAGCCCGTGAAGCTGATCTTCTTCACAAGAGGGGACTCGCACATGGCCAGACCCAGCTCGGGCGTGTTGTTTAGCGATGTCACCACGTTGAGCACGCCCTGGGGTATGCCCGCCTTTTCAGCCAGTATGGCAAGGGCGTTTGTCGAAAAGGGCGTGTGGCCGTCTGATTTGATAACGACGGTGCAACCAGCCGCCAAGGCCGCCGCGATCTTGCGCGCACCCATGGCCATGGGGAAGTTCCAGGGCGTGATAAGGCCGCAGACGCCGATGGGTTGCTTGAGGATGAGCGTCCTGCTCTGGGCATTACCATGCGGCACGACGTCGCCGTAGATCCTGGGTGCTTCCTCGGCAAACCACTCAAATGTCCCACTGGACATGGCCGCCTCGCCTTCTGCGTCTGCCTTGGCTTTGCCATTCTCCAGGGTGATAATCTTGCCAATGTCGCTCTTGTGTTGGAGGATCAGGTCCGAAAGCTTGCGTAGGTAACGGCCACGCATGCGACCAGACTGTGCCCGCCATAAAGGAAATGCCTTTGCGGCCGCTTGGATGGCGGATTGGAGATCATCGGTAGTCGATTCGGGACATGCGCCCAGGAGCTCGCCGGTTGCTGGGTTGAAGACCTCAAAGGTCCTGTTGGACTCGGAGTCAACCCATTGGCCATTTATGTAGGCCTTTGCAAGTATGAGTGAGGGCTCTGAGAGAGCAGAGGTGAAGGCCGACATGATTCCAGTGTGCTTTAGAGCGTAAATGTGCTGTGGCCATTGAAGGAGGAGGAGGAGGAGGGTATATACGCCTGGGCTGAGTGCGGGAGGAGGACAGAGTCTCTAGAACGACACGACTATCCGGGCTCTCAGCCGCCCTCCCCGGAGCATTTAAAGTCCAATGATCAAACTCCAGATATTTGAGATCTGGGAATTGTCGAGAGTCTTCTCCGTCTGTGTGACAATGCCGGACAGGCGGTTACCCGATTAGGCAATTCTCATGAGAACCGCGTCTTCACGCCTTAAGGCCTTGGATGGCTGGTGCATCACTTGATGACAACGAGAACTTTGGCTCTGGACAGTATATCATCCCCTTTCTTGCATTCTAATCATCCCCGAGGCCTTTCTATGGCCAGGGGGACGTCAACCAGGGGTCCAGAGGTAGTAGTAAGTACAATAGTCGACCCACCTTGGCATGCGTGCAAGTGAGCTTCACCACAAGTATAGAGGAAGAACACTATTGCCGTCTCGAGACAAGTTAGATCGCTTAAAGTCGGCAAGTGTTCTATGAAAATACATGTTATCGCTACTGAAGCCTTGCTGGACATCAAAATTCTACCTCCAAGCCGCAATGCACGAACCCGCCCCCTTGCGCCGTAGCCGCTGCCACCGAGCTGCTCAGCTGCTGGCTGACCCAGCGCTCGCCTGCTCCATGGCAATCTCGTACATGCGCACGAAACTGATGGCCGCGACTAGCTCAAAGCGCACGCCCATCTCGCCCCGGGCGCCGCTGCCGAGGAACTCGAACCGGGGCGAGTTGCGGAACATCTTGGGGTACGCGGCAGCGGCGACAACCTCGCGGCCGTCCGAGGTGTAGCCCGGGGGGAAATCCTCCTTCCCGCCGGCCAGCGTGTAGGGCGAGTCCATGCGCACCAGCTTCCAGCCTTGGCAGCCGCTCGCGAGATTCTTGACCTCGTCGCCCATCGACCTGCGCCACTCAAAGTGCTCGACCGTGCCGTTCTCGAGCGTCACGTCGAACCCCTTGGAGCTGCCGCCGGGTCCGAATGCGCCGACAATGTCCTGGCCGGGGTCTTCCTCCCCCATGGAGGGAAGGCTGATGACCGAGCGGCGGCCCAGGCTGCCCTTCTGGCCCTTGACACTCACGAGGGCAGGCGAGTCCTTGGCGCTGCCGTCGCGAAGGGTGATGGCCCTGTGGGCAAAGCAGTTCATGCGGCTGGGCACAGTGACGGCAAAGTCACGCTCGCCCTTTTCTGCGCCGATGAACGAGGTGGACGAGTGCCAGCGGTAGTCAAGCCAAAAGCTTTGTGGGAGCTTGAGGGTTGTGCCTGGCGCGGAAGACAATGATGACGGAGCAGAGAGGTCGGCGGAAGAGGCGGGCGAGTAGGGAGGGGGGCCCTGGCCGTCGGATGTTAGATGGCCCTCGCTCTTCTCGTCCGGATACTTGGTGCTCAATCTCTCGACAAGACCCATGACAGTGGTGTCTCTGGATGTGCTGTGGTTTCGTGTTGATGGCTCAAGCAATGGATACAAATAATGTTTCCAATCACCGACCATATGGGAAATCCCATACCTTTTATTATATCTTCTGCCAGAGCTAGACAATCCCTCTCTCCGCTCCCCCTCATGATCAGCATCGTCGGGCGGCGTGAAGCACAGCCATGACCAGGCTTCATCTCAATGAAGTAATTGGGGCCATTTGCAGTCGACATAGCCATGCTGGTGTGGCCCGCGGGGACTCCTATAGGCTGGCTCGTAGCGACGGACTTGATTATTCCTCAACCCGCAGGTGTCGAATTGCGACTCAGCGATTTGACACGGCAACCAGACCTCTCTTACGACTCGGGGCCTTTCAAGCAAATGGCCGATTCAGAAGTGGTCTACGGAGCAAGAAAAAAAAAGGAGGCTGCCGCTGGTGGAGCGCATCCGCAAAAACAAAGGTCTCAGAGGGAATTGAACCCTCATCTCGAGAATCAGAATCTCACGTGCTAACCATTACACTATGAAACCATTAACTGCGTCTCTGCGATTGTCAAAATACTTATATTTTGTATCCCGTGGATATCGAGAGCCAACACGTCAGAAAGCCACATGCACCTCCGACACGCCCTTTCGTGTACCTCTCAGACACATGTTCAACCAAGGCTGGTGAACAAGCACTTTGACTTACACTCGCTCGCTCAGGTTAAACCTCCATTGCCCCGGCACACCAAGTCTCACACGACCCTTAGCATTAAGTGAGACAGTCTCCAAGGTAAGCACAGCTCACCGCGAGACAACCACCCCGTCATCGTGACATGTGCAGTCCCGTCGCAGCCGCCATTCATAAATAGGGGACCATCGCCTCTCCTAGACGCGTGATGCCTCAATCACTCCCCTGACTCCTACAAACAACCACCCGTCCAGCTTACCTAGTAGTCATGCTGTCCCTCGTCCTCGTCCTCGCCCTCGCGGCGCCCCTCCTCGCCGCCGCCCTCCAGCCATGCGGCCTCAAGATCGCCCCCTGTCCCAAAGACACCGAGTGCATTCCCGTTTCGCCCGAGTGCACCGACCTGTGGCGCTGCCGCGGTGTCTGCGAGTACAAGAACGCGTACCCGAGCTGCGGCGGGTATCGAGTCAAGCCGGTGGACTGCCCCCCTGATGCTGACTGTCGGGATGACCCTCGACTGGAGAATGACTGCGGGATGGCATGTGACAAGCCTGGCATGTGTATCCCCAAGGACATACCGCGATGTGAAGACAGAGAGTGCCCGTTGGGACTGTGGTGTTATACCATGTTGGAAGTGGACGGTTGCTCGAAGCAGGTGTGCTTGTGAGGGCTTTTGTCCAGTTGTGTTGTTGAATCTTGACTTGCATTGGAGTTTCCCATAGGTATTGAAATCGCTATTGTTGTAATATGTGTTTTTACCTTACAGGTGATTAATTACAGACTGTGTTGCTAGGGGGAATGAAATTTCAGGGTAGCTTAATCCCGCCATTGGCAAACTGCCAATCAAAGTGCACTATGGTTAGGGCACGGTTAGGCGTGCAGCGTGCACGCGTGCAGTGGGTGCGTACATGTAATAGCGGTAGATCACCCGCCCACAACGCCCGCACTATACCTAGATCTGCCAGTCAAGAAATGGTAAGCTCCAACTGCCGAGTCGTGTCGATGGATTGCAAACGGTGTTCTGTGAATGGTTGAAAGGTGATGTTCTTGAAGTATATACTTTGTAGCTAACAAGTTCTGCAAAGACAACGCCCAAGATTCGCATCAAGGTATCCTGAAGAACCACACAACGGCTAGTGCTCATAAGAAGAGAAGGGAGGAAATAACGAAAAGAAAAAGAAATCTGCGCCGTTCATGCATGCTTCTACATTGCTCGCTCTGTGCTCCTAGGATGCGACCCGCTTGCCATGTCGAAAAAAAATAAAAAAGAGAAAGAAAAGGAAGGGGTCTGTGAAAACCCAAAGACTGTCTTGCTTGAAACGAGCGCGAAAAAAAAAAGGGATCCAATGTCCCTGTTGTGAAAGCCAAGCCTCAAGCGCTGAAGAAAATATGCAATCAAACACTGACGGAGTACGGTAGATCTGGCGGTGACGTGAAAAATAATAAAACCAGCCGACCTCGGCCCAAGCAAAATCGTGGTCTGACTCTTTCCGGTGGGGGTTCCTGGAGGCGTCGTGGGGACGTCTGGCCAGGGCCAGAGGAGAAGATTTTTTTTTGTCTTTCTTTCCGACAAAGAGTCACAACGCGTGCCTCGTTTGATATCCACCGTTGAGAAAAGGCGGCTCTTTTGTGCCGCGGCAGACAAGGAAGCCTGTACGTAGCTCTGACTGTCTGACAGGCGAAACAAAGATTCCAATATCTACCCTGCACCGGGTGTTGTGGACAGCTCGTCAACCTTCCCGATCGGGTGTCTGGCCGTAGGCGTCGGGCTGGCTGGCGTGCTGCCGCTGCCTGGCGTTGAAATGAATCGCCTCACTGGCTGCTGGGACCTTTGTAGAGGAAGACCGCCAAGGGTTCAGGGGTTTGTTCCTCTTCGCGCCTGTCAGTATGTTGTTTGGCTCTTTTGGTGGCTAGGCGTTCATCCATCCACTGCTGTGCGCACTGCGAGACAGGCACCCAGGGTCGCAGGCTGGCAGGCCGGTATGCTCGGAACGGATACCCCGCGTCCAATCGCTTCGAAAGTGCTTCGAGAATGCTTCAGCATTCAATTACCCAACGTGTTGAATCGACGAATCCGGAAGGAATGCATCATTGGCCCACACAGCCCAGCGGACCCCCCTCGCCCGGTCCACGCTTTCGCGTCCCGCCCACATGTGGCATGACGTGGCAGGCCGCGGAAATGCTCTCAACAAAGGGACTGACTGAGAGCCTGGGCGACCGAGTGAGGACACTGGCTCGACCACTCAATCAGTGCTGTAGATCATGGATTGCCATCGCACAGGCACTCCAGTCGGCCCAATCTCGTAGGGGGCTGCGGAGCTCTTGCGAGGTGGCAGCGCCCAGCGAGCTCGACCTGGTTTCTGGTCGTCGAGCTTCCCACGCTTGCGCATGGCCATTTCCATCACGGCGATGCGAATAAAGTCGGGATTCTCGCGCATCTCCCGCTGGCGCATGCCTGGAGGCAGCGAGTGCGCCGTCTGCGGCTCGGACGGAGGGGACGCTGGTGCTGAGCCCTGTGGAGAGGCTCGGGGCCGCGGCGTTTTGGATGAGTCGAGCTTGGACCGTCGCACCTTGTAGGTCTGCATCTGGATGGAGGCTGAGAAGGTACCGGGCGGAGGCACGGCGGCTAGTTGGGACTCAATTCGAGGGTTGCCCATTGGGTTCAGGTAGCGCCGCATCTCCGCCGAGGGAATGTCCTCTGAGGCGGGCGGTCGCCGCTCGTCGGTATAGGGCACGTGGGTGTCGATAGTCAGGAGTGACCTTGCAAGGAAATCCTCATTTGAAATTGTCGGAAAATTGATTGTTGAAAATGACCGCGCAGCCGAGCGCAAAGCCTTGAACGATGCCGTCAGATTGGACCGGAAAGCGTAGCGCAAGGGCTTGAATTGGCCGAGAAGCAGCGAAACGTGCTCTGTGCCATCGTCCGAAGGTTCTGGAGTGAGCGGCTGAGAGACATCGAGTTCTTCCTGCTTCCTCGCAAGGGGATGCTCCATGTCCTCGCCGGAAGGCGAAAGGATGGGTTCCAGCGATCTGCGCATCGGACTCATTTTCCGACCACGTAGTGAAGGGCTCGGCGTCCCGGGCGTCCCCGGAGTTCCCAGGGACGAGATACCGTCGGTACCGAATGAGTCTCCAAGCGAAGGGATCGAGTCCATGGAAATTGTTCTGGTAGATAAGGCTGAGCCGATATTGCACTCGCTGACGCTCAAATCGTCGTCGGCAAACTCCTCGGGTGGCGAGAGAAGAACATCCAGCGGGCTGCGACTAAGAGTCCAGCTCAGCTCCTTTTCCGACACCTGTTGCCCCTCCACGAGCTCCTGAACTGTCAACGGCTTGTTGTCTCTCCTCTTTCGCCTCTGTGACCTCTGCCGTGGGATATCTGTCATTGCGAGCAGAGCAGCCACAGACGGCGACAGTTCACCCGGAGTTTGCGCATTCTGAGGTCTCCGACGCTGCCCAGAGTGACGCTTCTGGGGGTGCGCAGCAGGGCGATTGCTGCTCTTGGGAATTTGGACGGGGCTCGTGGGCGTCGCGGGTCGTGACACACGTGCGGTTGCTTCTCGAGGCGGGCTGGTAGGCGCAAGGCCTACTTCGAGGCTCTGCTTCCGCTTCCCCATTTTCGTAACGACACTGGTTGTCTCTGTGAGATGAGGGCCAGGTAAGATCGACGTAATGCTAGGGTCGATGTGTTGCGTGCTGTTTTCATACTTCGAGGCACTGATGCGCCGTGAGAGCGTGCTGACGTGTTGGTGAGTGATGACGCTCTCGCTGGTGTTGGTCGAGTGTGAAGTCCCGTGGATATGGGGTGGGCGCTGAAATCGATGTTTAAGAAGTTGTAGGCGGTCTGGAGACAATGCGCATGACTTGGATGGAGAGTTCGAGGTTGATGGGGAAGAAGTAGGGGTCGAGGGTGGGCGAGAGTAGACAAAAGACCTTGGAGAGATCATTGCGGGCCGGACCCTTTGGCAGGCAGGCAGGCGAGACGCTAGTCGTACAGCTTGGTACGTAGGGGGCTGTTGTCTCTGCTCCTGTTGCGGCGCGTTCAGGGTATAGACTCCAGGGTTAGGCTAGGCCTAGCACACGGAACCCTGTCGCCGACGAGCGCTCGGAGTCAGCGACGCTTGCCGTGTTGGGGAGGCAGCTGGCGCACAGGGTCAAAGCGCATGTGGCGGCACCTGCGATTCGCGGTATGAATTGTCTGACTCTTTGTTTCCTACCTCGTCCACGTCCCTCTTCTGGTACCTAATGGCCCCTTTGGCAATCCGAAACTTGGAGATGCTGAGGCGTCAGACAAGTGAGGGCTTTGCCTGGCCCTGCCCTGAGCTGGTATGCGGGCCCAAACTTAGAACCTCGAAGTTATTAATCGGGAATGCTAGAACGGTGAACCACTCGCGTGTTGCTGCCGGATTCCAGTACGTAATGTGACGAATCGGAGACCACTGAGGCGGCTCTCCAGGCCCAAGGTCGCGTGCTGTAGTTTGTGCGTGTCCTTTTCTGTCGACTCTTCTCGTTTCGGCGCTAGTGCCCAGCTCGGCCCTGGCAAGGGACGCGAGCGTTACACTGCGATTAGGGCTGTAGGGAGCGGTGATTGATAATATCAAAGTGATACGCATGTGAGGGAGTGAAGTCTAGGATTTTAGCAGTGCATGAGATGAGGATAGAGCCAGAGATGAGAGTAGAGTCACATGAGAAGTCAGGCAGTCGCGAGAGATAAGATAAGGGACACGACACGACACGACACGAAATGGCGCCTTCCGTTTAGTCTGTCTCATGCCCTTCTTCACGAGGCAGGTGCGCAAGGGCGATAATGCTAGGAACACATTCCCCGCCAAGTGGCTGGACCCCCAAGAGAGCAGCCGCGACCGCCTGACTAGATGCCCTCACTATTTTGTCTAGCGCACATGGTCCTGCTGCGTCGCCGCCTGACGTGAACGCCTCACCTCACTCAGCCCGCACCAAACAAATGCACTTGACCAGTGATACGGACTGCCTCCTACGCGTCCTGCCTGCTGCGCAGCACTGCACGCTGCCGTGGTCGGCCCTCGTTGGTCTGTTCGTGCTCGTCGTGAGACAATTAGGCGACGCGCAGTCAATCAACACCTGTTTCGAGCGTTCACCACTCCGCATATCCCACGTTCTATCCCACGACTATATGCTGCCTGCCCGGCGATCCCAATGTGCTGGGAGCAATGAGGCGCCCCCCAGAGAGCCGGCAGGACCCGCTTTCTAAAGATGGCTGCATACACTCCGTTTGTGGGCGAGATAAGAATGAAGCGACCTGCAGCCGTCTCGCAGCTGATAAGCCGTGCAACAGGCCTTCGCGTTGAGTTTGGGCCTGCCACGACACACGCAGTAGCCGCCTTGGGCTGTTGTCCTGTGACTGTAGCACGCGATCCGAAGCAATGACTTGCCAAGGCTCAAGAGTCCAGTCAGCTTTCGATACGCAGCTCTTGCGGCTCTTCACAGCCAGCCAGATAGAAGCCAAAGAAGTCTCGGCCGTTGGTGTGGGGACTCAGATATGAATCGCTCTCTGGAAACCTTCATCGCTTGGCTCCATCCTGCCAGCCACCAGAAGGGTATTCGTATACGTCACTGCGGAACCTGGCGAGAGTCTTAATCGTTGCGATGTGACCATCTTGCCGCAAACGTTGCCTTCCTGACGATCCTTTGACGTGCGAAGACGCTTGGCCAGTTCAGTCAGTCCGCCCAGTGAGCGGAAGCCCGACAATGTTGGTGGATGAAGCGAATTTGCCCATTGGTTCCCCCTAAACGAAGCCCATGCTTTCAACGTCTCTGTCCGTGGCCATCATAAGTACCAGCGCACCAGAGACTGACCTACGAAGTACTCGGTGATTATTTCAAAGTCCCTTTGCGAGTAATACATGATTTGGCAGCTTGGCACCACCCACTCCATCAATCCGCGCATCTCTTATCAAAGCATGGCCATTCGTCCAGTTCCGTCCTCTGCGTCGTGCCGTCATACCCACCACCCACCCATCCATCCGTCGTGACAGCTGACCCAAGATGCGGACTTCAAGCGTTGCGCAAAACGCGGGGTCTGGCTGAACCCCCCCCCACACTAACTTATTAATACCAGTCTTGGCCGCCGCACGTCAAAGAAAGAGCTCTTGGGTTGCCTGACCCTGAACTGGAGACAAAGAGCACGAATGAATATCACGAACAGTGGCTTGTCCCCGTACATTGTGGGAGAAAAAGTCTTGGACTCGAAACAATTTCCAATGCTCTGAAAAATGTCTTCCCAAGACAGCTGAGCATACGCGGGCCGACGCTCTAGCCCTCTTCAGTCGAATGGCGTTCATAACATGAACGACTAACAACAACGTGAACAGAGCGCATGGCCAAAGACGCTACAACAATTCGTCAAGTCTTACGGGAGGTACACCCCAAGCCCACAGTTTACCCAGAACTAGAGTATGACATTCCATGAGCACCGTGGCGTGGCGCATGTGCGGCGAGTCCACCGGTCGATGTGTGAGACGATTACGTTGCCGCAGGTGGGAGTTTGAACAAGGACCAGATGGATGATTGACGATGACGAGTGAGTCAAGTGTTTTCTTTAAGTGAGGGGAATACTGTCAGACGTGGGAACATCATATTGATTTACCTCTCTGCGCCCCGTTCGAAGGCGGAGGGCGTTCACGCGCTGCTTAGTCTCAAACTTCTCTGGTAAACAATTGAGATACCGGTGGACCCCATCGGAGCACATACTTTGAGAACGTGCGTGTGCCTTCTAGTCTAGTAAGTAAATGTGATTGTCTCGATCAGCCTGCGGATCCTCTGCATGAAGGATTTCACCACGTCGAGACTGGCTAGAGAAATGCGTCTCACAGTAAACTCAATGCTACGAAACTTGACTCCTGCAACGCTGGGTTCCCAAACGCGTAGGATTAACTCTCAGAAGAAAGGGTGTCTGGCAGTTAGTGTTTCAAATCGATAGGGTGCCGTCGACAGCAACCATGGGAGAAGCGACGCATTGCCCTCGTCCATGCGCCTATCAACCTAAGGGTATTGGCTGTCGCGGTCGCAAGTTCATTGAGAGAAGCGTGTTCATTCTGTCCTCACCAGAAGCCGAAGTAATATCCTATCTCGCTTGTTTAGCATCGTCTCCGGGCCTTCTTTGTGTGCAAACGCTTTCATGTTTTTGCATGCTGCCCGTGCCAGTTGGGGTCTGTCGCACGCTGTCTCACTTAGTACGATTCAGGGTCCAGTGATCGGCATGTTGTCATGAGCTGCATGACGAAAGATCTGGGGCGAACTTCAGGGTCCTGAAATCCTTCGACGACATTCCCGCACCCGCTCGGACGCGAAACCTAGTGAGACTTTGAAATAGGACAAGATCGCGCTGTCGCGTAGAGATTGACCCTGAGATTGACCCGAAAGCGTACCTGGTATACGACATGCTGTCAGGGGTTCTGCAGCCATGAACACCAAGATGCTGTCAGTGCCGCAGCGCAGCAGCCACGCCTCACGGATCGACGCCGTGTCTTGTCGCTCCACGCTCCAGGCATAGACTTGAAAGGGCACGCTCTAGTCGGTGAACAAGTATAACTATCCGGCATCTCCGCTCAGTGGGACTAGACTCTTGTTCTACATTCTCACACATCAGACTTCACATCCACAAGAGTTTCTGCAGAGACCTCACTTGTAAATTCCACTATCAAAATGGTTGCTTTGAAGAACCTCGCCATAATCAGCCTGGCCTCATCCTCCGTGGCTCGTCCTGCACCAGCAGTTCCGGCTCAAGATGTCTCCGGCGAAGACCCCCTTGAGATCTACACTTCACCTCCGATCGTGGACTCTGAGGAGCTGGGCGACGCTGCGAAGCGTCAGCTCTCACTCGAGGGCTTGAAGGAGTTATCCTATAAGCCCGTTGTTCACGAGCGCGACCTTACGGACGAAGAGAAGCGCCAGCTCTCACTCGAGGGTCTGAAGGAACTATCATACAAGCCTGTTGTCCACGAGCGCGACCTTACAGACGAAGAGAAGCGCCAGCTCTCACTCGAGGGCCTGAAGGAACTATCATACAAGCCCGTTGTCCACGAGCGCGACCTTACAGACGAAGAAAAGCGTCAACTCTCGCTCGAAGGCTTGAAGGAGCTCTCGCACAAACCGGTGGTCATCGGACGCGACCTGTCAGAGCAGGAAAAGCGCCAGTTCTCGTCTTCACGTCCGATCACCGTCTACGCCGGCATGCCACCAGTTTGAACACTTCTGATTCTGATTCTGCCCACAGGACCCTATTCTTTGATGGCAAGGCGGCCTAGCCAGTGCTGGATTCTGGATGTTTTCCTCCACTTTACTAGGCTTAGTATGTTTGATGATTCGATCGGAGCGGGAGTTACTCAGCCTACAAAATAAACTATCTTTCAAGATGATGTTCTATTTCTCTACTTGTTCTTGTTGCTTGCACTCTTGTGTAGTTATCAAGTGCTATGAGCAAGCGATTCCGACGGACTGATCTTGCAAGTGCCACCGTAGTGAAAATGCGCCACTGCGATCTCCACAGTCTTTGCAGAGCATTTTCACATAGCTTCGCGTATATGACAGCTTCTACAGGCATATATTCTGGTGTCTGTATTGCTGTCACATCACCGCCCCCTTTCTCAAGTTGTCAGTCCACGCAGCACCATACGCAGTTTCTTGCGCCACTCTAGTCCCGGCGCAGGCAACGAGCCGGAGCAAGACATGGCGTATGATCATACGGCGTGTCGCCCGCATGTGCAAGGACCAAGTCGCCCAAATACAAATCTTGGGATTGGCATGAACCCTCCCGTGCATCCGTAGTTCCACGCCCTCCGCCACACCGTGACAACGACATCCCAATCGTGATTGGAAGGGATCACTAACTTACTTGCATAAGTAATAGACACAATTGCCATTAGACATTACACGTATTATTGATCATGTCCGTTAATTATGCTGTTTACTGACTGATGTGCTTGTAGGTTCCTTGCCAATGTGAAGGCAAGTTCTCCAGTTGTACTACGCCGCTGTACAGGTGCCACCATGCAGCCACTGAACGATCCGGCGCAATGTATCCTTGAGAAACTTATCTCTGCGGCTGACCAACCCCGAGCAAGCGGGCGATGTGAAAACACTAGCCAGGCAAGTCTTCTAGTAGCCAGTCCTACCTTAAAGCCGGCGTCGAAGGTGGAACAGAACGTAGAGGAGAGGTAGATGGCGCCAGTCGATCCAAGACTGGATCTAAAGGTGTTCGGTGAAACGACCTTGGCCATTGGCAGTTTTCGCCCCATCCTCGCCAGGAGGATGCGCAGAGTGGTGCGATGACGTTTGAGCAGTCACGCTGTTTCCTTCCTGACTCGAATGATCAACATTACTCTGATTGGATTCAACCATTGAGTTTCTTGCTCCCCCCGGTGACTTGGCTCTGTTTTCCTCGCTTCTGAGGCCCTTTGGATCCTGGCTCATCGTCGGCGGGACTGAATACCAATTCAGGCCAAGGAACTTCAAGATGGTCCAGGGCCTTGTGTTCACCACTAGGGGTGCTTGAGCGTCATCGTTCAGAGCGTGTCGTTTCGAGTATCTTGCTACTTCTTGCTCTCGAGAAGGGCCAGCATCTAGCGGCATGACAGGCTCGATGGTCGGTGAAGGCTCAGGTCTTGCTTCCAGGATTGCCGTCTCCTGATCTAAGTCTTTGAGCGGGTGTTTGCTTGTAACATCAGAAGTGGCTACGTTAAATTGCTCGGTGACAGCCTGGTCATGTCTCGGTTGTTCTGCCAGGGGAGCTGGATAGCGCATTAGCGATGTGTGTTTGTAGGTCGAGGCAATATCCGAGGCAGTGGCGGGGCAGCCATTGGAGAGGCGACGCTCCTCCTCGCGGATATTAGCCTCCATCTCCATGCGAGAGACTGAACCGGTCGGACACAAGCACCCGCTTAAGCAGTCAAGGCAACAGTTACCCTCCAGGTTGTATACTTTGCGGAAGTCGGACTGCAGCTTGGTGATGAGACAGCTGTAGACTAGATTTCGATCAGTGCACTGTGCGGTTCGATGTAGCCGGAGACTCACATGGAAGACACGCGAGGTATGCACCGCACTGCCTGGTGAAGAAGCCAGCCTCTCGGGCCACGACCACGGGCGAGGCATCCTTGAAAGACTGCACATGGGTTCTCACGCGGGAGTATCCAGCGCAGGGGCAGATAGTTGCGTCGACACAAGGGAGAAGAGAATGGCGAGGCTCAAAGTCGGGCGAGAGAATGCGCTACTGGTTCTTCTCGCGCACAGAGTTGGAGCCCATATTGACAGCTTGTACGGCGTAGCACAGAGATGTGGTCGGAGCTAGAGATACTAAGATCGTTACAATAATTACGGTGAAGATGCTGTTGCGGGAGACGATGATGATGGAACAAGGATGGCGTTTGGATCAATATCGGCGCGATATGTGTTTGGAACCTGTTGCCTTCCAGTCGCGTGCCTGCCCTGCCTTTCGCAGCACGGACAGTACAGGCACACTGTATCAGACGGCCGCACCATGGCCCTCTTCTTACCTACGTCTCGCACTTGCGAAACTCTGCAGCGTTGTCCATGGCAGCACGGTACTGTACCTCCTGTCTGAAAAGCTCTCAAAAACTCTCGATGCTCAACTCAGACCGCCCTGCAGGAGCCTGCAGAGGGGGCATTCAGTGCACATGAGTCCATCACTGCCATTTCCTCACACACGGACGATGATGGGAGATGGGAAAAGTCACGAATCACATGACCTGCAACCTGCACGTGCAATGACCACAGTCCCTGAGTCTTGAGGCAGATGCCGCGTTCCAAAATGCAAGGGCGAAGTGAGGGGAAGCAGCAAGGGGGAGGAGTCGGCTGCCTCAGAGAACCTGATGAATCCAGTCGACAGCGACATTTCATCAAAAGTGGCGGCAGGCATTCTGACAAGTGCGGCACATTTCGGCAACAAGCGTACCAGTTGCAGGAGCGATAATATTTCGTGAAGAGAGCAACATGGGAATTTTGGGAGGCGAAATCCGTTCTAATACCCTGCGTTGATGCGACGTTGCCCGCATGGCAGTATGCATGCTGGGCCTTGGTCTAGGCCTTGGCGAGGAACTTTGAGCAGTCGATAATTGGAATTTTCTGAAGAGGTGCTGCCGCGTGCATTATCTGAAGATTGCTGCTGATGGCCTGTATCTGTCGTCGGCGAGCCAAGCCAACACGTGTGCACGTACGGATACGCAGCGGCGGGTGGCAATCCTGAAGCAGAAGGTCGTGCGAGATGCGAATGAACGAACTGCCTCCAGCCGTCAATCAGCCCATGAAAAAGTGCAATCTCACATCTGCCTCGTGCAACTAAACTGGGAGTGCGCGGCACTCTTGCCGGCGTCCTCGCGCCAAGGCCGGCGTCCTCCCAAAAGAATCGCAGTAGCCAGTCGCAAACTCGCAATGACTCGGAAACCTTGTTAGCGACTGATCATTATCATCAATAGTGGATGCGGCACGCAGTTATAGACGCGTCACTCGTGGGGAGGGGGAAATGTGCTCTCTGGTCTCTATAGTTCATCAACTGGATGCTTGGTGCACTCTAGTCGCCACCCTCGACATACACGACGCCTGCTGTTGCACGGCAATTGTTCATCTCTGGTGGTGGCCCGGATGCTGAATGACCGGATGCCAGTCTGCCAGCCCCAGACTGGAAGCCCAGAACGTGGGCTGCAGCTTGCAGGTCATGGATTCAGCCGCCAGCAGGGACTCGGGGACTCAGGGAGTGGCTGCCGACGGCTTTGGGCCCTGCGGCGGGTACTGGCCGCTTCAGGGGACCGACATGGGGGAGCTGAACACGGGGCCAGGGACATGGATCACCCTCCTCAGGTCTAGTCGTAAGTATGATCCTGTCTGCAGTGAACTAATAGTGCTTGAAGCTGACTAGAGCCGCGAACAGCGCCATTTGAACCCAACCAAACCCGACGGCGACTGGATGTGCTCAATATTGCCATGACGCTATCGTGCCGACAGAGGCGCTATGCTTTCCAGGCTCTGTCTGCGCCGGCACTGTGACCCGGAGCTTGCGTACGCCATTTGTACAGTACACCGTAATTGTTGGATCATTTCTCTGGCTGGGGAGCGATCATTGCCAAGTCTTCGACACGCCAAGACGTTGAGTCGGGACAAGCGTAGAGCATCCGCCCCCAGGGGCTCAGCGGGAACGGTTCATGGTCAGTGGTCGGCCTGAGTGGTCACTGGTGGAATCAGTGGGCTGCAGCGTGCAGACTGCAGACAGCATGCTGGTCTGGGGTCCAAGCGCCTGGGCCTCCAATTTCTCCCGCCCGGACACGCTCCCACAATCGAACGAGGAACAAATCTATCATCTAGTTGGCCAAGCCATGCCGGTGACAGACACTGGTTTCGCTCTTCTTCCTTTTCTTGTTCATCATCGTTCTATATCTTCGGCTTTTCACCAGTCTTTTTCGTCGTGACGAACCCGAGAAACGCGAGCGTTCAAACGCCTGTCACGAACCTCCATTGCCGCCAATCTACGATAACGACTTGCTGCAGATCGACCCGCATCAAGTTCTGGGGCCTCCAATCCGCTTTCATCCATCTATCCCCCTTTCTCTCAGCGCCCTTCAAAATCGTCTGGTTATCGCTGCTGCTTCACCTTGCCGTCTTCACTTGTTATCGAAGTGTCATACGCATTCGGACGCATTCACAAGGTCGCGACAAGTGAGACAACGCGTGTGGGCACGTAATTAGCGACGCCTTCGCTCCGCCGTTCCACTCATCAGCCCTCACCTGAGCGGTCAACCGTCGGCTGCCCTTACAAAACTTCAATCGGTAAGTTTGCTTCACCAAACCTTGAACACATCACATGTGCCCTAGCAGAATCTCTCTATGCGCCGCGCGGACTCCCTGAGACTAGGGAGCAAACACCCTTATAACAGCCGTGCGCCCGGCTAGCATCTGAGACATGAAACAAGTTCTGACCCCCTCATCAGACAGTCTACGTTTCCCACGTCCAGCTCGCCATCTAGCGATTCCACCGATTTTGCGTGCGTTGGAGTTGAGAAATCGAGCGATCCATCTGTACAGCCTTGCTTCGTAGGAACGCACAAGAAACGCCGCCATGGCATCCGACGACAAAATCAACCCCACGCCCGCGTTCGAGACGCTCACGCCCGTGTCGACCATCAATGCGCCGGAAAAGGTCGCCCTCTCTAGCACGACGACAGCTTGCGACCCCATGGCCGACCGCTCGCCTCGTACCAGTAAGGAATCCTACAAGGGCTCGAACCCCTTCGAGACGGACATTGAGGCCATGGAAATCGTGGACACGCAGCAGCCATGCGTGTCCCGAAGCCCCCTTTCCAAGGACAAACACAACCCCAACTGCACAGTCTGGCCCGGCAAAGACCACTGGAAGCAAAAGGCCAAGGCCGCCAAGAAGAAGCGCAGCTGCGCCCTGTTGGCCGGCATGAGCAAGCGCAACCGCGTCATCAGCAAAATTCTCCTCGTCCTGCTCGTGGTCGGCATCGCCGTCGGTGTCGGCTTTGGCGTCAGCAAGCCACTGGGTGCGCCCATCTGGGGGAACCACGACAACCACTGAGCGCCGCGGCTCCCGATGGCACCACTATCACGGCGTTGGATCTCCGACTCTGTTGTCTCACACCACGTTTGCATTGTTGATTCGGCATGTGTACGCATTTCAAGCATCAACCTATAGACAAGGCTAGATCTTGGGCGCGCGAGGCACTCCAAGCCCCTCATATCGTCATGACGCGGCAGATCTGGCCGGATTAGACTTCGCAAAGCGACTGTTTTGAGTAGAGCACCAAAGTTTTCTTTTTGGGGGGGAGTTTACGCGGCTTTTTCTTTTTTTTCCCCCGTCTTTATTGGGTTTCAGCACCCGCGAGCGACCGATGTGTCTATAACATTCGCTTCAGGGGCGCATCAGGCGTTGGAGAGGGCATACACAGGAATATCTTCCTGTCATGGAAGCCTGTATCGTGTGGCGTTGGGCGTTCGGGGAAGAATAGCCTGCTTATCTGTGGGTTTGTCATGTCGATCACACTGGAGAAGAGCTCAGGTCAAAGGCCACATTGACAGGCGAGCGAGGGCTGGTCAACAGCCCCAAGCTATTGATACAGTAGTAATGGAACCTCGATCAAAGAAGTACATGACCTTTCTGTGTCTGCGAGCCCCAATCATTAGAGCGTTCCTCCGTGGATCTTGCATTTTTAGTGCCGGGAAGATGCTGACGGCAAGCTTACCCGCGCAGAATAAAGTCGGTCCCTCTCCACGCCTAGCTCGCGCGGCAATTGCCGCTTGCAATATGTCACCCTCTTCTGTTCCTGCGTCCATGACTCCATGGGCCCCCGAAGTGGTGGGGTCCGGAGATCGGCTACATCACGACCCACCATCCAACTCGGGCTTCTCAACATGTCCGCCAGTCCGTCTGGGGAATACACCGCAAGTCCCGGTTGGCTGGCGGCCTGTGCTGTCAAGACGGGTAACTGCGTCATCCTGGGAATGGGGAACGTGTCTTTTGGCATGGCTCAAGTTAGTAGCCGTACGGCGATTCTGATGTCTGGGTAGCGTACCATGTGACGGACGAGGCTGACAATGGCAGCCGAGTGCTTGCTTCAGTGATGATATGGAAGCTCTAGTACATGGGCGAGCACACTCACACGCCTCAACATGCCCCGACGGTTCGAATGAACATACTAGTCACTTCACGTGGACAGTTGAGCTGTCGATTGTTCACATACTTTGGCATTTACTTGCAAAGTTAATACAATATCTAATGCAATCTCAAAGAGAAAACGGGATTTTTACACCAGATAGTCCATGTCGACTCCTCTGATTACGGTAAAGTTCATCGGAACACGGAAAGTTTCGATTTATTGCTTCTGACCATAAGTATGTGCTACAGGGACTCCTGCTAGGTCGACTTAGTACTTGCCTACCTTCAAGAAGCTGCACTTCTTTGACGTCTGCGATAGGCAAGAATGAAGCAGACCAGGCACGCATTCAAAGGAAGCGCAACGCACAACACGATGATGGCGGCGACGGCGGTGTTGGATGGGCTGCCAGTGCCTCGTGGATGGATCATCGGTGCGCTGGCGTCCATCGTTGAGGAATCGTGGCAGGGGACGTTGGTAGGCGCCATGTCTGTGAAATCTGAGTATACTTGAGGGCGAGTAATTGCTAGTGTCGGGTGTTGGACAGAGGAAGGAAGGAATATGCTGTCGAGAGAATAGAACTTACTGAATCTCATGGGAAATGCTCCCCGACTCGCATTCACTGTTGTTCGTATTCGACCGATAACGGGTGCAAACGTGAATCAGTGTACGACATGGAACAGCACGAGGAGATGGACAGAGGACATTGTCCGTACCACAACAACACTCAAGTGCTGGGCTGCCCCGCAAGAACAAAGGAACCCTACACTTGTTCGACCCGACTTCTTTGTGAAGTTCGCATGTAATTGAGTTTCTTATGAGTTCGTGGGAATATGGCTGGCTTGTTCATGGCAGAACGCTACCAAACCCCTAAACACAACATGTGACCCATCGCAACCTGTCTGTCGCGAACATCGAAAAGTAAGCGCCCCGATGTAAGCAAACGCTTATAAAAGGCTTCCTGCTCTGAAATCTATCATTTCTTTACTCTATTCTCCGAACCAACAGCAATATCGCACTCCGAAAAAGTCTGGTACTTCCTCGACCCCTAGCGAGATCACACGCACCGTCAGCTACCAGCCAGCATCGACAAAGTATTTGTGCGTCGTCATGCCTAGCACCACTCCGACAAGTTTCATGACAGTCTCCAAGGCGGAGTACTTTGTCTTTGTCACCAGTTCCGTCTGCCTGTACTACATCATTGTCGTGTATATCTTCAACCAAGGGCGAGCTCTCCTTTCGCAATGCGCCCAACGGGAACACACGTCAGATGTCGAGGCCGATGCAGGACTTGAGATGAGCCATCATTCTCTTCGAAGTAATCGTGGCCACACTCGTGCCGAGGGTGCTCAGTCCGATAGATCAGTCCCCATTGTTTCATGGGGTGGTCGACTGGCGGGACTGCTGCATCTACGCAAGGCTCAAAATAAGGGGTCAGGCTCTATTCGTTCCATTCGCAGCCCAATTGGCATTGTTAGAGGGGAAGCTGAAGCGCCTTTTGAGGTTCGAGCCGGCCGTGATGTGTCTGGTCCATTCACCTCACGGAGCATGGAAGACGTAAATCTCCATGGTGATTACCGCACCACCAGATCTAGAACACAGGAGGCCTCCTTATCCCAATAGCCTGTCGAGTGACAATCGTGATGCTGTGGCTATTCCAGCTAGTGCCTGTTGATCGGGTCTATCTGTTGACGGCAGAGTGTACCCTCATTTTCTCAACATAAAGGGGGCCTCGATGGTTCTCTGATTCAACAAAGATGAACGAATGAGGCTGCGATTGGCTTGGTCGTAATGCTTTGACCTCAAGGACAATGAGCTGTGATCGACGCGTAGCCCCAGAGGTAAGAATATAACAGTAGGTGGTTGTTGAAGGCTCGAAACCTTGCTAGCCAGTGCTGACTTCCTGAATAGACTTGTCAAAATAGAATGTCCTACTATATCGCGCTGTGTGCCAGAAATTTGACGTCGTGAACCCATGTAGCGAATGTCCAAAGAGGGCGACTTCCGTCAGAGAGAGCCGGACTAAGATGACAGAAGCAGTTATACCTGGCTTCAGACGCTTTGTGTCTTTCTCTTGTTCAGAGGGCCGAGCCAAAAAAAAAAAAACCCTTTTTTTTTCTCCCAAACTGGTAACGACAAAGACCCGCCTCATTGAACCAACAAAGCCCTTCTTCGTATGCTCTTGGAGTCGCCATTAGTAGTATTTTAACCAATATTTCCTCCAATCCAGTACTGGGAGGACATGTTTCACTATTGCTCTTCATTCGTGTCTGTCTGCCTGGCTGCCTGCATGTCTAGATGATGCCCCGTGGACAGAGATGTACGCCAGCATCTCTGACCATGCTATCCCTGAGTAAACCGTGAAGGTGTGTGCTTCCATTACAATAGTGGTGTTGTCGGTGTGTAGAAGCCCCATATTGCTCCATTCTGGCATCAAGCCGAACCCCGGAATCGAATCAAATCAAATCGTAGCACAGCGCCGGACGTCCGTTGCCTCCACTGGCGGCACCCCATGTGGTCCTCCGTCTTTTCTCCATCTTCTCGCATAGTAGAACAAACATGTATTGCTTTGATGACCAAAATATCGTGTCAAAAGGTAAGGCCAGCTGTAACAAAGGAAACGAAGAAGTGAAATACATGTGATGCTCGGAAATGACGTGTGCGCGCAAACGCTCGCGTGGTGTCGCGTGGATCTGCATCCTGCGATCCACATCACGCAGACTGGTACAGGAGCAACGGTTCGCCAACGTTCTCGATTTCGGGGATCGTGCACTTTAGATCGAAAGCTTTTGCAAGCACAATCTTAAAGATCTACAGAAACGACATTGTTAGTCAGGTACAGCTTGTAGAATCGGATGTCTCACCTTTTGCACGTTGATGCTGTGGCTGGTGCTGGAGAAAATAAGAGCCGCGCGCATGGCTTTGGCAAATCGTCGAGCCTGCAAAGTTCAGCTAGGTCAATTCCACGCTTTCGGTATAACCCACCTGGTTCGAGATTTCCTCCTGATCCTGCGGAGGAAAGTTGACGAAATGGTCATACTTGGTCCCGACCAAAATCGGAATGGCGGTCTTGTTGAAGCCCCGCCCCTGACGATACCACTCCTTGATGCTGTTGAGTGTGCTTTTCCTCGTCAGGTCGAACATAAACAGTATCGCGACGGCGTCGTTACACACGAGAGGGAGCATGTTGACAAACTCCCTCTGACCACCTAGATCCCAGATGGAGAAGGTGATCTCCGTGTTGCGGATGGAGATTGTCTTCTCCATAAAGTTGACGCCCAGTGTCTGGATGTAGTCCTCATCCCAGCTTCCCTCTACGTATTTGACCATCAACGATGTCTTGCCAATCTGTGCATCGCCCACCATGCCGACCTTGATCACCACATGATTCCGCCCATTCGCTTGCTCATTTTGTTGCTGGTTGTGGTGCGACGACTGCACCGGGTTCGAGGAGCCACTAGCCGGCCGCGAAAGTGAGGGTGCGCTCGACACCGCGGGTGTGTAACGAGGAGATGCCGCGGCAGCAGACGCCGTGTCGTCTTCGGGTCGAGGACTGTCCTCGTGGGTCACGTTGGCCAATCCTTGGTCTAATGATTGACTTTGGCTGTGACGAAATCCCTCAGGTAGAAATTCGATGTGTGGTGAAGCATCAGGGCCGCTGGGGGCGGTCTCGTCAGGGCCTGGCTGAGGCTGTGGGTGGAATTCCGGGTGCTGCTGGGGAGGGTCCATCTCCACAGGGTTGACGACGGTCTCTTCCTGTGGAAATGCGGCGACCGGAGGGTCTGCCGCAGGGCTCGTGGAGGGATCCAGTTTGGCGGTGGTGGAAAAGGTAGATCGAGGGATGTGGTTGTTCGGACGCAAGTAGGGAGGTCGAGGTCAACGCGCGAGGAGCATGAGCTTGGAAAGGGGGGCAGCTGGAGGCTGCACGAGCGAGCGTGAGGGACACGAGAGCTCCGAGTCGGGAGATGTGTTTCGTCGACACGAGTAAACGACTTTGGAAGGCGCGAGATGAGATGCAAGTGTCCCAGGTTCGTGAGAAGTTTCAAGGAGGGGTGGTGATGACGGAAAGGCACAACGAGGCTCGTCAGGTACGTAAAGGTGGAGTCGGAATGCAAGTGGGACGCGGCTGGCCCAGGGCCTTCAAGCAGGGATAATAGCAGTTGCTCACGGATCGTTCATAACTTCATACATTTCGATGCTAATTACAAGTCATAAAGTAATGGCCACATATTAACTATAGTAGTTACCTACCTGTAATTTAGGACCACGCTATACTTCCATTATCTGTGGCTTTGCAGACCAATCGAACAACAGCTGGACCAAGAGACGCCTAAGCAGGTCATCGACCAGTTTCGCGACAGTTTGGCGTTTGCTGACGGCTCACAAACAAACGACTGGAGCACAGAATGCGCGTGCGTTTGCCCGCTACTGTCGCTGCCCTTTTGTCGTGTCCAGTCTCGAACGACTCCAGTCGAACCAGTCCTCGTGCTCACGACAAAGGTCCACTGCAGCAGCTGAGCGACGTGCATGTCTCATGTTTTACCAATGGCTCGTGAGGTCACGGTGAGACTGTGGGAAGGATCATCGCCCATCTTATGAGTACTTTGCCAACCTCAAAGTACAGGAAATTCTTTGATTTTTCAGCCAAGCCTGTTTGTTGGGCCGATACTAATTATGCAGCACTGTAAGCATGGACCTCAATCGCACCTACGTGGACGCCCAGCCAGCCACAATTGCAGCTGCGAGAAAACGAGGACACACAACAGGTCTTGGGCATAGGGTCGCCTGGGTCCACACATCGCAAGTTCAGCACGGCGATGTATTCCCATAGAACCACATCGCGTAGCCATATCCATGCCGTGGTGCCCACTCTGTTCGTCACTGGCAACAACGCCCATCTGGATTGTGTTACGAGGAAGCAGGTGAGAGTCAAGTCGAATCAAAACTGGGGGAGAATACAGCGGCCCCTATTGGCCACTCACCTGCTCGGCTGTCAGCCGAAGCTCTGCGTTGCTTTCGTCGGCTCCTGCTGACTAACCACGACAGCTGCACGCATTCCGTCGGGCATTGACCGGCGTATGATGTTATCTCGGACAGTATCAATTCATTCGTACCAACGACAACAGGAACCCTCTCCCCTCAATTCTTTTCCATCGCAAAGGAAGACACAATGGCCTCCATCGCTCGCTCTCTCCGGCCCGTGGCTGTGCGCCTGGCCCCTCGTGCCACCCCTATGACGGCGCGGACTGCCTTCCGAACATTCTCGACCACACGGATGAGTACGTTTGCCCTGAGATCCGGCTGGTGAATTTGCACTGATTGACCGTTCTGCAGCTGCCCTGCGCAAGTACACAAAGGATCACGAATGGATTGACCTCTCCGCCGACCAGAAGACCGGTGTCGTCGGCATCTCCGAGTACGCAGCCGAGCAATTGGGTGACGTTGTCTACGTCGAGCTCCCCGAGGAGTCGGGATCCTGGATCGAGCAGGGTGACGGCATCGGCGCCGTCGAGTCGGTCAAGTCGGCCTCCGACATCAACGCCCCTGTGCGCCTCAAGATTGTCTCGGTCAACAAGCTGCTCGAGGAGAAGCCCAGCACGATCAACAAGGTGCCCGAGGACGACAGCCACGGTGGCGGCTGGGTCGCGAAGGTCGAGGTCGACGAGGCGGGTGCGCAGCAAGTGGAGGCTCTGATGGACGCCGAGGCGTACAAGACTTTTACTTCAGGCGACGAATAAATGTTGGTTTGCCGAACTATACTACATAAAGGCACCAGTGGCGGATCAATATGATTCAGACATATATCACCATGTGTTCATTACTTCGTATTCTTGCCTCGGTAATTGCGACCTGCCTGCCTCTTATGCAGTGCCAGGAGCCGGCCTCTTCGCATTGATCGCATCCAGAATCTTGCCGGCACCACGCTCCACGAGATTCAACGCGACACGCTGCCCGTATTCTTCAGCCGCCTCAGGCGACGATACACCCTCCAGCATCTCGGCGTCCACGCTCTCTTTGCCATCAATGCTGACCACGGTAGCGCGTACTCGTAGTTTGTCTTCAATCCATGTGGTCTCGACGCCGATTGGGACGCTGCAGCCGCCCTCGAGCGTCCGCATCAGGCTCCTCTCCACCAGACAGCCCAGTTTCACCTTCTCCTCTTCCATGCTACGAAGCACACTGAGAACACGCTCGTCCCCGGCGCGGCACTCCACTGCCAGCGCACCCTGTCCAACGGCGTACAGTATACCCCCATTGTCCAAGTCGAGGAACTGCGAGATGTGGCCATCAAGCTTCATACGCTGCAGACCTGCTGCAGCAAGGATGATGCCCGAAAGCTCAGGGTCTTCCTCGAGTTTCCTGAGGCGCGTTTGGATGTTGCCTCTGTGATCCTTGAAGTGGAGGTTCGGGTAGTAGCGTCGCAGCTGTGCGATGCGACGGATGCTGCTCGTGCCGATCACACTGCCATCTGGCAGGTCGGCCAGACATTTGTAGCCCTTGCTCTCGACAAGTTCCTTTTTGAGGACGAGTGTGTCGCGGGGGTCCTCACGCGTGGTGATGGCACCAATGACGCAGCCCTCGGGCAGAGCCGTAGGCATATCCTTCAGGCAGTGCACCACCAAGTCCAGCTCATTGGCGACCAGCCTCTCCTCCAGCTGCGAGGTCCACAGCGCCTTGCCGCCAAAATTGTAGAGAGCAGTCTTTTGATCTCGATCACCAGTTGTCGTCATGCCGTGGATGGGAAAGGTATAGTCGGGGAACTGAGCCTGTAGTGTGGCGACCACAAGCTCAGCTTGAGCCATGGCGAGGGGGGAGTTACGCGTGCCGACATTGATGATCGTGGCACCGCGCTCGGTCGGTGCATTTGTTTCTTCAGACATGATGCACAGTTGTCCTCGTCGCGTTCGGGAGGGAGGAATCGGTGCAACAAACTTGATTTGGAGGTGACGTGAAATTGGATGTGTTCAACTTGCGGGTACTGCCCGCCGACGTGTGTTGGAAATTTGTTGGAGGGGTCGTCTGGCGGGGCCCCCTCCTGATCCCTTCGGAGTACCCTACGGTTGCGAAGGCGACTGCTGAACGTGGTGTAGCGGCTTCGAATTTGAGAATTTGAGAATTTGAGGACTCGAAGTTTCTTCTTGGGAGGGCTGCGATAAGCTGTTGCGGAGCGAACATTTGGCTTCAAGACAGCTGGAAAGTGGCTGCATGACAATCACAAGCCACTTTGATCTTTGATAAAAGAATGTTGCTGCAGCAGTGAATCTACAAGGTGGAGAAGAAGCGTGAAGACTGGAGTGTCAAAAAAAAAAAAAAAAAAAAAAAAAAACTTCTAGTCCTCGAAGAATAAACTGTCTTGGACCATCACTCGCCTTGAATTAAGGGTTGTGTTGGCCGTGGCACTGTCAGACACTCGAAATGGCTGCTCGCCCTCTCCAGTATAGGGTAGGCCATATTTGACAACCTCGACAGACCAGCAATAACTCGAGACCGCGTCAGCCTTCCAGTTCCTATGCAACCAGAGCTGCCAGTCTCCAGGAAAGCCTCAATTTTAGACATCCCAAAGCAGCAGCTCAGACCCCGCAATAGCCACTGCCTGCATGAGCGCTGTATCCGGCCGGGCCTATTCGATCTCTCCACACCGCGGCAGCTTCACCCCCGCTCTCCCCAGCTTTTAGCGCCAATCCCCCACAGTCATGAAGTGATGACCCTTGGCGTGTTGCGCTCATATGCAGTGTCGATGCGACAGTAGCCTAAAGGGTGCATGAGCTCTCGGCGTCTCGGGCCACTGGAGCTAGGCTGGTATGATCCCACGACCTCCCCCTCATCCTCCCTTCCACCCTCTCATATCTCCGCCCTGTCCCCCTTCTCCAAAGACTCATCCATGGGCTGTGCTTTTTGACTTTGCTCCTTGCTGCAAGCCATCCGCTTGTCTTTGGACTCAGGGGCGCCTCGATCTGACATTCGTCTACTCGAGACCTCGGAATAGCTTTTCTCCCTATGCGCGAGCCCGTCTCACGTACCACAACATCGGTCTTTCAGATGAGGGTGCTTTGAGAAACCCTAGCAATGGCGTCAACTTCGCTGCGTCCTCTAGCTGCCGAGCTCAGCTGCCTGTCTTCGTTGCGACTCGGGCGACGGACCCTGCACGGTAAGGCTATTCATATGGCATGCGACCTGAACACCATGCTGACGCGATTCACAGGCACGAAGTCGTTGCTGGGCACTCAAACAGAACAGTGGCATAATACACTTTCCTCGTCGTCCCGCCATGTCTACAGTACAAGGGTTATCAAGACAGCAGGAAGGTCACGCGACACCTCAGTGATTCATCTGCCTCCGCCTTCTGTGCGACCATATGCGACTGAAGCATCCGCTGTCATCCCACCCACGACACCCTTTGCAAACCTCACCATCGGCGTCCCCACCGAGATATTCCCAGGGGAGCGTCGCGTTGCGCTGACACCGCAGAATGTCGCGCTCCTGCTCAAAAAGGGCTACTCCAAGGTTCTCATCCAAAGCGGTGCGGGTGTCCAAGCCGAATTCCTAGACGAAGCATATGAGACAGCCGGTGCTACCCTCGTCGACGATGCGTCTGGTGTCTGGTCATCAGCCGACATTGTGCTCAAAGTCCGCAACCCGGCCAAGGAGGAGATTGACAGCATCAAAGCGAAGCAGACAATCATCTCGTTCCTCCAGCCGGCGCAGAACAAGGAGCTCGTGGACGCCATTGCCGCCAGGCGCGCCACAAGTTTCGCCATGGACATGATCCCCAGAATATCGAGGGCGCAGGTCTTTGACGCGCTGAGCTCCATGGCCAACATTGCCGGCTACAAGGCCGTGCTCGAGGCCTCCAACAATTTTGGACGGTTCCTGACGGGCCAGGTGACGGCCGCCGGCAAGATCCCACCGTGCAAAGTCTTGGTCATTGGCGCTGGCGTTGCCGGGCTGAGTGCCATAGCCACTGCGCGTCGCCTCGGTGCCGTGGTCAGGGGGTTCGACACTCGTCCCGCCACACGCGAGCAGGTCCAGTCGCTAGGTGCCGAGTTTGTCGAGGTCGAGCTCAAGGAAGATGGCTCTGGCGCGGGCGGCTACGCCAAGGAGATGAGCAAGGAGTTCATCGATGCCGAGATGAAGCTGTTCAAGGAGCAGGCCAAAGAGGTCGACATTATCATCACCACGGCTCTCATCCCCGGCAAACCCGCGCCCAAGCTCATCAAGAAGGAGGCCCTCGACGTGATGAAGCCCGGCAGCGTCGTCGTCGACCTGGCCGCCGAGGCCGGCGGCAACTGCGAGGCTACTGTCAAGAACGAGCTCGCCAAGTACAAGGAGGTTAAGATCATCGGTTACACTGATCTGCCCTCGCGTCTGCCGACCCAGTCGTCCACCTTGTACTCCAACAACATCACCAAGTTCCTCTTGTCCATGACACCCAAGGAAAAGGAGTTTGGCATCGACCTATCTGACGAAGTAGTCCGAGGTGCCATTGTCACGCAAGCAGGCGAAGTCCTACCCCCTGCTGCGCGCCCTGCTCCTCCGCCGCCGGCACCTGCGCAACCTGCTGCTGCCGAGACCAAGGCTGAGGTGAAGGCAATCACCCCGTTCCAGAAAGTGTCCCGCGAAGTCGCCGCCGTGACGGGCGGCATGGGCACAGTGCTCGCGCTGGGCAAGTACACGAGCCCATTGTTCATGGGTAACGCTTTCACCTTCGCGCTGGCCTCTCTGATTGGATATCGTGTCGTCTGGGGCGTCCAGCCTGCGCTTCACTCACCTCTGATGAGCGTAACGAACGCTATCTCTGGTATGGTGGGTATTGGTGGTTTGTTCATCCTCGGAGGAGGGTACGTGCCCGAGACCATCCCGCAGACATTCGGTGCCTTAAGTGTGCTGCTCGCTTTCGTCAACGTTGGTGGAGGCTTCGTCGTCACCAAGCGCATGCTAGACATGTTTAAGCGTGAGTTGATCATCCGAGAGCCGGTCTCTTCGCGCTCCAGTAGCTAACATCTGCGTGACAGGTGCCACCGACCCCCCCGAGTATCCCTGGCTGTATGCGATTCCAGCGACCCTGTTTGGAGGTGGCTTCCTTGCTGCAGCGTCGACTGGTGCCGCTGGTCTCGTGCAGGCGGGCTATCTCGCGAGCACCGTCCTCTGCATCGGCTCCCTCACCGGTCTCGCTTCGCAGACCACCGCTCGCATGGGCAACATGCTCGGCATGCTCGGCGTCGGCTCAGGCGTGCTGGCCAGTCTGTTCGCAGCTGGCTTTTCGCCCGAGGTCTTGACTCAGTTTGGCGTGCTGGCAAGTCTGGGTACGCTCGCCGGCTTCCTCATTGGCAAGCGCATCACGCCGACCGATCTCCCGCAGACGGTCGCGGCATTGCATTCTGTCGTTGGCCTGGCCGCGGTTCTGACCAGTGTCGGCAGTGTCATGGCGCACATCTCTGACCCTTCGACACTGCACATGGTGACTGCGTATCTTGGCGTCGTGATAGGTGAGACCCCATCCTTTTTTCTTACCCTTTGTAGCGCACTGACAAGATTGTAGGCGGCATCACATTTACAGGGTCCATCATTGCCTTCCTCAAGCTCGCTGGTCGCATGAGGTCTAAGCCAGTCAGCATCCCGGGGAAGCATCTTCTGAATGGCAGTCTTCTCACAGCGAATGCGGCGACGATGGGTGCATTCGTGACCATGGCGCCTGGAAGTCCCCTCATAGCCGCTGGTGCCCTTGCGGGAAGCACTCTACTGAGTTTCATCAAGGGATACACCACCACCGCCGCCATTGGCGGTGCCGACATGCGTAAGTAGCAATCAGCGCTCCGTCCTGACATGACCCGACTGACCTTGCAAGCCGTTGTCATCACCGTGCTCAACGCGTACAGCGGCTTCGCCCTCGTAGCAGAGGGATTCATGCTCGACAACCCGCTTCTCACCAGCGTTGGCGCCTTGATCGGCGTGTCAGGCTCCATCCTTTCGTACATCATGTGTGTCGCCATGAACCGCTCTCTGACCAACGTTCTCTTTGGTGGTATGAGCGCACCGACGCAAGTGCAAGAGTACAAGCCTCAAGGACAGGTCACGCAGACCTCTGTCGATGACCTGTCCGACGCACTGCTGCAGAGCGAGTCTGTCATCTTCATCGTGGGCTACGGCATGGCGGTTGCCAAGGCGCAGTATGCCATTTCCGAGATTGTCGCAATGCTACGAAAGAAGGGCATCACCGTTCGTTTCGCCATTCACCCTGTCGCGGGTCGCATGCCTGGGCAGTGCAACGTCCTGCTTGCCGAGGCCAGCGTGCCGTACGACATTGTCCTGGAGATGGACGAGATCAACGACGACTTTCCCGAGACTGACTTGGCCGTGGTCATTGGCGCCAATGACACTGTCAACCCGATCGCGATGGAGAAGGGCAGCTCGATCGAGGGCATGCCTGTCCTGCACGCGTGGAAGGCCAAGCAGGTTGTCATTATGAAGAGAAGCCTGGGAAGCGGATACGGTGTGTACCCCCCTGATCAACTCGTCCCCTGGATAAAGCTTGCTGATGTACCATAGCCGACGTTCCGAACCCCATGTTCTACATGGATAACGCCAAAATGCTGTTTGGCGACGCAAAAGTGTCTTGCGATGGTATGTTCAAACGAGTCCCACTGTTGAATCCTTGCTGACCAGCCCCAAGCTATCAAGACCGCTGTAGAAAGCAAGCTCTAGACATGCCTACACCGTATATACTGTCGTTTCGAAATGTCTGCTGGAAGAAACACCAGTGGATACACAGTCTCTCATGTCATGGTCTTCACTCTCCAACGGACAACACTTGCCTGAATTGAAATTTGATTCCTTACTATTCCACAGGTGAATCGCTCCACATGCTCATATGTACACATCCACCTAGACTCCCTACGACCTCTGCGCAGCAACTGGCTGCCACGGTGTAAGCTTCGACTTGGTTCTGCATGTCGCGTTAGCGTGCTGTCCAGGCCATCCCTCCATCATATCGCTCGCTGGAGCGGGTAGGCCTACGTGCTATATGTCTTGAACGCTCCCGGGGTCATTGTGAAGTTGGGCTTCGGCATCGTCGGCTCAAATGGGCGTCCACCGGTCTGGAGCAGCTTGTCCCCCACGGGGGGCTTGTCGACCAGGTAGCTCATCCACGCGTGCCAGCCGGGCTCGATCTGAGCGGCGTCGTAGTCGTGCTTGGCGTACTCGACCCAGCGGGTGCGGAGCGGGAGCTCCTCATTGTTCTCGAAGAATTTGTTGCCGGCGCGATCGGTGCCGATGAGAGTACCAGCCTTGGTGTCGCCAATGTACTGTGTATCGTTCAATTAGGGCCGCTATTTGGGGGCTGCGCGCGAGGGAGGACCGGAGACACGTACCACCATCTGCATAACGTAGTCCTTGAAGCCGACCTTGCGCAAGTTGCGCAGGGTGCGAGTGATGGTCGACATGGTGACAGTGGTTGATCAATGGACGTCGCTGTCCCTGAAGGAAAGACCTGACGTTGATGGTCGGGTCGGTCGTGGTGCGTGCCGGGAACGGAAGATCCTCGGCTGAATTAATTTGCTGTATCACCTTGAACGCGCCGCGGATGGTCGACCTGCACAAGGGCCATAAGAGTCGCAAAGCGCAATATTTTCAATGTTTGCGCGAAGCTGTGCTCGATGCACAGGCAGGATCCGAGTCGGTTCGATTAGCAGACCGAGGATACCGAGCGCGACTAGGACGCAATGTCGCAGATACAGCAGTAGTCAGGGACCTACCCCAGCGGCAGCAAAGGCTGGAGGAGCAGCCCCTGATGTTCTGGCGCCATTCGTGACGGAATTGGATCGCTTGTCGCCGTATTTCGACATACAAGGGGATCAAGTAGAGATCATCCAGACGCCGGCCGAGTTCTATAGCACGCTCAAGGTACGCGAAGATGCCTCGGAGAGACGAGCAACGACTGATTCAAGTAGGATCGTATTCGCCATGCGAAGAAGCGTATTTTCCTGTCGACGCTATACATTGGAAAGAAGGAGCTCGAACTCATCACCACTCTTCGTGATGCGCTCCGTCGGAACCCTAACCTCAAGCTCAGCATCTTGACCGATGCCCTCCGAGGCACACGCGAGGCGCCCAGAGCATCATGCGCGTCCCTCCTCGCACCTCTTGTCGACGAGTTCGGGGAGGACAGGGTCGAAATCAGGATGTACCACACGCCGAACCTGACGGGGCTGCGCAAAAAGGTCGTGCCCAAGAGGATCAACGAGGGCTGGGGCTTGCAGCACATGAAGCTCTACGGAGTCGACGACGAGATCATCATGTCAGGGGCCAACCTGTCGGACGACTACTTTACGAATCGCCAAGATCGATACCACCTCTTCTCCTCCGCGGAGATTACCGGCCACTTCTGGCGGATTCACGAGGCCGCCAGCCACTTCAGCTTCAAGGTCACTCCCTCGAACGAACAGCCTTCGGGCTTCACGCTGGACTGGCCCGCGACCAACTCGGCGCCCTCACCATTGGCCGACCCCAAAGCATTTGTCGAGAGCACCACGGCGACGCTCAAGCCTCTCATTCAACCTACCGCGGGAGCCGTCAAAGGTACAAGTCAAGTGGCCGATACGCGAGTGTACATGCTGGCGCAAATGTCGCAAGTCATGAAACCAGACGTGTCTACTGAGCTCCCCTCCATCACACATATTCTCAAGACCCTAGCTGAGCCGATGTATCGTGACTCGTCCTGGACATTCACGGCTGGCTATTTCAATCCCGCCCCGTCACTGACGAAGCTGCTCCTGAACACGGCCTCCTCTGCGCGCACCAACACCGTCATCACCGCCGCGCCCGAAGCCAATGGATTTTACAAATCTCCCGGTGTATCGGGACTGTTACCGGACGCGTACACGCTGCTGGCTAGGCGCTTTCTCACGGCCGTGCAGAGCAATGACCGTGAGAATGATATCTCGCTCAAGGAATGGCGCAAGGGCACCGTCGGTCAGCCCGGTGGCTGGACGTATCACGCCAAAGGTCTATGGGTCACGCTTCCGGGTGACGAGAACCCGGCCATGTGTGTCGTCGGCAGCTCCAACTACACCAAGCGGAGCTACTCGCTCGATCTGGAGGTCGGCGCTCTTGTCGTGACGCGCAGCGAGCAGCTGAAGAAGAGGTTGGGCGAGGAGCAGAAGTGGCTGCAGGGTCACACCAAGGCCGTGACGCAAGATGATTTCGCGCAGAATGACAGGAGAGTCGGCATGCATGTCCGCATCGCCATGTGGATTGTACGAGCTGTCGGAGGCCAGCTGTAATGTATCTGTGTTCATTGTGTCTTTTTGTGTATACCAACCCCGAGGATATAGATTAGATACCCCATCTAGCAAAGAAAGCACCTTTTTTACAATTGTACATGATGGATGATACAACAGAGAATCTACAACTAAGCGCCCAGCACCTTGACTCCGCTTTGCGGCCCAGCAGGCGTGAAGCCGTTGATGACCACCTTGGACACCAGGTCACTCTCGTGCTGCTTGATCAACTCCTTAAGCACACTCCTCTCCATGACAACCTTGCCCGTCTCGAGAAGATCCTTGACGTCCACATCTTCCATATCCAAAGCCCGGCCCTCGGAGGGACCGGCGTACTCCATCGCCTCAAACAGCCTTGTCCGCCTGTCCTCGGTGACAAAAAGGGTTCGTCCGTCCGGCTTGCCAAGTCCCAGCCCCATGAGGGCCTCGCGCATGTACTTGGCGAGATAGCGCTCCCTCAGGCCGAACCTGAGCTTGTCTGCCGGGGTCGCCTCGAATTCCTCGGGGTACGCCATGTCCATGCCATCCTCCGTCACGATCAGCTCGCCCCTCCGATAGCGATAGCTCAGCGCCGTGCGCCACGCCTTGTCGTAGACCTTGCGGTTCAGCTTGGTGCCAAAGTCCCTCTGCCTGGGACCGTGGGCTTTACCACCACCGCGGAGGGAGGGACTCCTACTGCTACCGAGGCGAGCGCGGCCCGTGCCCTTTTGGGGACGTACCTTGCGCGTCGACCCCCGAACCTCAGAGCGTGTCAGAGCCCGAGCCGTACCGAGACGAGTATTGTCGCCTTCGTAGACGACGGCAAGATGGAGGATATCGCGGCGCATGGGGAGGTAGAGGTGTTCGACGGCAAACTGCTCGAGAGACGTGGGTTCAAGACTGGGGAAGGCGTGGATTGTCACAGGGACAGAGGATGCTGCGAGCGTTAGATATGGGAGCCTCCCTCGATCACGGGAACACGGGAGCATACAGGGATGCCATGAGTTGAGGATGGTCTGGGTATCGGCTGAGCGTGTGATGTTGGCCGTTGAGGCTTCGATGGTCGTGGCCATGGACCTGGTGATGGTCTTGAGATGCGAGGGCTGCCGAAACCATGTCAGAACCATTAGATAGATCTTCGTGGCAGCTCGTCTGACATACCTTTGAGGCGAGCTTTAATGCGCCCATGGCCTCTGAAATACATCCAATGCCCTTTGCAGCCATCTTTGTCAGGGCTGCCGTTTCGTGGAGGTGATGCTGATGACGAGTGCTCTCGAGGTCAAAAATTGGCCTCCTCCAGGAGACTCAATGTCGGCGCGCCAGGCCCCGAGTGGAAAAGTGGGTCGCGTGCAGCTGAACTTTTTCTTGCCTTGCCTTCATCACCATCAATTGACGACGTCCATCAGCCAGCCATCCCCTTTTTGACAAAAGGGACGACCCCGTCATAATGTCGCGTTGTCAGTCGGTCGCCAGACCTTTGGCCAGGCAATTGTCACGACAGCTCTACAGACCTTTCTCCACGACGCCGTCGATATCAGCAGAGGTGACCACCGAGCCTCCAGCGACCACCCCATCGCCAGCCGACCTCGACCCCGACACCGTCCTCCCCGAGTTCGAGAATGCCCTCATGAAGGCGGGTCAGATGCCTATCGGCTCCCGCCGTCGCCGCATGGCCATCCGCGACTACCCTGACGGCGTGCCCTTTGAGCAGCTGCCGTACCAGGCGTTTCAGGAGGCGCGCAAGATTCTTGCCGCAGACCGCGAACAGAAACTGGCCGCCATCCGCGCCGAGCTGGCCAAGATTGCGCTACTCGAGTCGAGGGACGCCAAGGACTTCAAGGGCGGTCAGGCGATGAAGGACACCCGCATAGCGAGTCTCAAGCGCTACGTTGAGGTGCTCAAGATCCAGGCCGACGTCAACGATCCCGTGGTCAAGAAGCGGTTCGAGGACGGCCTGGGCGACATGAACAAGCCCATCTACCGGTACTACGCCGAGCGTCGCTGGAGGAGCTATCAGCACAAGCTCATCACCCAGCGCATCGAGCAGTTCAACATTGTCCCCGACATCCTCCCCAAGCTCGAGCCCACCGCCGACGTCCAGCTGTACTTTTGGCAGCAGAAGACGCAGCCTGGCGCCATTATTGACTCGCTGGTCAGCGAGCCGCCGCCGCGCCTGAACGTCCAGGTCTTCGACAAGGGCGAGCGTCTGGTTACCATTGTCGTCCTCGACGCCGACGTGCCCAACGTGGAGGCCGATGGCTACACTAAAAAGTGTCACTTTGTCGCGGCCAACATCCCCCTGAGCCCGACACAGCCGTCCATCCCCCTCGGCAAGATCAAGGATGAGAACCAGCTCGCCGTCCCTTGGCTGCCCCCTACTTCCCAAAAGGGCTCGCCGTACCACCGCATCGCCATCTTCGTCCTCGAGCAGGACGGTCCGCTGGACGCAAAGGCCCTCAAGGAGCAGTACGCCAATCGTCTCGGCAAGGACAAGACCAGCTTTTCCCTCAAGTCCATCCGTGACAAGTACAACCTGAAGCCCTTTGGCTTCAGCATCTTCCGCTCCGTCTGGGACGACAACACCGCGGCCGTCATGGGCCGCCACGGCATCGAGGGCGCCGACATTGAATTCAGGCCCACGAGGGTGCACAGCATGAAGCAGCCTGTAAAGGCCAGGGGCTGGGAGGCCAAGAGACAGGGTCCCAAGTACCGCCACCTTTGGAAGTACACCAAGAGGATCAAGGGCGTCTCCAACGGGCGGAAATGGCTCAAGGCTGGCAAGAGGTAGCGAGATGGTGGGTCATGTATTACTATTGTTGTATGTGTCCGCGAGAGCGTGGCTTGATGTACATATTATTGAAGTGTACGATATCATTTGGATGCAATACAGATTCGTGCCCTTAGTCGTGTGTTCTTGCTGTCAGCGCTCTGAAGATGGTGGGTCGCTCACGGTTCACTGAGGGCAGGGCTGGCACGCAACTGAGGTTTGGTGAAGATGATACATTGTTACGGCTACCAGTCCTTCCTGGAAATTTGAACCCCCATTCCTTCTGGCACTTTGGCCAAAAGCTGTCGCGTCATAAAGGACCTCTGACACCCCCTGTCCTTCGCTACATTCATGAGATTGTCAAACGCCTTTTCCCGATGTCCATCCCCTCTCAGCAACCCAGTACGGCATGCGCAGGCTGCCAATGGTATCATAAGAAGATAACGCCCGCTAAACCATAATTCCGACAAGACCCCAATATGCGCCTATTCTGTTTTTTTTCCCCACACCTTCTTTCTCCCTTCTCAAGCGAACATGTTGTCGGGCATGTGGTCGTAGTTGATTTCCTCGTGCTTAACGACGGGTGATACTGCGAAGCTTGCCGACATTCCCGGTGAGTGCTGCAACAGCGACTCTGCCTGATGTGAGTGGACAGCTACACACTGTATTCATATTGAGACTCACCATTCAAGCTCAATTCCGCCCCGGAGCCGGATCCGCAGCTTGAGAAACGCCGTTCTCGCTGATGCTCCGCATCGTTGGTGGTTCTTTGCACAAAACGCTTGGCCTCGGTCTCGAGCCACCCGTCAATGTTACTATCGGCACAACCAGCGTGGCCCATGAGCTCGTTCTTCAGCTGCGTGACTTGCTCCACGAGCTCTGTGCATTCGCGCTGAAGTGAGCGATTGGTGTTTTCGAGTTCGGACTTTTGTGTCTCCAGGTCACTGACCCATGCTTTCTTCTTCTGGCGGCACTTGGAGGCAGCTATCCTGTTACGCTCCAGGTACTTGCTCCGCTTGGGATCGCCGTCGTCCTCTGACATGACCACAGAAACGGCCGCCTCGGGCTGTCTCTTTGTTTTTTGCCTCTTTGCCGCCGGCCCTTTGGTGATCCGCGACTCTGACTCGCGAGCTTTGGTGGTCTTGGTGGTCTTTCGTCTAGTCTGGCGGGTTGTTCCTGTTGTTGTTGTTGCAGGAGGAGAGTCCGAGGATCCCCACGAGAGAGACGGAACTGATTCATTGCTTGACTTGCGTCCCGCCCTGTCGTTGGAGGTATGGATATCCTTCCCAGCGAGGGCACCGTCTTCTGGTGGTGAGCCCATTGATGCCTCGGCCACATCACCGCTCTCCCCAGGGCCAAGGCTCAGTTGGAAATCTTGCGAATCGCCTAGGCTCGTGAACCGGGGATCCATGACATCTTGCCAGGCTGAAGGATCGACGTTCATCGACTCTGGTACCTTCTCGTGCAGGTGGCCAGGGTATTGCATGGTCAACTGCGGGTCGACGATGGACGCATCACTGTCCGTGTTGAAGTTCATAAAGTCGTCCATATTGACAAGGTTTTGTGTGAGGGTCGACATGCTGGTTGACGACAGCTTGTTGGTTTGTTGGGCGCTGTAAGTGCGTGCACAAGGCGGAGGCAAGCTAGCTCTCGGACGATCTGTGTGGGGCAGCCTGATCGCCGTGGACGGGGAAGCTCGGCCGGCGGCGTACTCAGAAGGGTCGGGATGGGAGCTGGTTCGAGAAGTTTGTTGTGTGTACTTTGTTGGCGTGGATGATCACGGTCGTTGAATGTCCTCGTGGTCAAAAGCCAGATTGTTGCGTGAGGGAGGAGTGTTTCGGATCAGAGAATGAGCTCGAGCTGAGCCCTTGAAGGTGGTGGTGCTTGGTCCCTTCTTACTTCTTAGGTAAGTAAGGTAAGGTCGGGTTAGGTAGGCGCGGCGGGCCACTCGGACGAAATTGGCTAGATGGACCCCGTTCTTGTGGTTGGAATGGCGCCACGGCAGTGCCTTCCCAAACAAAGTTCAGACAGAAAGCAACAGCAGACCCAAGGTCTGGAATCTCCGCAACCGAAAACAGTTTTTCTGCTCAGCGCAACGAGGCAGCCCGCTTGTATCGAACAGTCCAGGCGTCAATATGCCCCTTTGAGGTGTGGGCGAGCTAAGCAGCTTAGGTAGTAGCTACCACTGCGGGAAGCGATTGAGCTATGCGACCGCGAATCAAGGCTGCGGCTTCTTCCAGTGGTGTGTTGGGTGGTGGCCGCTCGCGGGGTAGGTGCTGTAGGCAAGTCAAAGTGTGGCAAGGCAATAGCTTCAGTCCAGTGACTCCAGTCCCTGCTGTAAGTTAGGGAGCAATGCGAAAGGGCGATCAAGGTCACGACGCTTGGACGAGGAATTGAGAAGAAGATTGTAGGCAGTGCGTGTACATATAGCAGAGGTGGTAATGATTTAATTTGTTTCAATCCCTCCAAAGGAAATCAAGAGTTCTCCGGTGCGGTCATGGGGCTAGCTTTCTTTTCTACGTATCGTCAGATGCAATGCTCCAGCGGGGGCCCAGGGCAACCAGCATCGAGATCGCAGGAGTATTTGCCCATCCACCCCATGCATCGATAAGTCGAGTTACGCATGCCAGTGCTCGCTCGAGCCACGGGCCACGGTGCAGATCCAGTCTCCTCCTTCGCACGCTTGGCGGGACCGCAGGTACGGGTGCTATCACAGCCTATCAGGGCTGGAGCCTATGGGAGAGTAGCACCCAAGCTTGTGCTACGGTACATGCCAGACGTGACGCGCCAACAACCGGTTCCTGTCGGGCAGCCAAAAACATGTCATACTGGAGTCGCTAGGCAGTGCTTGCTCGCCAATTGAGCGAGGCTTGGTCCTTTTTTCTTCATGCGTATCATGATGGCATTTCTGTTTGCCCATTTTGATCAAGTCGCCTCTCTAGGCACGCAGCTTGAAGTTGGATAAGTATACGTGACGGCGTGTATGGTTCCGACCCATGCGCCGGCTTGGAGCCGCAGCCCATTTCAGCCACTGATGAGCCACCAGTGAACTCTCCGTGTGGCGACGATTCTATTGGAAGACAGGGGGACAACAGAGTTCACGCTGAGCCCGCTTTAGGTTCACCAGCCACGGCCTGCAGTCCCCGTAAGCTACCTGCGTTACTGTCATTGCCCGGCACCTCTCCATGCAGCTGCCTGAAACTGGCGGAGCTACGGACATTGACCAGCGCAAATCGATGTCTCTCTGGCCGATCGTCGGCATATCACTCGCTTGTCCTGGCTTTGCAGGAGAAGAGTTTGATGCTAAAACGCTCCAACATGACGCAATTGTACATATCTTTTCTCAAGGCAGGGGTTCCACGATCGAGGATCCTCGCAGCGGGGACATGGGAGTCTGGGACATCAACAGCAACAGGCACACATCGGAGCATTTCGTCAGTGGCAGCCAACCGGTCGACGGGGAACATGTTGTCTACAGAGGAGCAGAAACGGCTGTAGCGGAGACTAGACGCCCGCCGGTGGAGGGAGGAGGTGCTCATGGGCGCGCTGTGCATGCGCGAGCAGGCTTTTTTACGTCCTTGTCCACCACTAGCGACAAGTTGACTGAGACCGCAGCTCCAATCGAGCCATCGACAACACTCGGAGCGTTTGATCCGCCTTGACGACACTCAGCCGCTGACGGCCCATCAAATCATGTGGCGAAGTATTTCTTGTGCTGTACGCAGGCCTTTAGAATCGCGATGGGATAACTCGATCACGACTTTATTTTCTAAGGTTTTGTTTTTATAACGGACTCGCGAGAGTGGTGATAATCACATGTTATAGAACCGCGACCGTTCGTCGATGCGTTCGTGAGGCCCCGAGACTTGACCCTGCTTGTTATACCCGGGGGTTCCCAATTGGCACGGTGCAGCCCACACATGCAGCGGCCAGCCGATTAGACTGTCTGAGCACAGTGGACTTTGTCAGCATCGACAATTCTTGACAGCTCTAGCGACCCACTGCAAACACGGAAACCTAAACCATGATCTTGGCATCATTACGTAGTATGCAAAGATTCTTGCTGGTTAGCAAACGGAATGCAACCCATTGGGCTCTGGTTGTCTACCGCAAGCAGCGATCATAGCGGTATTACGGATACTGTACGATAAAGGCACGCTGGTTGTCGGCGGCTGGGCGGGGGCGGGGCTGCTTGCCTGCGCAGCCGACTGAACCGTCCGTGTCCGGCTAGTCCGCATGTTCTGATGGCAGGAGAACTTACCCTCCCTACATCACCTTGCTGATTGGCCGAGACGATCATGACACAATTCCATGCACGTAAGCAATTGGCATTACAGGATTTCTTGGGCTTCAGCTACGTGCGTAGTAGATGATCTCAAGAAGCACTGGTCATCAAACTGGATGGTCCTGAATTAGAGCCGCATCCAGGGAGTCTTCGCGTCACCTTTTCAGCTTTCAAATCCGGACCAGAGCTGTGTTGACCATATTTGTTAGAAAGAAAAGTTCCACAACAGATCTCTCTTCCCCGTCCTTCGGTTGAGCAGGATCTAACTCTCACGGACCTGCGCCGCACACACGTTGAGTGCACCTCCAGTCCTATTAGTTACACTACGCGCTACAGCATGCTGAACGCTGCCGCTGGTGCTCTTTACCTGCCTAAGTGCAAAGCTTCGAGTGCCCCTGATACCCTACTACACTTCCATGTATGGTGGTATCTCCCGCGCACCTCGTAACAAATGCATTGAGCTCTACTGGCAGGATATCTTCATTGATCGCAACGCGTGGCTGAAATTTGGCCAGTGATGTGGCTTGAATTTGGTACGGCAGGCGCTGCGCTGCGCTGCTGCCCCGCGCCCCGTTTTGTTGATTTCAGGGTCAGCGCCTCGTGAGAAAGTCAGTCGCAACCCTTGCAGCCTAAGGCACCCCTTCGAAGGAACCTCAAGCCACATCACGCCGAACTATAAAGAAACACAAAGGTTCACGCACAAGGACTTGGCATTCCCTCGCGCTTCTGAGTTCCTATCGACAGAATTCAGTCACACCTCGAAGCTGTCCGACTCCTCCACAACTTCACAACCACTTAGCAAGTCCCTAGGTCTGGGTGACACTATCCTTGGCATAATGAGCGATCAGATCGAGGCACCACGTGTCACAGCTCGTTTCTTGGACAATTTCATTGGGCGGCATGTCCGTATCGTCGGGCAAGTGACAGAATTACGCGGCGACCAGGCACTGATCAACTCAGATGGGGCCGTTACCATTCTGCTGAATCGCAACGCTCACCTCTCGCAGAACGGGGGCGCGCAGATCATTGGCAAAGTGAACCCTGATCTCTCCATCAAAGCTCTTAACTCTGTCAACCTGGGAGACAATGTTGATTACAAGCTGTATGGCATGGTTGTCGAGGCCACACATAAGTTCCCCCGGATCTTCCTCACGGGCACTTCGCATTGACGGGCCCGACCGGATAATGGCGCGCCAGCCTACGAACCGAACGTAGCCATGATCTGGTCTCAACCTGTCTCAGAACCAGAACGCCATCCGCAGCCCAACGTATCCAGACTGCCAAGGCGGTCAAGTAGATCTTCCACATCAACGGCATACACCGCAACCACAGCCTACACAACAACGACAGACTCGGAATCGGACTCAGACCAAACACAGCGTAGCACCTCACGCTCGCGTTCGCGTCCAAGATCACAGTCTCCTGTTACTCAACCCATCGAAATACAATCTGATTACTCGTATGCATATTCCATTGATACCCGAAGCTCAAGAGATTTCACGCAACCGTCGGGGTCACACATATCGGCCACGCCTCAAGAAGACGAACTCATCTTATCCGCTCAGCCGCAGACTCCAATATTCCCACCGCCAGTCACTTCGCAGACCTTTTCAGATCCCAGTCCACTGCCATCGCCCCCAGCTTCTCCTCCAGTTTCGCTCCAACTGTCGTCGGCGGGATCGCCGTCAGGCTTCGACAGACATGATCGACGCCCGAGAGGGGACATGAGTCCTGCAGTTTTCGAAATGCACTCACAGCTAAGTCCGCGCCCTTTTCGACGAGAATCTCCAATTTCAGAAGCACGGGGCCATCCGAGCATCTATACGCGGGAGCCATCTTGGCAGGCCCTGCTGTGCGAGCCGTCGTCTTCGTCCACAAATTACTCGCAACCAAGCATGCCTCCACTCAATCGCTCCTCCAAAATACCGCTTCGTACTGCCCGGGAAGTCAACTACTTCGATGATGATGACGACGACGACGCGCTTCTAAACTCTGTTTTGGACGGAATTGGAAGGATGTCTGTCACAATGGGCCAAGATGGAGCAGGTCGATGGCGTATAAAACGGACAGACAGGGAGTTTTAGGGGACCTCCCTCAATATTTTCCCGATGTTTCGGTCACTGCATCAGCCAAGCATTTGCATCATTAGCGACGCCTCTGATACTTAGTTCGATTCTATCCACGCGTTCTGACCAACAATGAAGACTGCCCAGTTCTCCTGCAATGTGCATTGGAACCTATTCATATCTAAAACACCCAGTCGATACCGTTCTCCGTGCAGCTGTTATTGTGTCGCCGTGCGGATCTATGATACAGTGTTGCTCGACTAATTGAATGCCGATGTTCTATAGACGGGCTAGCCATAGCGTTCAAGTCGCAGTTCTTTGCCCTAGCTTCAGACACACAACCATGATTGCTACTACGGAGGAGTGCTGCCCTGCGGTCTGAACAGAGGCATTTCATTCTCCCACATCAGCCTCGTGTATGCCATTGAGCTTATTTGCGAACCTTTCAAACACATGGACTCGTCGTTCCGCAGTTTCCGCTCGCTCTTTCCACATGCGTGACTCACGCGCAGTCTCGCGGAGTTTCTCGCTCAATGTACCCACGTCCGAGTTCTCATGAGCTTCAATCTGGCGTCGGAGAGACAGCATCTCTTCAGTCTTTAGCTCCAGTTGACGCTGTAGGCTACGAATCTGGATGTGCATAGACGTAGTCCGCCCATGAAGAGGCACAGGCGACGAAATGATCAGATCAGCTGAGTCCAGATTCTCCTGCTGGCAGGCGGACAAATATGGCCTTGCAAAGTTTAGATGTTGTGCCACCGGAGATTCTTCTTTGTGAGGCATCCACGTCCCCAAATTCGCAAAACCATGCTGCTGGCTCGGTTCAACAAGATGGCTATAGTAAATATGGTTATAGTGTTGAGAACTTGCGAAGTTTTGAGGCGATCTGCATCTTGAGAAAGGCTTGTGCTCAATGGAATGCTCCTGGTTTTTTGTCCCTGCTCCCTGGGTGGCTGTGGTGCGCGACGCCACGCTATCACTGACAGACGAGCGCCGTCCCGTTGTTGTGCTCCCCGGCTGTCGACTCAAAATCATACGTGATAGTCTTGAGATGCTCTTGGGATGGCTTTTGGATGGGAAAGAGTTTTTCGAAGGACTGTCATTCGTTTCTAAGATTGGTGCCGACTTGGTAGGCGATCGATGGTTGTTACTGGCTCCGAGACTCTTCGTTCGATACCCCGGCTCGTTTTGCGAAGCAGAAGCTTGCGGGTCGTTGCTTGTACCCTCGAATTTTGCGGCTATTGCTCGAACCGCTGCTTTCGGTGTGGAAGACACGTTCTCGAAAATCAGGTCACTAGATGTGCCAACCATCCTCCCAGAAAATGTGTTCTTGGAATCCATTGATTCAGCTCCGCACCCTCCTATTTGTAAGGGACGGTCCGGGCCAAGATCGCCGCGGGTCAACCAATACGACACAGGGTCGGGCGTTTGAGAGGGATCGGGTATTGTGCTCTGAGTTTGATCGGGTATTGTGTTCTTAATTTTACGTGTCTGTCCATCAGCAACTCTTCGATATCCAGGCGTGACCGTGTATATTTGATTGTGCCTTGTTAAGTGGATTGGCGTCTTCATGGGGTTCCACGGGTGTCCTAGCGGACTATAAGTCGACGACCTAGGTAGGGGCTTGAGAGTCTGGGAGTGTAGATCTTGAGACACTTCACTATTATATTCGTTGACTTGTAAAGGTTGCTCTGACTCCGTGTGAGGAAGCTCGAGACTTGGCTCTCCACCTTTGAGTGTATCTGAAGTCTGCCTGACGTTGTCGGGTACGGGACCGAGAACCGGTGCTTTGAGCAATGATGGCGCGTTATCAACCTTAAAATGGTTGAGACCATTTGTAGTAAGTTCCCATTGGGCCATGGTATCATCGGGAGGAGCTTCGTAGGTTTCCGGGGTCAATCGCCGCGGGAGAATCTTGTTCGCGAGCTCGGAAGAACATATATTGCTCTGATCTGGCAGGTTAGACGAGAACGCTTGGTGATTCAAGAAATCTGTAATGCTGAGAGAGGAAGCTTGACCTGAAGACACTATTGATGCGCCCAGAGGACCTTTGGTTGGCGTGGCATTAAGAGAAAATTGCCTAGATGATGTACGAGGGGGCACGGCTTCCATGGGAAGCTCAGGGCTGCCGTGACTGTTCATCTGACGGCGACAGCGTCCCGACTCGGACCTCTCATTCTGCTCGCGATTGAAAGGACTTTGATATTCTTTGCGTGATTCTGGAGTCGGGGTGGCAGGCAGAGACCTGGCTAATTGTGCGCTCGCTCTGCGCCGAGCAAGGACCGACGACGAGCTGGTCTCGCTTACCTTTCCATCTTCCACAGGCTCACCCTCTACCATGGGACTCAAAGCAGAGCAAAGAGTTTTACCTCGGACCCCCGTGGAGCTCAAGTTCTGCTTTGAATGGGGCTTGGGCATACGCATATTGACGCTGGCAAGCTTGGACAGTTCAGGACTGGTGGCCCTGGCAACTTGACCATCAGCGTCTCGTCCGTCAAAGCTCCTATCATTCGGACGCTTAGTAGCCGAAGTCCCTGAGATAGGAGGTTGGTCCAAAGCCGATGTGGACTCTGAAATCGGCCTGGATTGGTGCACACCGATTGTCCTCATCTGCCTGACAATTTCGCGCCAATTTGAGATGAGCATTTCAGCGATATCGTTGGCAATGTGTATCTTGTCCACGACCTGTGCCTTCGGAACTTCCTTGCGTGGTCTCGCAAATGATTTCCGGCGGACCTTCTGTGCCTTCCGCAGTTTCGTCGGCGATATTGGAAGAAGTAGTAGCCCTGATGCTGGAGTTGCGACATTCATCTTGTATTGTGACAGCAAGTCGCCTAGTAGCAAAGGTCCGAAGATAATCCCGAGTGCTTTGTATCCCATTAGGTCGCTCTTTGGCAATGGTCTCCCGTTATCATCTTCTGTCGGAGCTTCTTCAGCAGTTCTACTAACGAGACTCAGGAGCCCTAAAACTGCGCAAATGAGCTCCCGTCGAAACTGCGACTCCACGGTTCCGATAGCAAGGGCTATCATTCGTGCTCGCACTTTTGTCTGCTTTGTACGCAGAGACTCTTGATTGCTGATGAGTTGTGAGTGAGTAGCCACAAGAGCATCAAAAACAGACAACGATCCCAGTAGACCACCTGGAAGCACAGATAGAAGCCTTTTGAAAGTCGAAGCTACATCGTGCACGGACGTAGCAAAATGGCTTGGAAGAGTAGGACATTGGACCGTGCCTGACACGCCTTCCGTTCCCTTCCCAGTCCTGCAGTAGTACTCGAACAATGAATTCACGGCCTTGGTCGACCCTGGTATTCGAAACATACCCCCTGTTGCCGGATTCTGTGCCAGATACTGTGCCGTAGCTCGAATGCATGTCGGAAGCACAAGTGAGCCAGGAGTGTACTCTTGAGGCAAATAGAGGACACTCTTCCCACTGATCCGTACCATTGCCTGAAGGTCGAGTTCATGCGTAGGCAAATTGCGCACACCGACGAGATTCTGTGCAAACTCAGAAACGCTGCGCCGTCGTTGAAGCGCTTGATTGTTGGCTATCGGTGCTAAAGGGAGTGTCGAGTCTGTGTGTGTCGACGTGGAACGGAGGAGACGAGATAGCCAGCTTCGCTTTTCGCTGCTTGTGGACACATTCGTCTGCCCAGGGTGTCAGAAATTGCTTCAACTTCTCTCCAAGGACTCACCTTGGACAATATGTGACGTCCAAAGTCACTAACCACCAACGACCGGACGTTGTGCTGCAAGAACGGTCAGCGTGGAATGACCTAAATTCACAAACCAGCCTACCTTTTTAGCCAGCCGATTGTACTCTTCAACAAACCACGTTCGGTCGTTCAGCTCGTCGGTGTCGCTCAAGAAGCCCAGCTCTCCACTACTGGTCGTCCATGTGTGGCTGCTTGGCATTCGCGTGCCGTGGCGATATCCTGGTAAGTTATGGAATATGCAGCTGGCAGGGGATACAAAAGCCGTTGCACTTCTAGACGCAACCAGCGTCCGGCAGTTAGAGTTGGGGTCAAAGTTTGTAGGTTGCGAAGCCAACGTCGTCATGTTCGTCGTGTAAGCAGCTATACGCACTCTCGGGTGGGTAGATATGCAGTTATGGATGGGCGGCCGAGTATTGCTTCGATGTAATTTTGAAGATCAGATCACAATTGATGATAGGAATCTGGGAGTGAGCTGGTGCAGGTGGCTCTATCGGTGAGCGCAGAGTCTGCTATGAATTCGCGATTGCTACCACAGGTCAACACGATCCAATCGCGACTCATCGCAGCCGGACTACTGGCTTGTACCAGGTGTCTCAACAGTGCACTTACCTGCTTGAAAGCCATCTGTAATTGGTCAGCTAATTTGAGCTGCCAACCTTGTTCTCTTGTAATCATGACAAGAGTTGGAAGGTGAGACGCTGCTGAAATTGCACCTGCTGAACGTTTTTGTGTTGCGTGATGCGCAACGAAAAGGAGAAAGAATCAACAGCCCGCAAATGTAATAACCAGGCAGTAAACTTTTGCACGTCAACTAATACAGATTGCAAATCATTGCACACTGCAGGCAAGAGTGCATCATCGGTACAAGCCGAGAAATTAGGTACCAGCAAGCTAGGCCACAACGAACTGTGTGACACTGCATCTTCCTAAGATCGTATCATCGCGAAAGATATAAAAGATTCCCTTTCATCTCACATCCTGCGTCTTAGACGCGGCTCCATAATGCTAGGTTGATGAAGCTCATGGGCCGCAAGCCATGGGCTACTCTTTCAGACCCGCTGCTGAGCAACATACAAGAATGTGTCAAGTAGCGATTTCCGACGCCCATTCAACAGCCATCGCCTTCATATTAACAGCTATCCTGGGTTACCACGGGCACTCAGGCCCCTGGGCTGGATCCGGTGTCGTTGATGCCGAAGCTCCTGGCATCCCGTACCCTCGTTGTCCCAGTATCGACCCATTCCCATGTCTTTATGTGTCGTCATCTCATGTCATCGTGAAAACCATAAAGGCCTTTTTACGCCTCTTCGGAAAGTATCACCCACGTCAGAATATCCGACAGCGAAATGACGCCCTTGAGCTTGTTGTCGTCATCTACGACAATGAGCCTGTGGACACGACTCTTGCGGATCGTGTCAAAAATGGACTGCAGACGGTCGTGTTCCGAGCATGTGTATATCCCGGGGCTGTCCTCCGGCCGTTTGCACAAGGCATCGCCTATTGTCCCGTTCAACTCCTCGTACAAACCGCCCTTGATGCACGGAATGATATCGACAGCCTCAAAGACGTTCAGGACTCGGCCTTTGTCATCGACCACTGGAACGCAGCTGATGTTGCGGGCGACCATTTGATGGATGACGTCCAGCACGCTGTTATCCATGCGTGTTGTTGCAATGTTCTTATAGGTGCCCATATTGAGTTCGCGAACTGTTTTCTTGAAGAGAACGGTGTTGTGCTCGTTATTAACAGCGATGAACTTGAGAATTCGGTACTGGGTAATCACCGAAACCACCCACCCTTTCCCAGTCTCATCATCGACGTCAATCAGAGGAATGCGGCGAGCTCGAGTGCTAAGCATGTGTTTGATGGCGTCGAACAGAGGCATCAAGGGGTTCACGGATATGGTCTCTATGGGACTCGCGCCAATGGCCTTCTCAATATCTAAGCGTCGTCAGTCACAGTCGCTCTAGCGATTGGCCTTGCGGTGGCATACCTGGTAGACTGCTCAAGCGGAACTGGTCCAGCTTGTACATTTCGTTGGGAAATTGATAGTAGTACTGAATCACGTTGATATAGTCAGTCGCGGTCAGCGTGCCCGCGAAACATGACTTTTGCGAGTCCCACAAAGGAGCAGACACAATCGCTGCACGTAGTCAGTAACCGTCATCCGTTGGCGCACATGAGCACATACAATTCTGGATCATGATATTGAGACTCTTCTTGATGAGCAAATCATGGTCGAGAACAATGAGTCGAAAGGAAAGTGGAAAGACATCGTAGCCGCATCGAACTTTGAGGAACTCGCGGATATTTTGCTATCTCCATTTAGTCGCGTGATCACGACTTGACGTGCATAGAGGAATCACTCACCAGACCCTGAGTCTGTTCCATGTCATGGATCGTTGGGGCAGGCGAAGGCTCCGGCGCAACGGCCGTAGCCATGGCGCTGCGATTGATGGCGACGGGTCGCAGGTAGGACGACGGGGCGACGAAGTGAGGGACAGGTGCTGAACGCTGTGGCGGCGGCTGTTGCTGCTGGTGACCTCCCACTTGTTGAGGCTCAGAGGCAGCTGTCACAGGGACCGTCGCACGTTGATGATCTGCCTCTTGCTCGACTTCCGCCTTTGATTCAGTCGCCGTCACTCCTGGTTCTAGTAAAGCGTGTCTAGTTGTCGCAGCAGGGGCGTCGTCGATTGGCGGGTTTCGGAGGGGGGTTTGCGATTGGGCTGATATGAACGGTTCTTGTGCTACGTGAGAAGCGTTGGCCTGAAGAGGTGCGTCGTCGCCCGGTTTCGCAGCTACAGGAACAGCGTCGGCTGAGAGATGCACTGTAGCAAGAAGTCGAGGATCGTTTTGGGCGGGGGAGTCGACGCCAACGGCACCTTCGTCCTCGCGCTGGTTGCCGCTAGTCGCGGGGCCATCTCCAAAACCTTCCTCCATTCCTCTTTTTCGTCCCTGTGACGTTGCCAAACCTCGCGGCTGGCTGGGTCGACGCCGTCAACTTGTGTGTCGAGCGATGTTGGCCTGGTGGTGGGGGTTGACGGTATTGGTGAGTGAATATAATTTCCAAGCGCGTTTACTGGGAACGGTTTCTGATACATTTCAAGTACCATCAGGCAACATGCAGGGCGATCGATCGGCGGGCAGGTGGGACGCGAACCGGGTGGTTGCGCTGAATTCGATAACCAGCTGATAAGGCCTGGTAAAGTCAACGACGTATGTATCTACAAGAGATTGGACGCAGAGATCCGTGCTGCCGATGCCGCTGCCAGTACGAATCATGAGTAGACCGACAACCTTATTAACACCTAATAAACTTGTTGCCAGTCGACGTGGAGGGCGATTGATCGGTCCAGTAATTTGCCAAGCTGGTAGCCTCGCGCCCAGACGGTTCCTCAATCTTTGCAGGCGCAAGAGGGTCAACCATCGGTCATTAAAGCTCTGATACTCCGTACTGATACGACCTGTTGCAAACGTCATTCGGGCCCTCACCCAGGCGCTGCTGACATGTATTAATACTGAGGTACCAGTCGACCATGCTCATTCCGTCTCTCCAGGTCTGATAAAATGTGAGACCAATCAAGAAGCTTTTAGACAGCTTCTGTCCCACTAGTAGCCGAATAGCTACTAGCGTCAGTGGTGGATCCCCAAGCCAGTGTCGAAGCTCCAACTTAGGTCCAGCAAGAGCGCCAGTACCTTAGGTTCATGCACTTATGAGGTCCTGCCGGAATGCACCTGCTCGCTTTGCTTGGTCCGACTCCATCATCATCGGCCTCTAGATGGGCTTCATTCCTCATTCTCCCGCCATCCCACGTCTACCGCCTTTTCTTGACCGCAACTGTCACGCGTGCCGATTCTGCCTGTCGAGAGCATCGAGTCCCTCCGTGACTGACAGCGACGTCGAAGGCCTGTCATCGTCCTATCTGCGGCGCCTGTTGATTGCCCGACCGAGTCTCAATCGATTGCAACCAAAACAAACACTACGCGCATCACGCCTACCGCATATCATCGACTACCGCCACGGAGCGATCGCACCGAGAAGCTGGGGACGTGGGCTTCACACATCTGCCATGGGTTTATGGAGCTCGTGCTGCTGCGGAGGTTTGTTGTCGCTCTAGCCGTACTCCCTCTCCAATGCACCCGTTCTAACATCATTGTGCCGAACCAGGTCGGAACCGCGATGGCCTCTACGAGCCCGTGCTGGCTGACAGCGAAAGGGAAGCTGTAGCTGACCTGCTGCAATACCTCGAAAATGTCGGTCGCCACCACACCGCCAACCCGAGTATGACTGACTTTATGGCAGCGCGGCGAAACTGACTTCTTTTCTGGCGAACCGTTGCGAGCTCTCAGCACACTTGTCTTCTCAGAGAACATAGACCTTCAGCGCAGCGCGAGTTTGACCTTTGCCGAAATTACTGAGAGAGGTATGGCTTGACTGGGTGCTGGGACTAGCGGGCGCTAATACCATCCAGATGTTCGGGAGGTAGACCGTGATACGTTGGAACCGATCCTCTTCCTATTGCAGAGTGCAGACATTGAAGTGCAAAGAGCAGCAAGCGCTGCTTTGGGAAACCTGGCTGTCAATAGTAAGCCGTTCACTACACATGCCTCCCCCCCCCCCGATGGCGATGCATGCTGACTCAACTAGCCGAGAACAAGGTATTGATTGTTCAGCTTGGCGGCTTGACGCCTTTGATCCGCCAGATGCTCTCGCCCAACGTCGAAGTGCAGTGCAATGCTGTTGGATGTATCACCAACCTCGCTACGCATGAGGAAAACAAGGCGAAGATTGCTCGGTCCGGCGCTCTTGGACCCTTGACCCGCCTAGCCAAGTCGAGAGATATGCGAGTGCAGCGCAACGCAACTGGAGCGCTGCTGAACATGACACACTCTGGTATGCTGGACTCAGATTTTGCCAAGATCATCTCGCTAATCAACCCCGGCAGACGAGAATCGCCAGCAGCTCGTGAACGCTGGTGCCATCCCTGTCCTCGTCCAGCTTCTCTCTTCGCCCGATGTCGACGTTCAATACTACTGCACCACGGCTCTCAGCAACATTGCCGTCGACGCAAATAATCGCCGAAAACTATCGAGCTCCGAGACGAAGTTGGTGCAGTCTCTGGTGAACTTGATGGACTCGTCGTCGCCCAAAGTTCAGTGCCAAGCTGCGCTGGCTCTCCGAAATTTGGCGTCAGATGAAAAGTATCAGCTCGATATCGTTCGCGCAAACGGCCTAGGCCCTCTCTTGCGTCTCCTCCAGTCGTCATACTTGCCGTTGATACTGTCCGCCGTTGCCTGCATACGCAACATCTCGATACATCCCATGAACGAGTCTCCCATCATCGAAGCGAATTTCTTGAAGCCCCTCGTGGATTTGCTCGGGTCTACAGACAATGAGGAGATCCAGTGCCATGCTATCTCGACCCTTAGGAACTTGGCGGCTAGCTCAGACCGCAACAAGGCTTTGGTTCTTGATGCTGGCGCTGTTCAGAAGTGCAAGCAGTTGGTGCTGGACGTGCCAGTGACCGTCCAGTCCGAGATGACGGCGGCGATCGCAGTGCTGGCCCTGAGCGATGACCTCAAATCGCATTTGCTCAATCTTGGCGTATGCGATGTGCTGATTCCATTGACACACTCGGAGAGCATCGAGGTACAAGGCAATAGCGCCGCTGCATTGGGCAACCTATCTTCGAAAGGTAAGCTTTGCTCTTTTATGTTGGCGTTGCCACAAGATTCTGACCATTTTGTAGTTGGCGACTATTCAATATTTGTGCAAAACTGGGACCAGCCACAGGAGGGCATCCATGGTTATCTTGGACGATTCCTACAGTCAGGTGATGCGACATTCCAACACATTGCAGCTTGGACACTCCTGCAGCTCTTTGAGTCGGAGGATAAAACTCTAATCAGTCTCATCGGCAAAGCCGAAGATGTTATTGAACATATCCGCAGCATCGCGAATCGCCATGTCGAGACTGGTCCCGATGCTGAAGAGGAGGATGAGGGTGAAGTTGTCAGCTTGGCGCAGCGCTGTCTCGAGCTACTGGGGCAGACTGGCAACAAGACACATATCGAGGGCTGATCTGCCTCCAGCTGGTGGCATTTCCTAAGATTACTTTTCTATCCTAATCAGACCAGCCCTAATTCATTCGGGTATGGGCTGACTCGATCGCTTGGTGCGGACATGGCCAATCGCAGTGGTACGGCGTTTTTTCTTTTTTGAAACTGGAGTTCCGATGAGGCAGCACCGGGGCGATGGTTAGTGCAACGGCGCCTTGTCGTGAGTAATTGGGCTGCTCCCAGGGAGTGGTGCGGCTTTGTTTCATCTCGGTCTGAGAGCATGGTATTCACGGCATTGATCTTTCTTTCGTACAGAGCATAAGCCACTTGCGTATATTATATTATATTACTCAACTTCAGTTGCTTGTTCGATCTCGTTGCATGGGGAACCGCTCCGAACCAAGGAGAAGCACGTGTGTGACTTGCTTCATTGTCAAAGTGAACAATTGCCTGCGTGTTGCCCAACATTGCGTTACCACCAAGCGCTCTTACGAACCTAGCAGGGGTGATTCTGCTGGCTGCAGTGGATTGTGCAGCCACCCACTTTGTCCGTATGGCAGCACGCGCGCGACGACCTTGCCTTTGATGAGGGCGAGCGGCAAGGGTCCAAATATCCTCGAGTCTCTCGAAGCAGTCAAATTGTCACCTAGCACCCAGCAATGCCCCTCTGGAACCTGGTCATGTGTCAGCACCTGGTGTAACGAGGGCGTTTGGGTGTTGCACGAAACATCATCGACTGACCTGGATCATCTGGTCCTCCCCCCTCTCCCCTGGTGTTCCCATGCAGACGTAGTCCCCCGGTAGGCCGACCAGTCTCTTGATGCCATCTGCGTTATCCAAGATGGGGATGCGATACTGCACCAGGTCACCGATCCGGAGCTCCTTTCTGCGATTGCGCGCATGGGTCATGTCGGTGGCCACCCAGTCGCCATCCACGGCAAAGGTGGGACACATGGAGGGTCCGCTGGTCGCACCGACGGCGAAGACGTGTGTCTGGAAGAGATGAACGGCGCACATGAGTTTGAAGGTCTGCAGGGTCAAGTGGAAAGGTCTTGCGCGGAAGTGGGTGAAGACCATGTTGGGCGACGGTGGTAGCTGAGACGTAATGTGGGAGGAAGGAAAGAGATTGGGGTGTTCGAAGGGGATCAAGGAGGGCGCATTGTACGGCTTGGGTGGGGATCGGGGATGGTGTAAGGGCCGGACGCCCTTGTGAATGCGTGATGCTGTTGGCGATGAGAGATTGGGAGGGCGACGAGGTGATGGATGGAGGTTTGTTTGGTTTGGACGTGAGATGAAGTTGCTGGAGATGTACGCTAGCCGGATTTGGATACTAGCGCAGACGACTTTCACCGTGTGATAGGACTTGGAGTGCTCGATGCTGGGCTTTGGGATTTTGAATGAAAACTTAATGATGATCGTATTAAAGAAAGAGAACCACAAGAACCGAGGCCCGACAGAGGTGTCCTTACAATATAGGAAAAGGGTGTCGTGGTGAATGACACAGCACTTCGGACTGCATCGGTAGTGCGAATTGTCCGCGAGCCAACGTCATGTTGTTTTCTGGAAGCTATTCATGAACCAAAGTAGGTCAATTCATGGCATTGTTTTTTGAGAAACCTTGCGTGCGAAGAATGTTTGTGAGAAACCGACGAAGCGAGGTCTGTCGATCAAAGTCGGAACTCGGGAGTCGGGAGGCTGTCGTGCATGTAGCGATGAGGATAAGGCACTTAATCTTAACGTTACAGGCCTGAGTCTTGAAAAGTTCATACTTCTGCAATAAAATTCCAAGCGACAGATGTAAGTATGTTTCACCTGGTCGTGGAAGACCGGGCAGTCGTAAGCCCTTTCCAGTAAACCAAGCCAGCTTGGCGAAGGTGGCCTGCAAAGGTCTTCAGCCTCTCATTACATCCCGCGCTATGTCCTTCTTCACACTTGCATCGGAAGATACACAATCCGAGACCCAGTACCCAGTTTCTGCAGGCGGTGCCGTCATGGTCACAGGCGCCATTAAGGGCTAGGTGAGACCGGAACTACGCATCGGCGTTAGAGGGCCCTCTCGATGGAATCCTCTCAAATCACCTTGAATGACCCGAAGTCAACTTCATACTTGCCGTGGCAAGGCGCTGCGCTTGAGTGTTGTAGTGGCATGTGCAGTCGTAACTAGAGGCCTTGACAACCGGGGAAATAGACGCAGTTGTGCGCCGGAGATGGTTCTGAGGCGCGAATTCCTCGCCTGGTTCGTGGAGTATAGATCGAGCACGTCGACTATAATTCTCATCACAGTAGCATAGGCGTTATAAGGTTGACGCGCAACACTGGCTGAGATCCCATGGGTGTATGTCGACCACATATGCAGCGGTAGTGCGTACGTCTGCTACAACGACACCACACAAGGATCAATGACCACTATCACCGGGCATAGTACGCTCTTGGACATAAGAATAAAACTCATGGCCCTTGATTTGCCGAGAGACTGGAGTATGGGGTGCATTGGAGGCATAGTCGTGGCGGTACTGGACGCTTGTGGGCGGGAATCGTCCGAGGCAGGGGAAGTGACGTGTGTTCCATGTATTGATAGTAGTAACATGCCCACCACATAGCGGCAGTGATCGGAACCTTGGCCCTTTCTCTAGTTGCGCTGGCTTTCGTTATCGCCGGGGCAGCGGCCGATGTCTGGAGTCTTTAAACTTCTCGCCTGGTGAGGTGGAACTGGGAGACGAGGAGTGAGGGTGGAGGTTCCCTAGCCCAAAGCTCAGAAGATGCATTCTGACTACAATGTATAATAGGGTTTACCCCATCAGCACCTCCCCTGATCGGATTTATAAGTCTTCTGGTGCAATGACGGTGATCGTAGTGTAGCGGGTGGGATGGGATGTGGGGGTTCCAGTTGGCAGTCTCCGACACTGGCCTACGCGCGTCAATCTTGCTATCGGGGAGAAGATAAATCGCCGACGACTCCCGAGGACTGCATGAAGTCTGCAGATCTTGGGAGCTTGTGCGCTTGTGCGCTGCAAGCGCCGGCAAGTCGAGACGTCAGGAGCTGATGTGGCTTGCCCGTTTGGGGTCGTTCGCCAAGCACGCGAGGCGGTTTCATCGATCGACATCTGGTGGCTGGCATATGAGTGATCTGACACACGACAGGAATGAGTTTAACCTTATTTTTGGCCGCGTCTCAAAAGGCGCCGCCGGTCATGAACACGGCCAAGGTGTGTGATGGTACCAGGGATCTGGAGGGGGTGGGTGGTATTGATGACCCTGGACGTTGCAAAGTCGACGTCTCGCGAAACGACTTATTCGTTCTTGATATTGTGTATTAGTTGGTACGCACACTGTTTCGGTCACAAGAAAATGACTACGTGTGGCCGATTGTTGCACAATCCAGTGCAGCGAGGTGAGACGTGGCGTGGCACATGCTAATGCAAGGGTTAAGGTTAATGTCCAAAAGTGGTCGCCATAGACAGCACGATGCTATGCTTTGGAGATAGATTGGCCGCCGAACGCTTGATTGATTCACTGATGATAACCTTATTTCAACAGCTCGGGAGGTACACGTACACGTACGTAGATGCGTTTCAGTTTGGCGGCCGGTGGGTGACCGCGCCAAGAGTCTAGCTAGATGCAGTCACGACGATCACCCCCAACCCCCCTCCCCCTCTCTCCATCTCAGGGGTTCGAGAATTCACAGAGGTTTCCCGTTGCGAGATGTTTCTGGGCTTGGCTTGAGACTACCGACGTCTCCAGCGCCCGGTGCAAAGAGCCGCAGACTGTCATGCAGCTGTCCGATTTGGGGCTATGCGACCCAGACAGGTCTACTATCCGTAAGGCACTGTCTAGTCCCATTGTGAGGCACTGCTGGTGCCTTTCAAAGTTTCAAGTGCCGGCACCAGTGGGGTGCGGCACTGCGGCCCCACGAAACGATTTGGCTGGTGAGGTGTCTCGTGGGGTATCTCATGCTATTGATAGCTAAGTATGCGCGTGGATCTGGTAGATAAGAGTTGAGAGGAGGAGAAGAGGATTACGAAAGGTTCATTACTCAGGCACCTCTTGAGTGGGCGTCAGCGTGGAGTCAGAGAGGCCTGGCTCCAGTCCGGAGCGATGTCACCGTAGATCAAATATGGTGAAGCACTAGGTGCATCTCATCTCCAGACCGATGTCGACGCGGTGGATAGCATTCGTCACAGGGGTGAGTCCGACCAAATGTGCAGAATCGCAGATTTGGATAAGCAATCCGACGCTGGACGCGCGTAATGTCCCATCCAGTCGCTGAGAGATCTGAAGTACATGTAGCGATAAATCTTGCAGCGTCTCGCTCTTGCCCGACGCGAATAGCATACGCTGTAGGCTGAGGCTGGGCGACACCCCTGGCACGCTAGGCAGGGATTTGGCAAGGTGCTCATTCGTGGCAGGCTTGGCTCTGCCTGGACTGGACTCACGGGAGTCTCTGGACATCTCCGAAAAGCTTCACCTAATGGCCAAGTAAGTACGTGTAGTGTTGAGCACGTCACCAGCTATCCGTCAGCGACCACCACCTCATAACTGCGCAAGAAACGGGGTGGAATCCAACCCACGTCAAGCCACAGCCATGCGAGCACGCCGGCCAATATATCTGTCTGACGTGGCACGTGAGCTCCCGTGGGAAAGACGGACTGCACAGCCTCCGTCGTGGTGGGCCATGAAGAACGGCGAGGTAGGTAATAGGTTACGTTCGGTGTCACTACCTTGAGGGTACTGGAACGGCGTATCTTGGCTCTTATGTTTTGCCTCAGTCGATCGCCTCCCCAGGACACTGGACTTGCTGACGTTGCATTCCGCGACAATGAACGATAAGGCCCCCGTGTTTGGCGGTTTACTGTTTGAGGACGAAAATAGGTTGCATTGGTTGGAGATAGCCACGCGCTAGGGGAATTGAGCGTCGGAGACTTGGAGGAAGAAGTAAGCCGGAGGCGCAGCGATCAGTTATTATCACTAGACACGATACGTAGGATTAGCAATCGGCAGAATGAATTTTGTATTATCAATCGTCGCAGTGGTGGATTTGCAGTATCAAGTTCGGAGCCGCACCTCAATGTCCGATGTCAACTATTTAGTAGGTATCAAGCGCTGACGACAGCCGATGCAGCCACACTGCACAACAAGATCAGATCTATGCACACACCCATAGATTGACGTGGCGCAGTTTTGTAGATCGGTCCGGATAGATCTGAGAATCAGTATCGTCAGCACCCTTCCTGACAATAGACTGCCTTACGCGCGCTCACGAATCTTTCCCTCTGATGTGTTTCTCAAGGTCGTGCGTAGATTCGTCAGCTGAGAATAAACGTCAAGAGTCATGGCTAGGCTGCTAGCTTTAAGAGTAAGACACGGACCACTGCCGCAATCTTGATAAGATGCAGCTCGGCAGCCAAGCCAGTGGCTGTTGCAGCCTGCAGCCTGTAGCCTGCCACTGGTGTATCCGGGCGGTTGGACCCTTGTTCCGCAGCACTTCACCTCTAGGCTAGTATCATGGCTTAGCCGGACCATTACCAATGATAATTCCTACAATTCCGAACATGCAGTTTCGACATTTTGGTCCCTGACGGCGGTCCATGCCCAACCCTTGGGCCTGCCCTGGACATGAGTGGACCTGGCTAGTGTTACAGTTACCTACCCAATGGTTACTCGACCGCCGGCTGAAACTAGAGGACCCTAGCGCGAACGTGGGTTGCTGGTCCCGTGACATTCGCTGCTGACCTTTTTCATTGCTTCTCACCGTTGACGCCCACCACACCACACTGCAAGTAACCAGGCCCAGGCCCAGGAATGCCGGCACTCGACCCTTGTTCCCTATATGAAGCTTGATACGCCGTGTGGGTCTGGAACGAGACATTCGAACGCTTTGTCGTCGCGGGCCAATTTCACGACACCGGAAAGAGATTGAGCTCTGTCCTCTTGCTGCCCAACAATCTCCTCGTGTCATGGTCGATGGCGCGTACAGGGCAGTGAGTTTGATACTGCTTTTCTTCTCCTCTCTTCGAAGCAACGAGACCCAAGACACACAAAGCAGGAAGAAAGCATGAGACAAGCGAGCTTCTTTTTATTTCCCACCTCTAGCTCCCCTGTGCGTGTTTGTATTCTGGTGGCACCAAGACAATACGGAAAAAGGCGGCAAGCTCATGCATCCGCGTGATAGCCTCATGTCCATCGCAAGCCACATACAAACACCGACACAACGTCCATTGTTGACTGACTCTTACGTCGCTCCCCCGAGCTTGATGATTAGCACAGCCACTCCGTACAAGCTCAAGCATTCTCCAGGCTCGGCTCTCCGCGCCCCCGCGACCGTCCCGCAACAGCGTCCCGCCCAGTAGACTTGGCTCGTTCCCACTCTCCACCCGCCCTGCGAAACTAGTATGTAATCGCCTCGCAGTGTGGAGTTGCGACCTTGTTGGTGTTAGATATCTGTCGACTGATTCATTATCTCGCTGCTGATACCTGCGATGGTGGAGAGGAGAGCTTCCAGTGCCCACGATCGGCGCCATCGTACATACAGACCTGTCTCAGTCTGCATACTCGTCGCTCCGCTGCTTGCGTGTCGTCGATGGCGTACCTAATATGTCTCTCTTACGCCCTTTGGCTCCGTCTCTTCTTGAGCAGCGATGCGCACTACGGCTGGCTACTTGCCCTGGAGTCACATCCACCCCAGATCTTGGCCCGGTAGCCCGCATACGTAGCAGTCGTGCTCGCTGATGATGCACACACGTGCTTCTCTGTCGTAATCATGTTGGGCAGCAGGAACGCGAAGCTGTGATTGCCGTCCGGCACCAGTCACCTCAATTCCACGACTGCCCTGCCGAACAGGCCCACCCCCGTCGCTAGACTCCCTACGCACACACCCTCCCCTGTCGTGGCTTCCCTTGACCCCTGCTGGCTACTGACAACCACGGGCGGCGACTCGCGAGCAAGGAGACGACGACGCTTGGGCAGATGCCGTGTCGCATAGCACAGAGAGATACTGATGGTATATTAACATGTACCTTTCCCGCCGTCACGCTTCCACCTTTGACTTTGGACATGCTTGATGTGGCTTGACGAGACATAATACTACCGAAACCCAGGATCGTTTAAACTTCCATCCCGGCTATCCTTCTGCATATTTACGCACAAAATTCTGTCATTCCACTGCATATCCAGTATATTCTCGCAATAATTCACCTTGCTGGAACCCCCTCAGCCCACCCCATCCTGTCGACCCCAACACCCTGGGCAACGAGTCTCGCCATACTTCCACTACAATCGCATCTTGTCTGGACGGGGAAAAAATGTCCCAATTTGTCAAGGATGAAGAGCTCTGTCAGCAGTATGCCCAGTTCGCATCGCACTTGGTGAGGTGGCAGTTCAAAATTATCTACTGGACCATGTTCATATCGAACCTATTCGTTCTCTTCTTAGCATCATGGACTTTCATCAAGTATGTCACCCCCTCCATGAACAATGCCGTCTTGTCTGACGAACGAGTTCAGGGGCCAGGAAACAGCCGAGCGACTCAATGACGATCTCAAGAAAAGGGCCAAGCGATTACGGTTCTACATATTGCTCTGCTTGGGTTGCGTTTCCGTTTCGACTGTCATAGTCGTCATGGAGGCATTCTCACTGCTTGCACTCCAATTCTGCGATGGGGAGGACTTGATGTCCTTGTACTGGTCTACATGGACAATGATTCAAGTGGGCTCGCTGATTGCCATGGTGGGCATCATCCTCGCCATGTGCCACTCGTTGAAGCAAAGCCGGCATCCGTGAGTATTTCTTTCAGTGCTTCATCGGCAGCTGACTAACTTCTTCTCAGCCCGTGGGCTCTTGCACTCGGCACACCTGTTCTGGTCATTGCTGGCTTTCTGCATCTCTTTCACGCCTGTGGGAAAAAGGGTGTGAAGAAGATGAAAGCTTCCTTCGCAGCACACGGCGACGACGATGGCAACTTCATGGGGCCCCCCATGAGTCAAGCGTAAGTTCACTTCACACAAGGAATCCTCCCCCGTTGGTACTAACATGTTTCACAGCAACACCATTCAGGCACCAGAGGGCACAGAAGACGAAACAATCGAGGGCGAGTTTATCGGCTTCACCATTGACGGCGGTCCCATTGTCCGCTTCACCAACCGCTTCACCAACTGCCAATTCCCCAGCAACATGGAGCTACTTGGCCACTGCAACGACGACCGGCCCATTGTCGCGTACCGGAAGGACTCCATCCGTTTCATCTCCGAGTCCAACAAGAAGCCTGTCTGCCCCAACAGAGATAACGAGGATCAGGAGGAGAAGGTGCACGAGAGCGTCTGAGGAGAGGAACATCTCCTCCACGGGGGGAGTTTGACGCAGCGTTCATATACATTCGGCGTTTGGGACTTGGTATACCACGGGTTTGCGATATTTGCGGCATCAGATGCATAGATGATGGGACTGGCTATTTTGCGTTTTTGTTGCGCCGGAGGTTTGGCTACGGAAAAGCGCAGAGGCTGGCTGTGTGCGAGAATGCCCACTCGATACTCGGGGCCACGCGCGGCTCGCCGCCTTGGGTTCATGTTTGGATCACATTTGTTTGATATATATATATATATGCGTCTTTCTCGATTTGTTAGCTTGGCAGCAGATACGGCATCAGTTGACAGATTCATGAGACTCCCTCCTTACACGCCCCATGATCCTGGCGACGCCTCTGGACATGCGCTTGACAACGCCAATCAATCAACTCATGATAACTTGCACATCCAGCACTGCCGTACTTGTCCTTCGTGAGCGCATCAATGTGGTTCACTGACAGAGCGTGCCCTCATCCAATAGATTCCTCCTCTCTATATCTACCTTGCCTGTCTACCATGGTCATGTCGTTCAGCGGTATCTCCGTGTCGATCCTCTTGTATCCAGTCTGCTTTTGCCTGAGGCGCTTCACGCCGAGTCGCACACAAAGAGCCATGACGAGGATGCCAACCACCACCACCGTTGCGGACATCCATATCCTCCACCCACGTACACAGCACGGGTACCAGGACATGAAAATGCCTACGGCCCACTGCACCCACGGCTTCTTGTGCCGTCTGTCGGGGAAGAGGTCCTTGCGCACGAGCTGCTTCACAATCGGACCCTGCGGTCCCGTGACGAAGCGCTTCAGACCAAAGTGCGGCACAGTCTTTTGGCGCGGGTCCGTGTCGGGATACTGGATGTCACCCCAGCGGCCCTTGAAGTAGAAGAATGAGGTCTGATTGGCCTCTGACGCGTCATCGGCGTCGGCGAGGGCGAGACGGCTGAGGGCGAAGGCGTCCGGGTCGAGCTGGTAGAAGTTGGCCGAGAGCATGGGATCCCAGAGCTGCCCTGCGTCGCAGTAGTCTATCAAGGCGCTGTCGTGTACATGCTCGCTGTACGGAGATTAGCGGCCTGGAGTGAGGCGAGTGAGAAAGCAGCAATCGCAGACGACTCACCCCGGAGACTCGTAGTTTGCGTGCGATCCATATGCGCTGAATACAAGGGGCTGAGTTCATCGCTTGTTAGTCGCCGTCGTCTTCTTGGGCGACATACTTCTGCTTACCCGATCATCCTGTATCGTCAGTCCGTTGTCGTTCCAGTCGAAAGCGGAACCGTCCACATGCTGGCTGTAGTAGATCCCCGTGGGCTTCCCGTCATGGAAGCGAACCATGTTGTGTTCCCAGTCGCCCACATGGTCGCCAAAATGCATCCCGCCGCCGTCGTCCTCGATCAGCCGGTTCAGCGGCTCCATGACCTGCGTGATGTTCGGGCCGCGATCATAGGAGTAGAAGTAAAAGTAGAAGGCGTCAAGATCACGGGCGCTCTTCTCGACGAGAATCACAATGCAGGCTGTCGCGTTGGCGATCCTTCCCGAGGGATCCGGTGTCTGGCCCAAGATCCACGACGGCCAGGTCGTCACATCATCGTTTGAGGTCAGCGCGACGCGGGAGGTGCCATTGCTCACATTGTTGAGCAGTTCGAGGCTGTCCAGGTCGAGGGGGGGCAGATCCGGGATCCTGTCTCTGTCAATTCTGGGAGTCGTGTGCTGAATGTGCTCGAGCAGGTCGGAGGGTCTGAACGGATCTTCCGAGTGCAGCCAGATTAACGGTGCTGTGGGTTGGGAAGAATAGAATCAGCTCACGCCTAGCGAAGAATTGGGATCGCTCAACGAGACACCGTTGCTTCTCATACCATTGCGCGTCACGTAGTCGGGCACGATGCGATCTGTTGACAAGCTAGACGGTTCCTCGTCTACATCGACACTATTCAAGCTAGGATGACCGAAGACGAGTCGCACCGAAAGGACGAGTAGCACTGACGCGATCAGACCCATGTCTGCCTACACGCGGACTGTCGACTTTGGGTTGTGAGCATGCGCGCATTGGCAGCGGTGGTGGAAGATGAAGAGGAAATGTTGCCCTTGACGTCAGACGCCAGCAGCAGAGCGTGGCCCATGCGATTGCTCTTATCGATACAAATACGAATTTGAGGTTTATTCAGCATGGCATAATGAGACACGCAAGACTGTCCGGACTTTCGGTCGCTACCAAGCCCCAGATAACGTGGTAGGCCTCTCCATAGTCCATGCGTATTTGGCCGATTCAGCAAATTGAGGATTGACTCGTCATGCGTCGGAGAAAATAAACATCCACTTTTGAAGACGCCGCGTATTTTTAGCACATGACTTCTTGTGAGATCATTAAATACCTCGTGCAATGAACCCTTGAGGAGGGTTTTGCAACTGAAGCACTTCGATGCCGATGTTCTAGGATGAAAACTCGAGCCAATTTCTTCAACACTTTCCGACGTCAACGTTCATTATCGTCTTGCCTAAGTGACCAATTAGTGTCATGACATATGAATGTTGTCGACTCGGCAAGACCAAGCTGGTTCGTTAGGTTCTGTACAGGGTAGGTAGAGCATGGCGCTCACGGCTCACCCCACCAAGCGATGCCCCTCCGCCGTCATCGGCAACAATTTCTCGGTTCGCGATGGTTGCTTGCTTGATAAGCAAACCAAACTCATAAGAACCACCCCCGAGCCTTTTCAGATTCGCAATCCAAACAGTGTTCCCTATCCCGTCGTATAAACCCCGAACGCGGCTATCAACATCATCCAGACATTGCGCCACCATGGGCCTAGAGAAGGTCAAGCATATTGTGCTGGTACGTGAGAGGAACCAGCATGACAACCTCGCTTATTTAAAACTTTGACCAGGTACTTTCCGGGAAAGGAGGCGTCGGCAAGTCATCCGTCACAACACAGCTTGCGCTGTCGCTCTCTCTCGCCGGTCACTCTGTCGGCATTCTCGACGTCGACCTCACCGGCCCCTCCATCCCGCGCATGCTCTCGATCGAAGCGTCCAAAGTCACACAAGTCCCTGGCGGCTGGGCGCCCGTGCTCGTACACGAAGCGAAACCGGAGGAGAATATTGGCAGTCTGCACGCGATGAGCCTGGGGTTCCTACTCCCGAATAGAGGCGATGCCGTCGTGTGGCGTGGGCCAAAGAAAACAGCCATGATTCGACAGTTTCTCAAAGACGCATTCTGGGGGCCGACCGACTTCCTGCTCATCGACACGCCGCCGGGGACAAGCGACGAACACATCTCCCTGATGGAAACGCTTCAGCGCGACGCCCTACCGGGCCAGGTGGCAGGTGCCGTTGTAGTGACGACTCCTCAGGCGGTGGCTACAGCCGACGTGCGAAAGGAGCTCAACTTTTGCGCAAAAACCAATCTCTCGGTGCTCGGTGTCGTAGAGAACATGAGTGGCTTCGTATGCCCGCACTGCTCAGAGTGCACCGACATCTTTGGGTCAGGGGGCGGCAAGGTCATGGCGGAAGAGTTCAAGGTGCCGTTCCTGGGATCGGTGCCGATGGACGCGCAGTTTATTGCTCTGATCGAAGAGGGGAGAAGACCGACATACCCAGTAGGGACAGAGGTTGCTGGCCATGATATATCAAGCAAGGTGGCGGAGATTCCAGACGCGGAGGACAAGGGGTCGCTCGTGGATAAGTACAAGGACTGTGCGTTGTCACACGTATTCAACGGACTCACAGGGGGTCTTGTAGAAAAGATCACGGCGTCTGGTGCGAGGTGAAATACATTACATTTGATACCCGCGTGGAAGGCTCATACCTGTAGACATGCTCAGGCTTAAAGAATCGGGGCGAGCCGCAACGTTGACCATCAGCCCTAACTCCCACCCCATGCTACGATTGGCCGGCTTTTAAAACACTAATTGATTGCGACTTAGACACCGATCTGTACTCCGTATGTCAGGGTCAGTAGAGGTTTTTGCGACTCGCTTAGTTCAACTCAACCTTCCTGGCTGCTCACGAGCGCATGAAAAGCCCATTTTGATATGACGTACCATTCATTACTCGGAATTGCAGGAATGACGGGCTTTACAAATCACGGCTATCGGGCATCAACCCTACTGGGCATTTGATCCACGTAAACGCTAGATACAATTGAAACGCCCAGCTCAGCGGTGAAAGCACACTTCAGGCGGCCTTCAGCATCAGGAAACAATCCCGTGGATATGCCATTTCGATATTATGGTGGGATGCTGACTTTTTGTTCCTGCTAGGTATTGCCCCTCCATCGGGGAAGGAACGGGCTGGTGGGGCTCCTTCCGCACCTAGTCCGCCCGTGCCTGGACACAGAATGACAGTCACTGCAGCTACGTGTGCGAAATTCTGCCCAACCCGCTACCCAACTGCACATCTGTCGAAATCGGTCAAATCCTGGACCTGGACCACCGCCATTGTTTTGAGCCCAGCACCCACGTTCGGTTGCAGTGAAAATCTCTCACCGACTCTCGGCAAGCTGCCTTTTCAGCTACTTCAATTGACAGCACAATCTATTTATCCTTCTCCTCGACAAAGCGACGGCGCTCTTCGCTTCAGATTGACCCCGCGTGCGCAAAAAGTTTCTCTCCCGGCTACGTCAGTCGTCTCACGATCGGCTCCCCAAGCAAAACAGACCAAAACTTTTTTTTTTGGTTAGACGGAGCTCCCGATGAAGACATAAGAGAGTAGACCATTGCATCTGCTCTATACTTGATACCTGCCCGCCACGGCCGGCCACTGGTTGTACTAGAATTCATCCTTTGGCCTTCTATGCGTTCGACTGATCTCCTACGCTTCCTCTTCTCGCGCCCTTCCAAGTATGCACCCAGAGGAGACCGCTACTCGCGCAACAGCTAACAGAACTAGGCCTCGATAACACGTCTCTCATCAAAAACATCAACATAATACACCGCCTGCCCGTTTTCCGACCTCAAGCCTTGTACCAGATCCGATACTCCACCACAGGTATCGGACGACTACCACCGTACCACCATTCCGTCGCAAGAACGGTTTCTTCACAACCTCCGCCTCCGGCCCCCTTAACGTCTATCTCTAGGCGTTCGAAAGACTTCTCAAGCAGCTCATTGCTGCTGGCTTCCGCCAGCTCCTCGAGAACAACCACTTCCTGTGGGCCTACTCTCTCAGACAGACACCGCGAGGTCTGTTTGAGCGGCAGCTAGTGCTCCGCGGACTCTGCCATACGGGCATAGACAGTCAGGCATCTTCCAGCCACTCCCCTCATCAGCCTTGGTTCCCAGGTGCTCCTGGCACTCGATCAACCACGATGCCGAGCCAATCAGTTCCCAACAACTACACCTTCTCTCCTTCCGATGCGACACCTCACCTGACCATCAACCACGATGTCGCCGCGGAGCTCGACTCGAGCAACGCTTTCGAAGGTACGTGATGCATGTTCATAAGGTTGGACAGCTTGACTGACCCGCGCAGGACCCGAGAAGCTTCTTGAAGTCTGGTTCTCTCCCAGCCCTGACGACCTGCCGGCCGGCGCCCAGCCTGATGGCTTGCGTTCCGTTGCCGCTGATACATGGGTGAGCATGCTCGACATGGTCAATTGCAAGATCTTGTCGGTTCTCAAGTCTGACGCAGTCGATGCCTACTTGCTGTCCGAGTCCAGCATGTTTGTCTTCCCCCACAAGCTCATCCTCAAGACGTGCGGCACGACCACCCTTCTCCTTGGTCTTCAGCGTATGCTGCATATTGCCGCTTTGGATGCCGGCTTCCCGTTCCACAAGGCCGAGAAGGCTGACGAGATCCGCGCTACTGCGATTCCGTACCGTGTCTTCTACAGCCGCAAGAACTTCTTGTTTCCCGACAAGCAGCAGGGACCCCACCGTAGCTGGAAGCAGGAGGTCAAGTATCTGGATGACATGTTTGATGGTGGCAGCGCGTACATGGTGGGAAAGATGAATGGAGACCACTGGTACCTGTACATCACTTCTCCCAACCAGGCGATGACGCCTCCTCGGACGCCCGACGTCGAGGCCAACGGGCACGCTCCTGAGATGACCAACGGCTTGGCGGCTATCAATGGCACAGCTGAGAACAACGACGAAACTCTGGAGATTCTGATGACCGACTTGGACCAGGAGAACGCGAAGCAATTCTACCTTGCCAACGCTAGTGCTGTTGCCAGCAGCAAGCTGCAAGTGGAGGCTGAAGACGCCAGAGGCAAGGCTCAAGAAAGCTTGGGAAGCTTGGATGAAGTCGACGTGTTCGACAATGTCGGCTCAGGCGACGGAGCGGCTCAGAAGCTCGACGAAACGGAAGCCCTGACCACAGAGGGCCACGCGCTGGGTACTGTTGTTTCCGAGAACTGCGGCCTCTCTGACGTGTACCCGACCAGTGTGTACCCCGACGCCCGCGTCGATGCCTACCTGTTCGGGCCTTGTGGATTTTCGGCCAACGGTGTTGTGCCTCCCGTGTCCACAGCCGGGCACATGGGAACAAAAGGCGGCCACTACTGGACGGTCCACGTCACGCCCGAGCCCGAGTGCTCATACGCCTCCTTTGAGACCAACGTCCCTGGCAGCCAGACGGGTCGCACCACTGCGGAGATTATCGAGAATGTGGTCAACATCTTCCAGCCTGGCCGTTTCAGCGTGACCCTGTTCGAGGCCAAGGGCAAGAGCGCAGACACGAGCGGAGCTGAGGACGGTATCTACAAGGGTCCGTCTCGCCGGACCTTGGTGGACCCTGTCAAGGGCTATCGTCGCGTGGACCGCATTGTTCATGACTTTGAAGACTACGATCTTGTCTTTCGCTTCTATGAGCGCGATGGCTGGGTCGGTGACAAGACCGCCAGGGTTGGGGAGGTTGAATGAGTCACCTGGGTAGGAGTTGTTTTGAAGCCATGTTCTGTCTTGTAGCTTGTCGATTGGATATAGTACAATACAGATGTCTAAATTTTTTGGGATAAATGTATCTTCATGTTCCTAGGTGGGCATTGTTGCATTTTGACACTTTTATGAGAGAGCATGTATGATTGGCTGTTGAAGGACGGGACGTCGCTGTGGGGCGCGTAAACGGAAGCTTATCGATAAAGCAGGGGCGCACGTGATAGCAGATTGCCTAGGAAATTTTTGCCAGCCCCAATTGAACATCACCACCACGAGCATAGTAAACGACGCCGCAATTCCCTAATTCCAAGCACCTTCACGCCGTTGACGACACCCACTACTGCCACAATGCATCTCATGTACACACTCGACTCTGAGGGCAAGCGCCTCTACACCCTCAAGAAGATCAACCACGGCCAGGTCACCAAGTCGGCGCACCCTGCGCGCTTCTCGCCTGACGACAAGTGGTCGAGGCAGCGTGTCACTCTCAAGAGGCGGTTCGGTCTGCTTCTGACGCAGCAGAGTGGGTGACCTTGTGAACCCTTCGTGAAATAACTGAGCTAACATTCTGGCAGAGGAGGAGTAAGCTTGACCAACATACTGAGAACGACAATGATATCAAAGGCCCACACATAGGGCACGAAGAACCAGCGGAGGAAAGGAGAGATTTTGGCGCGAGATGCCTCAATGCGCAGTGTTTTTGAATGGAGTTTGGGTCACGGCGTTATACACAGGACGTAAGTTCTAGGATCAAATGCATCAGAACCGTTGAGGTTGATTTCTCTGCCCTCGACGGATTCATTTCCCTCGCTTCATTATATTCTACGCGTGATGACTTGTACGCTTGGCCTGAATCTACCGTTTGCGGGAATTGACATTCCGCCCAGCCCCCACGCGGATCTTGTCAGCACCACCCGAACGGTGCCCGGTCAAGATGCCCGGCAACATATCCTCATCCATGACATCCTTCTTGCGCGTCCTGCGCTGCTCGTCCGTCGCCCTGGTGAACTCCTTCTGGTCCTCGGCGAGGATGAGCTCGTTGCCCCAGCGGTTCTTGCCGCCTCCGTTCTGCTTGGTGCGCGGCGCCCGCCCGTTGGCCGTGCCGTGCACCGGCTTGGGGACCGAGAAGACGTTGCCCCTATTGTTCCACTGAAAGTTCTTCTTGAGGTGGAGGGTCACCTGGCCGGTTCTGTCGTCGACGGTGCACGCGACGCGTGTGAGCGTGGGCTGGCCGCACGTCGGACAGAAGCGGCGCTCCATGTCCCGCGTCGTCTTGAAGCAGCCGTGGCAGCGGAGGATCCACGTCTTGAGACGGGAGATGCGCGCCAGCGAGGGAGAGACGAGGTTGAGGTTCATGCGGAGGGCGACATTCTGCATGGCGAAATCCGATGTGAGAATGGCAGCTTGAAGCGTGACAGGGGTCTGGCCCTCCTTTGCAGAGGTGTTGGTGTCCTTGGCCTTGTGCTTCTTGATGTTGGTCGGGGTGATCCAGTCGCCGTCGTCGTCATCCTCGGGCTCTGAGCCCTCCTCCGTTTCGAGGGGGACCTCGTCTGCCTTTTCGCCCGATACAAGGGGCTTGTCTGTCAGATCTGTGGCCTCGACAGACTCGTGTGGCACATTGTGCGCCTCGAGCGTGGCCGTCTCGGCGTCGGTGACGGCGTCCTTGTTGGAACCCTTGGCGTCAATGTCGAGCTTGGCGATGCCGTTGTCGAGTGCTGCCTCGTCTGCCTCCTCTCGAGACACCTTAGCCGGCGCACTCGCAGACTGTTCCTCTGTGCTTTCCTTGGGTTCTTCTGCGACAGTCTGTTCGGTATCTTTGCCCTCTTCTTGTGCGCCTTTATTGTCCTCCGTCTGATCCTGTTTTGAAGGAGGCTTTCCGTTCAACGTCTTTTGCCCGGGCAGGTTCCGTAGCCTCCAGTCACCTCCGTTCTTCTCCAGCTCCAGCTCGTAGGCGAGCGCGAGCACCTCTATATCCGTCCTGCTGAGCACCTCCAAGTCACCAGTACGCCTCGCAAAGCCAATAATGTGGTTGACACTCTTGGGCGCAGGCGACCGTAGTGTGAGGAAGGGCAGAAGCTGCGTTTCCACTCGTGCGCGTGTCGCCGTGTCGCGGATCTCGGGGATGACAGAGGGGAGAATGTAGAGTGCCTCGGCACGCGAGCGGAGGGTATCAGCCGGAGGATCGTTCTTGATGAGAGGCCCAGTGTCGACGACGAGACTGTGGATGGGCTTTTGGGTGGAGGGGGCCGCCTCGGCGGGTTGCGCAGTGGTTGTCGGCGCTTGATCAGCCATGATCGCGGGATCAACGCAGGGAAGGCTGGGAGGGATTATGAAAGGATGTCGAAGACAAGCAGAAATCGGCGGCGGAATTTATTTATTCGTAATGGGCGTAACGTAAGAGATGCTGGCAACGACCGTGGGAGATATTTCGGTTGGAGATGGCGGGGCAATTTTTCTTATCGGAAATTTTCTTGGTGGGACGATAAGGGATGGATATCACGTTCATGTCCTCGAGAAGAAGGTATCGAATACCAGTCGGGCGCAATCTCGATTGAATAAATGTCTGCGAAGACTACCGATTTATGGAAAGGCGGGGAATATCACTGCGATCTTGAAGATAAAAAGCCGCTCATATGAGAAACCGAAGACCGCGCATCTCTGTCGCGCAACAAACATGGTCTACTCTCCAAAGTCATCGCCCCCACCAAAATCATCATCACCACCGCCCGAGTAGTCGCTGCCTCCAGGGTCCGAACTGGAAATGGAGCCCGCATCGCCGCCATATTCACCCTGCTGCTCGTCGCCGTAGTAGCCTCCGCCATGGCCACCGCCCATGCCACCGCTCAGGAGGGCACCGCCAAGCATGCCTACACCCATACCGCCGGCTGCGGCGCCCAATGGCATCCCCAACTTGTTCTTCTTCTTCTTGTGCAGCATGCCGGGCGGCGCAAATCCACCATGATGAGGATAGTGTCCTTGCTGGGGGTACTGACCATGTGACTGCTGGTATTGTCCAGGATACCCAGCATTACCGTGCTGGTTATGGTGCGATCCATGCTGGGACATTCCGTGCCCGGCGCCGGCTGCGGCACCTCCCAGCCCAGCAGCGGCCAGCTTGCTCTTGGCCTTGCTGGTAAGCTTCCCTAGGAGGCCACCACTGCCCTTTGATCCGCTCCCGGAAGCCTCGTGGCCGTACTGGGATTGCTGTCCATAGTGCTGTTGCTGATGCGACTGGCCGTGTGGGGGGTATGGTCCGGGACTCTGTCCGTAGGGCTGGTCTGGGTGCGGGCCCGGGCTTGGCGACTGACCATATGATGCCGGAGGCTGCAGACCGCCGCCGTACGCTTGCTGAGGAGGGTATGGGCCACCCGGCCCGCCAGGTGGTGCACCAGAGTACGATGGCTGCTGCCCGAACGGCGGCGGCCCGCCTGCTTGCCCTGGCCCATAGGGAGGATAGCCATGCTGGGAGGAATGGCCTCGCGCGCGGGCCTCTTCCTCGGCCTGAAGCTTAGCAGCCAGCTCAGCGTCACTCCCTGCCGCGGCGGGTGGGATGGCGCCATGGGATTGCGGCGGCGCTGGAGAATGCGACGGCTGGCCGTGTCGCGCATTCTCCTCTGCCTGTAACTTGGCTGCTAGCGCCTCATCCTGCGTTTGATGTGCTGTCGGATTGGGACGGAACGGGTTCGTTCCAGTATTATGGCCTTGGGCAGGAGGTGCGCCTGCGCCGGGTTGAGGCGGGTGCGCAGGAGGTCGCGCACCTGCAGGAGGCTCCCATTGTGATACTCCAGTCTGAGTGTTGACGAAGAACCTATGTATGCGGGGTTAACCGGTGCTTCCAAATGCGACACTGGGCGCGCGCTTGCTGCACTACCCGACATATGGAAACTTACCAGGCTCGGTACTGCTCGTTCCACTGAGATATCCAACCCTCGGGGAGCGGAGGACCACCTGCAGGATTAGAGGCCGCCGGAGAGGGCGACGCGTAGCCCTGCATTGCGAGTATGCGAGATGGGGGATTTGCGGGGTGCCCTGGCTGCCAATGACGTTTCTGAATGGTTTGAGCGGTACTGTTGGCTTATCGAATGCTTGAACGTGGGATGCGTCAAAATTGTGTCGTTGGGAAGTTCACGCAAGGCGAAGTATGCTTAGTGAAACAGGTAGGGCGTTCCTAAAGAGCCAACAAGCCTTCGTTGACGATGATGCTGATGATGTCAGTGAAGGCGGGGTGGCGGACTCTATCTTGGGTTGAGCCTATAACAAGGGGCTCAGCCAGTCTACTAGTCAGGTAGGTAAGCTTGATTCTGGGGGTGCGCCGCGTCGCTTCCCGTTAGGCTGAGTCCGGCTCTCTAGTTCCGCCACAACGCCACTGCTGGCTCAGCCACAATATAGCTGCGCCATCTGTGGCGTAGCCGGGGATTATTAATAAGGTCACATGATAGATCTTTCATATAGTCTAGGGTATGCAGAACTTCTGCTTTGAGGCGGCCCTGAGGCCGGAAATCCACTGAGGTGTACGGATACGTATACGGAGTACTGGACTTCCGAAGCTCCGACTACCGTACGTACATATACTGACGCATGGGCCATGGCCGGACGCTACATGGCGACCATCTTCGAAGGCTCAGCAGATCCTATTTCAATGACACGAGGCTATTAGTTATTTAGTCATCATTTTACTTGTCCGCGATACGCTCAAAGATCACGGACCCTGGCCCTGGCCCTGGAGTCGATGTTGGAGCGTTAGAAATTGGAGTTGGAGCTCCGGACGAGCTTCTAGAAGGTTTCAGCCCCATTTACCGCTCAGGGCGCCGAGTGGGCTTCGCGATGGAGCAGATGAGGCTCGACAAACCCACTGGCTGAAAATTCATTACGAAAACTGGTCCTCGTATGACACGACAAAACTGCAGCGTGGTGACATGGACGAGAAGTTCTTTTTGCTCGGGCATTCACCGAGAGCTGCTTCACGGGAATTCGCGAGATCCACGCAGGATTGTCAATGCGCAGTGGATGCCCGAGCAATCCATTTGTCATGGACTCTGGACAGCGCTTCGAAGATCTGAAGGGAATGGGTGCATCGGCTAGAAATTATCAGGTAGCACAGGGAGAACCAGGTGTTATCAACTGAGGCTTAGAAATGTCCATCGTCCTGTGCCTTTTCTCTCTCACACTAGCAACCTGCCGTGTACGTGCAAACAGGCAAACGGCTATGTCGTTGTTCCCGAGGCGGAAATGTTCTCGAAGAATGCAATGCGGAAACATGCAGTGATCCGGCATTCCCATGCGTGTCACCATGGAGGTGCGGCTGGATACCCGTGGAAGCGCTGGCCGCACCACGCGTCCATGCAACCAGGAGCTAATGAGCGCGATTGGTACTACGTAAAAGTTCTGCTTGCACTCAACCAACCAATCTTCAATGGCGAGAATGGTCTTTCGGTTCGTTGCTGGCCCCAACGAGCCACGACTCAGCGACGGCCAGAAGGGGCCGATGTTGTTCTGCTGCCAAGCAGAAATTTCAAGGGTCCGTGCTTCTGCAAAACCCTGACGTTGGAGGCTTGACGCGGCTCTGACATGGCTGTCGGCAGTCATCCCCCCCTTTAGCAACGAAACGCAGAATGCTGTGCTGTGAGAGGCCCAGCCGGTGCGGCCGTCCCGTCGCTGCCGCCTTGGCAATGAGATCGCTGCTGTGCCAAACCGCCAATACTGCCTGATGCGGTATGTGGGCTGAGGGAACGAAATATCTTCCGAGGCTTCATGGCTTCGACGTCGACGCAGTCTCCCACACTCTCATGGCAAGGGAAACTGCCTTCATCATCAATAATAGGTCACGCGGACGATTATGATACCTATTCAAGCACGTACGCCAGGGGCCTTCGCGATGAGCCGGGGGTTTGCACCAGGCCGGACATGGGCCGGGACTGGCCTGCCGGGCGTACTATGGATCTGCTATGGATCTTCAACATGACGTCTCGAGTCAACCCTCCCAAAGCTGGTGTCAGAAGATCCACCAGATTACCCTCACGAAAATGCTCAACACCTTCCGAATAGCCGTCCTCAGGGCATCACGACGCACACGCGCGCGCAGGCCCGTGACTGAACTTCTGAAGGCCTCTCCGATCCTGCGAACCTGGGGCTGCTTTGCGGGGGACAATCTGGGGCGACCAGGCCAACACAAGGGTTAGGAAGCTTTAGCCTTTCGGTAACGTGCGTTTACGTACCATGACATTTCTTTTGACTACGTCTCCGTTCGCTCAGCCTATCCCGTCCCGCCAGAGAGGAAGAACCGGCCTAGGCGACGGCGCCATGCGAGCTTCCTGACCCACCCAAGTTCTCGTCAACGAGTATGTCCGCGCAGTAGCGGTCCCGGACGTGCCTAGGATCTGAGATAAGGCGACGTGCCTGGACAGGCCGTTCCGGGGTTGGCTGTTTTCGTGTGCCTTATCTAGAGTTTTGGCTACGAGGGTTGTTCCTTCCTTCAAAATTGCCATACAAGTACCTGCGATATCTCCGTCCCTCCAGCCCACTATTGTTGGGGGACTTGGGGCCCAGGCACACACAGACTTGAAAAGAGCACGACCTCCCTCCAGTTCTCCCTCTCCTCTTCCTTCTGCCCCTCACTACTGTCACCACTTGCCAGTTTTCTTTTCACCCTCTTACCACGGGCTCTACGTTGTGCTCGCGTGAACTTCAACCACAGCACATTGCCCGCCCCCCAAGAGCACCCTACAAACATGTCGCCCAACCAGAACTACCCCGAGACAACGGGCCAGGATGTCTCCCACGTCGTGTCCGACCCGGTGTCCCCCTCACACTCCAAGAAGCAGGCACGCGAACGCACGCATGATGACAGCGGCAGCGACACCATCGGCACAACTGGGGTCCTCGGCGCCAACGGCCCCATGTCGAGGCTGGCCCTCACCACAGACGAGGAGAAGCAAAAGGCCGAGGAGGGCCACGCCAAATTCCACCGTCTGGGGTGGAAGCGCCTCACCATCATCCTCATTGTCGAGGCCATTGCGCTCGGCAGCTTGAGTCTGCCGTCAGCGTTCGCCACACTGGGCATGGTGGCCGGTGTCATTCTGTGCGTCGGCCTCGGTCTGGTCGCCATCTACACCTCGCACATTGTCGGCCAGGTCAAGCTCAAGTTCCCCGAGGTCTCGCACTACGCAGACGCCGGTCGCCTGCTTTTCGGACGCGCTGGCTACGAGATTGTCGGTGCCATGTTTGTGCTGCAGCTCACCTTCCTCGTAGGCTCTCACTGCTTGACGGGCACCATCGCCTTCCAGACCATCTCGGGCGGTGGCACATGCGCCGTGGTCTGGGGCGTTGTCTCGGCGATCATTCTGCTGATCTTGGCCATCCCGCCCACCTTCACGGAGCTCGCGTGGCTGGGGTACATTGATTTTGGTTCCATTGTGGTAGCTATTGGCATTACCATGATCGCCACCGGCATCCAGGCTACCGATCAACCAGGTGGTATGGCCGCCGTGCCGTGGTCTGCCTGGCCCAAGGAAGGCTGCAGCCTGGTCGATGCTGTGATCGCAGTCACCAACATTGTGTTTGCTTACAGCTTCGCCATTACTCAGATGAGCATGATGGCTGGTACGTATTCGAACGAAGCGGACAGCAGAGTGAGCAAGTGCATTGCTAACATCTGGACAGAGATGCACACCCCTACTGACTACGTCAAGTCCATCTGGGCTCTGGGTATCACCGAAATCATCATCTACACCCTCACGGGCGCCATTGTCTACTCCTTCGTCGGCGTCGGCGTCGAGTCCCCAGCCCTGTCGTCCGCCGGCACCCTGGTCGCCAAGTTTGCCTACGGATTCGGCCTCCCCGTCATCTTCATCTCGGGCTCGATCAACACCACCGTCGTTGGACGCTATCTGCACGGCCGCATGTACGCGAACTCGGTGACCCGCTACATCAACACGCCCAAGGGCTGGATCTCATGGCTGGTCCTGATCACCGTCATCACTGTGATTGCCTTTATCATCGCCGAGGTCATCCCCTTCTTCAACGACCTCCTGTCGCTCTCCTCGGCGCTCTTCATCACCGGGTTCACCTTTTACTTCCCCGCGTTGATGTGGTTCATGCTCCTCAAGGAGGGCCCCTGGCACAAGGGGGCCAACCTCTACAAGAGCATCGTCAACGCCGCCGTCTTTGTCGTGGGCGTTGCCATTCTCATCGGTGGTACCTACTCGAGTATCTGGGATATTGTACGTGACCCTCTCACAACGCATCGCGTCTTGCAGCATCTCAGCTAACAAACAATGTGCAGGTCCACCAGTTTACAGAGGGCAAGGTGCGCGGCGTCTTTTCCTGCAGTCCTGTCGCGTAAAGAAGGCGAGGCTCGTCCGCCACAGGTTGTACGATTACGAGACATGTCAAATGGAGGCGTTCTCTCGGCTGGTATCATAGCGTTCCAACTAGCGTATCATCAACTTGTTTCTCAAGGTTCACAATCAAGAGTTCTCCGCAGTCGAGCGAGTGACTAACAGCTCCGATATCGTCGGACGAAGATAAGACACGAGAGAGCACACGCTATTGCTTAAAGTCAAAAATGGCAAATGGCACGGTTCACCAGCCCACTTCAACTCAGTTTGAAGCGCGAGTCGATGCCTTGGATCATGTCACCTTGCAGAAGAGGGACGGGCCTTACCTTTGTCTGGATGAGCTGGCCGGGCACGAGCCCAATGGCGTAGCCTATGGAGCAGTAGGCGTCGAACTCGACGAGCTCGTTGCCGTAGAACTTTCAGGTCCTCGCACATGCCGGAGACGCAGAGGCCTGCATGGTGGCCGTCTGTTCGAGCTCCTTGATAAGCTGCGCAGCACACGGTTTGCTAGTACCGTACTAGCTCGACAAAGTCGCCAGCGCTAGTGAACAAAGTCTAGCCCCCTATGGTTCAATGCTGTGGATATGCGCCTGTGCGAAAGTGCGAATCTCTTAACGGCTGTGTGCGGCCCTTGAGCTTCATGTCGCTCCCAGGCTGC